CACTCGTCAGTAGAAACAATCAAATACCAAGGAGGCGACGACGGACAAATAAAAGCGGATGTGGTCAAGAAACGGGTGACAAGTGCTGCCGCCCAAATAACGTCATGACCGATTTGTTTTCATTTATCGAGTGCCAACTTGCCGAGCAATACGGCATGCGATTCGGCGACGTAATTAAAGAACCTGCCGTCTCGCGTCTTCTGCTGCATACGCCTACCCGACGACGAAAGAAATCACCCGGCAAAAAGAACCAGAAACGCAAAGAGCAAAGTGCATGGCTGCTTGGTTCTACTGCATACCATCATTGACGGCCAACAGGGTATCCCTTATGTAAGTGAAATGGGAAACTGTGTCTCACAGCACGGACAACGGTGTCCGGGCACCAGCTGGGTGTCGATTCCATTTTTGTTGAGCCAGAGGAGCAGAATCGGCGTCCGAAAACGGCAGCCAAAGGCCGCACAGGTGACCAGAACAGCCCCCCATGCTTCGTGGGATCCTGGAGGCAAAAGCAATTAAATGCCAGGCGACGCCGTCTCACCGCCACTCGTCCCCCCCGTGCCGCTGTCGGTGCAGCCGTAACATGCACAGCGAATTCTCCGTCTGCTCCGCACCCCATCAGCATCGTGTTGGTTCCCGCGTGGCTTTTGTCAGGTGAGCCACCACACTTTTCTTGGTGATGCCGCCCAGGCCAAGGTCGCGCCATCCGTTGAATTGGTCGGTGAACATTGGGCGAACATTGTTTAAAGTATGTCGTAAGATGCGTTTCTACCCATTGGTCCAGCGTCTTCCTGTGCCATGCATTTCTTGAGGAAGAAACGCATGGTGGCCAAGTTTTGGGCCATTTTGCATTTCCTAAACGCCTGGAAGCAGCCATTTATAGAACCTTGGCCTGCCGGGAAGTCGATTTTGTCCTCGTATGTTTTTGTCCTCGTACAGCATCACGAGCTGCTGTCAGTAACCGTTCTCGGTGTCAAAATGCCTCGACCTCGACCACGCATTTGTTGAACTCGGTAACGGAGTTTGGGATCAAGCCAAGCAAACCAAGCAAAGGCCAAGCCACCCCCCGCTGTTTGTCCTCCTTGCCTTGTTCCGCTCTGTCTGGTCATTAGACCAACGCCCTCGTTCCATCCTTGTTCTTTGCATTGTTCTTTCCTCACTCGTACCATCGTAGCTTCCACAGTGCACAGTACGTACCCTGTAACCCCTGCCAACCATATTTAAACGACAGCTCCAGGTGGGCCAACCATACGAACAAATGCCCCCACGACCGGCTCTGTATCGCAGCCGTCTCCTGCAAGACGTGCGCAGGCTGCGTTTTTTAAGTTTTTTTTTTTTTTTTTTTGGTCTTTTCTTTTCTTTTCCTCTCCTCTGACGTCCATGTACTCCTTGCGTTGTTCTTCTCCATAGGACTTTGTTTTGAATACCCGTAAGCTCTGGGGTGCACCTTCCTTCTCAACCATCGTTCCTTCCTTTTCCTGCTTCTCGTCGTTTACATGCCGGTCCCACCTGCACTTTACGCTTGATTGCCACTTCCTTCTTGTTTTGAAATTCTCCCTATACGTCTTTTCTTCTTTTCTTTTCTTTTTGAGCTCTCTCCCAAATCTTGCATCTTCCTCCTCTCTTCTTCTTTTTCCCATCCTCTCGTCCTCTCATTCCCCCGTCGTCCAACAACATCACCAGCTCACCTCTCCTACCATTCCTCATCTGCTTCGACATCTTCCACCTTAGCAGAGCTGGCATCGTTCCTTTCCTTCTACCACTGCCTCTTTTATAGTCTATACGAAATGCAACCCGAGGCAAACCCATCCGCCATCTAGCATCCACGACCTCAAAATAAACATCCGGCTGGCATCCCCAACACCGACCACCGTCATGCCTTTCGATGTTCGTCGACTCGTCGGTCCCACCGCCTCGGGGGACCGCTACGACCTCACCAGCCCGACGGCCCTGCCCAAGGCGGCCGGTTTCCTGTGGAACAACAAGATGATGATCCAGGCCACTTGCCGTGGCTATGCCACTGCCCAGTTCATGCAGCCCGAGCCAGCCAAATACTCGCACGCGCCGAATCTCGAGGCCAAGACCTTCATGCAGCCGGAACAAAGCTACTACGCCGACCACCCGGGCCGCTTTGTGTACGTCCAGGACCTCGACAGAAACGAGCTCTTTTCCGCCCCCTACGAGCCCGTCCGCAAGCCGCTCGACAAGTATGTGTTCTCTGTCGGCAAGAGTGATCTGCGGTGGACCTGCGAGCTGGACGATCTCAAGGTCGACATGATCCTCAGCCTGCCGACAAACGACGTCGCCGAGCTCTGGACGGTCCGCGTCTCCAACATGGCGCCTCGCAAGCGCCGCGTCGCCATCACGCCCTACTTTGTCATTGGCTGCATGTCCTGGATGAACCAGTCTGCCGAGCACCGCAGCGACCTCCAGGGCATTGTCGCCTCCAGCATCACGCCGTACCAGAAGGTCGAGGACTATTTCAAAAACAAGTCGCTGCGCCTCAAGGACAAGACATATTTCCTCTGGGAAACAGCGCCGGATTCGTGGGAGACCGTCCAGGACATTTTCCACGGCGAGGGCGGCATCCATGCGCCCTCGGCGCTTGTGGACGGTGACAAGCTCGGCTGCCACGACGCACGCTACGAGACGCCGGCCGCCGTCGTGCAGTACCGCACCGAGCTCGACGAGGGCGAGGACCGCGAGTACCGCTTCGTCTTTGGCCCGGCCTGCGACGACGCCGAAATCAAGTCCATTCGCTCCAAGTACCTGAGCCGCGACGGCTTTGCCCGCGCGGCCCGCGACTACGCCCGCTACATTGAGCTGGGCCGCGGCTGTCTGCAGGTCCAGACGCCGGACAAGGAGCTCGACAACTTTATCAACAACTGGCTGCCGCGCCAGGTCTATTACCACGGTGGCGTCAACCGCCTCACGACCGACCCCCAGACCCGCAACTACCTGCAGGACAACATGGGCATGGCCTACATCCGCCCCGCCTCGCTGCGCGGGGCCTTTCTCAAGGCGCTGTCCCAGCAGGAAGCTAACGGTTCCATGCCCGACGGCATCCTCCTGACCGAAGGCGCCGAGCTCAAGTACATCAACCAGGTGCCGCACACCGACCACTGCGTCTGGCTGCCCATTGCCCTGGATTCGTACCTGGCCGAGACGGCCGACTTCTCCATTCTCGATGTGCCCGTCAAGGGCGACAGCGACGGTCGCACCCTGTCCGTCTTTGAGCGCGTCAGCGAAGCCATGCAGTGGCTGCTGACGAGCCGTGACGAGCGCGGCCTGAGCTACATTGCCCAGGGCGACTGGTGCGATCCCATGAACATGGTCGGCTACAAGGGCAAGGGCGTGTCGGGCTGGCTGACGCTGGCGACCGGCTATGCTCTGCGCCTGTTTGCCGAGGTGTGCGATCGCCGTGCCGGCAACGCGGAGTCGCTGATTGGCGCTGCCAAGGACGAGGGTGCGGCCAAGGCCGCGGGCGAGCTGGCGATCCGGTTCCGCGAGGGCTGCAAGGACGTCAACGATGCCGCCAACACGCATCTCTGGGACGGCGACTGGTTTGCCCGCGGCATCACCGACGACAATGTCGTCTTTGGCACCAAGAAGGATGCCGAGGGCCGCATCTGGCTGAACCCGCAGACGTGGGCCATTCTGAGCGGTGCCGCCAGCCCCGAGCAGTGCGACAAGATGCTGCCGGAAGTCGACAGCCAGCTGGGCACGCCCTATGGCGTGACCATGTTTGCGCCTCCCTTCACGGGGATGCGCGAGGACGTCGGCCGCGTGTCGCAAAAGTTTCCCGGCAGCGCCGAGAACGGTGCGGTCTACAACCACGCCGCGGTCTTTTACGCCCATGCCCTCTACACCATGGGCGGCCGCCAGGTCGACCGTGCCTACACGGTCCTGCGCCAGATGCTCCCCGGCCCGTCCGACGAGGACTACAAGCGCCGCGGCCAGCTGCCCGTCTACATTCCCAACTACTTCCGTGGCGCCTACCACCTCTACCCGCGCACCGCTGGCCGGTCGAGCCAGCTCTTCAACACGGGCACCGTCTCGTGGGTGTACCGCTGCTTCATCGAGGGTCTGTGCGGCCTGCGCGGCGTGCCCCGCGGCCTTCGCATTGCGCCGCAGCTGCCGTCCAAGTGGAACGCCATTACCGTGACGCGCGAGTTCCGCGGCGCCACCTTCAAGGTCGACATTCGCCGGTCCCGCGACGTGAAGAGCACACGCGTGCGGTTCGCGGGCCAGCCCGACTTCCTCCCGGAACCCATTGTCACGGATATTGAGGCGGGCCGCACCTACAACCTCACCGTCCTGGTCCCGCAGTAGCGGTCTGGTCTACTTTGTCGCCGAGCCACCCGATGGCGTTTTGTCTGTCCCTACTGTCGAATTCCGACTCTGTCCTCCATTTATGAGCTGCATTTATACGAGATGTACGAGATATACAGCATCTGTGTCATCTATGAAATAATCATGGGCGGTGGGCATCTATCTAATTTTTGATTTCCTATTTCGAATGGTATGTTGGACTTGGGCTTGATGGAAAGCAACAAGTGCAGGATGGAGGCAAGCCATGCCTTCGACTGGGACGGGAGACGAATCTACAAAAGGGACGAAAAAAGACGAAAAAGTAAAACGACTCAACAGTGTCGCTCCATATATGCACAATTGGCTAAGGAAACGGAAAACAGGCAGGACTTTTGATTTTCAAAGAGCTTTTACGAATCATTGTGCCGTACGACAGGCACGTATTACAGACTGATCAAATCATACGAAACGCCGTGACAGAACAGAATGATGCGTGTGGTGTACATGGCCAAGCCGGGAAATAGAAACTGCCGGCTAGCCATTCGTATGAGATTGAAGACTGCCGACAACTCATGTAATGTATGATATCGTGACAATGAAGGGCTACCGGCTACAAGGTATGTACAACAATGCTGCGCCTATTTTCCCCTGTTTTGACCTCTCCTCAGTGGTCTGTCATTTCCGTCATCCGCCTACGGCCTCCTCTGACCATGGTCGGCATCGGCGTCCAATGCTCTGTCTTGGCCATGATGACCCTGGCCGTCCTTGACAACGTCCTTTTGTCCCCGCAAACCAAACAGACTGCCCATCCACTGCCATCGTCGACGGGCTCGGTCTTGCCCTGGTCCTGTCCGGCTCAAGGCATAAAACTGCACCACCTCCGTCGGGCGACCTATTCTGTCAGTCGTGTCTGCACATCATGTGCTCTGTCCAAGAGTGTCCAAAGGGGGGAGCATCCACGGCACGCACGTATGTTGCCGGCCCCGCCAATGCCGTAGCCGCGCCGCTGGCGGTCGCACAGGGCCGTGTCGCGGGCGCCGGCCAAGGGCGTAGACAAGCTCCTAGACACGCTGCTAGACACGCTCCGGACGTGCACGAGCCGGCCCTGGATGCGCACCCGGTGGCGCGTCCGTGGTGTCGAGGCCGGTGCGAGCAAGGGCCCGGCATCGGGGTCGTCGCTGACGTAGGAGGCCATGGATGGGGCGAGGGCGAGGGGCATCATGCAATGAAGCAATGCAGCAGGTCGCGGAGTCGTTCCCTGTTGTGTGTCGAGGAGGGCGTGGAGCTGTCCGCTGGGAAGCAGCCCAGATTAAATACATTTGCCTTCGGCTGACCCTGCTCAGCGCCACGTCCATGCCAATTCGTGTCAGAGGAAAGGAGACGTCTATGAAGTATGCATCTCGCCTCTCATCATCTTACTGTCTCGCATGCCCCCCATCCTTGCCTCAGCTGCCCTCCACGCTTTCCGCCTGCATTGTCGAAATTGCCAGTCACCCAACTCTTGTCGGACACGGACCTGGACCTGTGCCTCGACCAGGGTGGCTGATGGCGGTTGGCGACGACTGTGCATGTGGGTGACTGTGACGGACTGCGCGCTGTGACGGTGCTGTGACGGCGCTGTGGCCATTTCAGTGACCATTTCAGTGACCGGGCTCCACTATGAGAACCGCATTGGCAATTGCCATTACGGGACGATGTCTTATCACAAAGGGTGCCCCGTCGATTTTGCATTATCACTTTGGTTGTCTCACTTGCACTCACACCGCATGCACGGAATATGCACGTCGTCCGTTGTCTGGAGTACGCTTTGCGTGGAGCACTGGATGTTTCTGGATCACATACTGGTGCTGATCCTTATGGGGGATGTGCCGCTAAAATAAGCATTTTAGGGCCATCCTTGCGTACCTTGCCCCTGAGAGGCATCAGCTAGAAAGTCCACCCCACTAAAAACCAATTAAACCTGCAGCCACAACGCGTCTTATCGCCAAAAGACGCGTCTCTGCAAAAGTGACATGATGCGATAACGATAACGTCGACTGGGATGTAAGACTTTGACAAACAACGACTACAACCGTGACGACCGTGCCGACCATGCGGCCATGATGTCTTCCACACACAGTCCGAGCACGACCAAAACGACGGCGACAGTCCCTCACCGAAACAACAATGGACATCCCCCTCCACAACAACAGCGACCGCCGGACGCGGCGTCTCCCTCCGCGATGGCCGCCAAGTACCACCATCCCTACACACCCTACGATGTCCAGATGCAGTTCATGAAGACGGTGTACGACATCTGCGAGCAGGGCAACGGCCAGGTCGGCATCCTCGAGTCGCCCACGGGCACGGGCAAGTCGCTGTCGCTGCTGTGCGCGGCGTTGACGTGGCTACGGCAACACAAGAAGGCCAAGTACGAGGCGGCTTTGGCGGCCTCGGCCTCCTCGATCGCGCCGGATGAGCCCGACTGGGTCGTGGAGCAGATGCTGCGGCAGCGGCGGGCCGAGCTGGCCGGGCGGTGGGAGCGGCGGGAGGCACGACTGGCGGCGGCGCGGCGGCGGGAGCAGGCGGCGGCGCAGAGCCGACAAGGACACATGGACCGGGGTGGGAAGCGGCGGCGGACGGACGACGGCGGGCCACGGTCGCGCGCCAAGCGGGCCGAGGACGACGAAGAGGCCGCGTTTTTGCTCGGCGAGGGCGACGACGGCAACGAGACGGCCAGCGACGACCGCCTGTCGTGGTTCTCGGCGGAGACGCGGGCCATGATGGCCAAGGCCGGTCTAGTGGCGGGCCCGTCAGGCACTCGTGGCAGTGGTGACGACGACGACGACGACGATGCCGACGGGGAGGACGACGTCAAGATTTACTATGCATCTCGGACGCACTCGCAGCTGGCGCAGTTTATCGCCGAGCTGCGGCGGCCGTCCTTTCCGTCGGCGATGCCGGACGGGGTGACGGCGGCGGACAGCAAGAACAGCATGAACAGCACACGTGCGTGCGAGCCCGTCAAGCACGTCCCCCTGTCGTCGCGCCAGCGGCTGTGCATCAACCCGGCCGTCGCCCGCCTCGGGTCCGTCGCCGCCATCAACGACCGGTGTGCCGAGCTGCAGAAGCCGAAGAAGACGAAAACAACCACAACAAACGACGACAACAAAGGCGGATGCACGTTTCTGCCCGCCCACAACCCCTCGGCGGCGCTGCAGTTCCGCGACACGGCCCTCGCGACGCTGCCCGACATTGAAGACCTGTACCACCTCGGCACCCGCCTGCACGTCTGCCCCTACTACGCCTCCCGCACGGCCGTCCCCGGCGCCGAAATCGTCACGCTGCCCTACCCGCTGCTGCTCCAGAAGGCGGCCCGCGAGGCCCTGGGCATCAAGCTCGACCGCCGCAACAGCATCGTCATCGTCGACGAGGCGCACAACATTATGGACGCCGTGGCGAGCGTGCACGCGGCGGCCCTCACGCTGTCGGAGCTCCGGCGCGCACGCACGCTGCTAGAGGTCTACGTGCGCCGCTTCGGCAAGAAACTCAAGGGCACGAGCCGGGTCATGGTGGGCCAGCTGGCGCGGGTGATGCAAGGGCTGAGCGCGTGGCTGACGACGACGCTCGCGTCGTCGACGTCGTCGGGTGGGTCCGGCATCGTCGACCCGACGGCCCTCCTCAAGCACAAGGGCGCCGACCAGATCAACCTCTTTGCCCTGGTCAAGTACATCCAGGAGGCCAAGCTGGCCTACAAAGTGGAGAGCTATGCAGCGTACCTTGAGGAGGGGGAGGGAGAGACAGCTGACAAGGACAAGGAAAAGGGCAGTCCTGTGCTGCACACGCTGTCGTCGTTTCTGCTGGCCCTGACCAACCTGGCCAGCGAGGGACGCATCTTTTACGAGGTTCTCGCGAGCCGCAGTGAGGGCAGCGACGTACGAGCGGCCCACGGAAAAGACAACGACATTCGTCTGTCGTACCTCCTCCTGTCGCCCACCCACGCGTTTGCGTCCATCGCCGCCGACGCCCGCGCCGTCATCTTGGCCGGCGGCACCATGGCGCCCTTTGCCGACTACCGCACGCATCTGTTCCCGACGCACGCGCCCGGCGCCATCACCACGCTGAACTGCGGCCACGTCATCCCGCCCGAGAACCTGTGCGTGTGGACGCTGGGCGGCATGCAGAAAGGTGGTGGTGGGACCGTCTTTGACTTTTCCTTTGCCAAGCGCAGCCAGCTGCCGGTCGTGCGCGACCTCGGCGCCAGCCTCTTGAATCTGTGCACCGTCGTGCCCGACGGCGTCGTCGTCTTCTTTCCGAGCTACGGCTACCTTGACGAAGTGGTGAATGTGTGGACGACGAGGACAGAAGGAAGCCATGTACCCGCTCTGTGGGACCGGCTCCAGGCCAAAAAGGCCGTCTTCCGCGAGACACGCGGCGCCTCGTCGGACGACGTGCTGGCCGCCTACTCCCAGGCCATTCTGGACCCGCCGCAGCCGCCGCCGCCCAAAAACACCAAACAGACGGGCGCCTTGCTGCTGAGCGTCGTCGGCGGCAAGATGAGCGAGGGCATCAACTTTGCCGACCGGCTGGGGCGGTGCGTCGTGATTGTGGGCCTGCCGTTTCCGAACCTGCACGCGCCGGACTGGAAGGCGAGGATGGAGTACATTGCGTCGGCCGAGGCGCCAGAGCTTGAGGCGGACACGGAGACGACCGCCGCCCGTCTCTCTGGACACGAGCGCGCCCGCGCCTTTTACGAAAACGCCTGCATGCGCGCCGTCAACCAGTCCATTGGCCGCGCCATCCGCCACCGCGCCGACTACGCCGCCATCGTCCTCTGCGACCACCGCTTCGCCGCGCCGCGCATCCGGTCCAAACTGCCTGGCTGGATCCGCGGCGGCATGGTCGAGGGCAGCGAAGACCAGGGTCTGGCGGGCATGCTGGGCACGCTGGGGCAGTTTTTCCGGGGGAAGGGGGGAGGGTCTGAGAAGGTACAATGAGAAAGAAAAAAGAAATGAAAGAAATTCAATTGTAGATCATGCAACTAGGTAGACGCTGATACTCGTGATACCCAACCAAGACGCATAAAGACAACGCCAGACTCAAACACCGAAACGCCATGCCATCATAAACAATCGTAACACTTCCCCACGTCAACCACTCTGGTTCAGACCACCGCCTTGTCGGCGACGCGCTGGTGGCTGGCGACGGTGGGCTTGCCCGGCGACCGCGGCCCGCGCTGGCCGCGTCGTTGGCCGCCCAGCTGGTCCACCCGGTCGAATTTGTACAGGACGTAGACGGGCGGCGACGCTGTCGCCTCGTGGCCCGCCTTGGCCTCGTTGCCCGCCGTGGCTTCGTTTGCCTCCGTTTGCGCCCCCTCCCCCTCCTCCCTCTTCCGCTTTGGCGTCGCCGGCGGCCCCGACGGCCACTTCAGCCCGGGCAGCGCGGGTGCATGCTGCTCGAGCGTCGGCACGGGCGCCCCTGGCTGCGTCGTCGGCCTAGGCCTCGGCAGCGGCAGTGGCAGGGCCCGTGGCAGGGCCAGTGGAAGTGGCAGCGGGAGACTGCCGCGGTAGGATGCAGTGGGCGCCGGTGGCGGCAGCAATCGGCGGATGGGCAGCGCCAGGCCCGGGCCCTGTCCGAGCTGCCAGCCGGTAGCGGCGCCGGTGCGGTCGGTGTGGTCGGTGCGGTCAATGTGGTCGTTGTGGTCGACAATGTCCCTGTCCTCCGTGGCTTCGTCTCCTTCCGCGTCGAACGCATCCCCTGGATCCGCAACGTCATGCTCGTGCTTGGCGTGGCCGTCCTCGAACCCATCTGCTGCCTTGGCCTGCATATCCTCCCTCCCTGGCGCCTCGTCGGCAATGGCCCCGTCGGCATTGGCCCCGTCGTCGGGCGACAGAGCCCGCCGTTTCCGTGCTGGCGACCGGCCCCGAGCCGACGGCGACTGTGGTGGTGACGGGGTCGTTCGTTTTGTGGTGGTTGTTGGTGTCGATGGGGGCGATGTTGGCGCCGTTTCAGGTGCTGTCTGTGCTGTCCTTGCTGTTTTTGGCGCCTTTGCTGTCTTTGTCTTTGGCGACGTCCCCTTGGAGCACGTCAGGTCCGACGACCACCATGCCAGGCCGAGCTCTGCCAGGGACGGCAGCGCAGGCAAGGAAGCGAGCGACGGCAGCGACGACAGGGACGACAGCGATGACGTCGGTAGAGACGCAATCTGGGCCATGTTGTGAGAAGCGGCGTCAATTGTGGAGTTGACGTGCTGTGCCGCAGTGACTACGTTGGATCGTGAGGTTGTCCTATGTTCCTCTCGATGCAATGATTGTAGGAGTCGAAGAGTCGGATTCAAAGTCGAAACGGGCCAAGATGGATAATGTTATTCTGAAATGCTCGAAATGTTGTGTATTGTTCTTTCGTTTTGTTCGTCGTTGTGACGATCGTCTTATAGTTTGATCGCGTCTCAAGTTGCTGGCTGTTTTGTTCGACAGTCTTACGGCGTGAATTTATGTCTCTTTATGGAGTATTTGAAAGTCCTGACGCATGCCGTACGCCGTATATCGTATGTCGTTGTCGTGTGTGCACTCGTGCCCGACTGGAATGTGGAAGCCGCAACGTTGGGCCGTCGTGTTGATGTTCTTGTTCCTGGTTCTCGCTCCTCACATCCGCAATACGCAAGGAGGCAATGGCCAGTGCTTTATGGTTCTGGGCTGAAATGAAAATCGTTTCTTCTTTTGTCGAGAAAGAGAAACCCATTCCCTGTGCTTTGTTTCCTTTTCCTGTTTCCTTTTCCTTTTCCTCCTTGTTTCTGTTTCTGATTTTCCGTGCGTCGTGCCTCTCCTCTTGCTTTTCTATTTCCGTGCCACAGCGAACGGACTGCGCTCTCTGTCAAATGCCGTTGTCTTATTTTATCTCTCACGTTCCTCACGTCTGTGTCCGTACTCACCATGCGACGTTCTTCGCACACGCACCCCCGACTGGCAACACACACCAAGCGGAATAAGGCGCAATGAAGCGAAATGCGTCGACATGACCTGGCTCTGGCACCGGACCAGGGTGGTGATCCATGCCTTGTCAATATGTCGTAGCCAGTAGCGTCGCGCTACTAGGTTCTTTCGTACGACTTACATGCAGTCCCGCCACACATCCCTGGCCGATCCTGCTCTTGGGCGGGCCCGAACCCCAGGGTGCCCAGGACCGATGCAAGGCCTGTCTGCCTGTCACGGACCAACCGTCGTGCTGGAAGTGGGTGGGACGGTGCGTGGGTGGGTGTGTATCTGTGCGTTGGCCTTGGTTCAGTTACAAAAGCGTGGGTGTGCATCCACTCTTCGGCGCAATGTTCCACATGGTTCTCGCGAATGTGCCGTCACAGGGGGGTGCGGACCGGGATCCAAAAAGACAAGTCGAAAAAGAAAGGGTGTGGTGGGATACTATTGAAACAAAGATGCTATGGAGGGCGAGCTTGAAATGACAGGAGACAGGTCGAGGCGATGCCGCAGGGAGAAGCGCCGATGGAAATGTACGATGTAACTTGGTGTGGCATAAGAACCGAGCACGTTCAGTATTGCAAGCAGGGTTCTTTTCGTCCCGCTAGATGAGGAGCAAAAAACAAGAAGAACTGCATATCAAAGGGTGCCAGTTGCACTCAGGTGGCTAGCCAGGCGCCCAGGCCATCAACATAGGCTTCGCCACGCGAGCTGAGAAGAGCGTGGACAAGATGAAGAAGACAGAAGCACATGGCGAAAAGACGCTATTCAACGCCACCGCGATCCAGGCTTGGCTGGCCAAAAGGGACATACATGGGCTACAGAGGCATGAGATGGCGTTGACTGAAAAGCCTTTTTCATATAGCGTGGCATGGGCTCACCGAAACGAGCAAGGGGGCCCCGGTGGCGGAGTCTTGGCCCTGGACATCATCCAAGCTTACGGCGTGTTTCTCTTTTTATACCTCTTTATGTCCAGCTCCTTTTCGACACATTCCCGCGGACTTGTCTGCTTGTCTACCAGAGGAAACCAACGCGGTGAACTTGTACAAATTCCAGATACAAAGATCCACAAAATCACGAAATCGACAAGTCAAGAAAACAAAAACATGCACCAAACGGTGATGCACGCAGATTGGGGCCAATCCGTGTTGCACGACGTGCGACGTACATTAGCCCTGCATTGGCGTCAGATGCTGGAGCGCCGTTGCTGCAGCGAAACCCGACTCGTGTCTCGTGCATGCCAGTGCGATGCATACCTCCCTTTCGACATTGCCACAAAAACAGCGTCGTACGTCGTATGTCGTAGTCGGTCGTACTTTATTGCATTCCTGCGCAGACAGGCACGCATGTCTCTGCCGCAGTCCGGCCCTTGTGTTGGTTCGTGTCCGCAAGTGTACAATCTGCCGTCTATTAATCTGACGTGGCTTGTACGAAATGCATCGTACTTGTCCTTTGCCACGCACATCAGCCCCTTGCTTCAACGGGAGGATGGCAGAGACCTCCTGTCGACTGGGCCGATCAGGGTAAGGGGGCGGGGACGATACGTGAGACCAAGGCACTGCTGCAAGACATCACCAAGACACGAGCAGACGTTGGGATTGTAAGACATCGGGTGCTGGAAGGGCACACAGTCGAGACAGGGTCGCCAAGTATTCTGTGCGTCGCATCTTCGTATGTAGAGCAAGTAAACAGGCGACAGGAAAGAGACGGCTGGATGGGGCCAAAGAGAGAATATACACGCAGGATGGCCATCGGCAGCTCCTTGCTGGACCACACTGCCATCAGGACATCCTAGACGGCTCCAGGGCTCCCACATCGTGTCACTGAGTCGACTGTCTCTGCCAATGTGTTGCCTATGTCTTTCCGATGTCTCTGCATCCCTACGTATTGTCTCTCGTCCATCACGGTAAGCATGTCTCGCGCCTGCAATTGTCTCAATTCGCCCCGCCTCGTTGTCACCCTTTTCCGCCAATGCAACCGCACTACCTAACCGTCGTGCATAGTTTCATTGTACACAGTCAGGCCGTACAACAGTGGCACGCATGTACGGGTGCAGGCACATTTCGGCCAAGACTCTGCATAGAACCGTCACATGTGTGATGTGTGGGCTTCATTGTCGTGTGCTACCCGCCTTCTTGCTCTCTCTTGCTCTCGCCTTTGATCTACGCAAGACACGGACCAGCCGTTCCCGGCATCGGTGCGCCCATTGTGAGTGTACCGTCTTTAGGCACTGTCGACAGCTGCAAGACCCAGAGAGGAGACTTGTTCTACGCTGTGCGTTCTGATTAAAATATCATCTTCAACATCTCTGTAATGTAAACGTTGACTAAAGGTACCATGCTCCCCCCAAGTCGTAAATCATTCATTGAGTAGCACGGAGTGTCGTGATGGTCTTGTACAAGTGTTTGAACAAAAGCCTTCTGAATTGGTGAAGCTGTTCAAATCACAATATTCACCGTGTTCCAGCTCGATATTCCAAATGACCATCACGGAGTCCACTTTGGAGGCACGTACCACGTTTCCCAACATGTTCATATCCCCACTCTGGTCATCAACGGCAGCGGCAGTGGACTGTTCAGTATGCCAGAAGCCGCGCAAGGCTCTGCCTCACAAGCTCAAGCCACCGGGTTGCCTTTGCGGTGAACAACGTGGTGAACAACGTCGTAAACGTCTTTAGTTGCTGCCTTGAGTAAACATATGCTCTTGAGTCGATTTCATATAAAATGAGCGATGCCCGCCATCTGCATCATGTCCTTCTTTGTTTCCCAACATTATCAACTTCTTCAACACAAACAATCCACTCCGATTCACAGCTTCTTTATATATTTGAAAATTTAAAACAAACAGTAAGTACAATGTCAAACATTACAGAGAACTTGGGCGACACTTTCAACAACAACGCCAGGGCTGACCAGATCGCCGTTGACAAGATCGCTCTGGGCAATGTGACGCCCAGCAGCTCTTCCGACGGCTTCGATACGCTGTCTGACGCATTTGCAGAGTACGAGACCAGTGTCGACACCAGTGACGAAGAAGATGCCGTCGTTGGGGTGGTTGAAGGTGACGACGAAGATGACGTTGAAGACGACGGACTTGACAATCACGCAGCCCGTCCCAGGCTCACAACAGAGGCGCTTCTCGCGCTCAAAGCGCCCATCCTCGCGCGCCTGGCCACAATTATCCGAAACGCCGAAAAGACTGAGATCCTCCATCGCAACGACAAATTTGAAAAGCAGCGCATCCTCGACAAGCTCTACAAGACAGTCGACGTCGATCGCGACGACGTGGAGGATGCCGCGTGGGACCTCGATGGCAGCAGCTTCCGCCACGAACAGAGCCTTCAGCGTCTGCTGGAGCTCAAGGCGCATCTACGGGAGGTGCAGGACATGGTTGTGTAGGTGTACCTGATCCCTGTCTTAGAGCAGACGTCTCTGGTTTTCCTGAATTTTCTGAGCATTTTATCCGCTCCCCACATGTTTGTTGAGTTTACCTTCTGAATTTCGCATCCTTGCAAGTGAGTATTCGAGCATTACCACTTTTCTTCAAATTAGAGTAAGCTCGTTGTACCAACTTTCATTTACAAGTTTAAACAGTCGGCTAACAAAATCGCAAATATAAATACACATCGCTCTTGTCAAAAACAAAACTACTCTTGTCTCTTCTTCTCATCGAGTCTCAAACTCAATATTCGCAACATCCTGAACGCTCAACGTTCAACGCCCATCTTCAGAATCACGACAACAGCGTCTGGCGTGTCTGTAGCCTTCGATATGTCGTAGGCAAGCTTGAGTAAGTCTAAGAGTGAGAATGAGATATCAACATCTCGGGAAACAATACAAAACTTATATTGGGCTTTCTATGTCTAAGGGAAATACGCTCTCAGTCATTCTCGACTTGATTGTTTTTTTTTTTGATATCTTTCAAAAATAAAACGATCTTGCTTGTCTTTATTAAAATTGTGTTTCTAATTTTTTTTTTTTGGTAAACAAATAAAAACTAAAACAATACGTAAAATCAAGAAACATTCCCACGGTCTTAAGAAAACAAGAGCACATTCACAACTTGACAGAGACCCAAACAATCGTGAAGCCAAAGGCAGACGTTCGTCGTTCAATTGTCTTGACAGTCACGTGAAAGATCAGGTGCAGTAACGCAAGTGGAGTTGCCGCGAGCAATTGTGCCGCCTCTTATTGGCTAAAAACCTAGGCGGGAAAGCTCGCTCATTCCTGCCGTCCACTGATGAAGTGGATTCTGTGTTTTGCACGCAGTCAACGACGACAACGACGACAATTCCCATTGCCAGCGACGAGCCTTGGGGAGACTGACGCACGACCCATTCTTTTTATTCCTTTCTACAGCGAGCGTCTCCTGCTGACGACCAATTGACCGCGCCAACTGGGCCGATCTCCTCCATCGTCGAAGCTTTTCTCTCCCCCTCTCCCACGTCCAGAACACTCACAACCGCCCACCATGCCTCAGGATATGCCGCCGACGGGCGGCTATGCCCCTGTCCAGTACAAGGTAAGATGGAACAATGGCGATATCGACTGTTGGAGGACAGATGCGTTGCCCAGGGACGACTGCAGGCCGTGGTAACAGCCCGCGGCGGGTCCGATCGGGGGATGCTGCGGCGCGGCAGTTTTGCGGAACAGCGTGGACGGAACCTGCAACACGGACGACAAAAGAACGCGGCTAACCACAGATCTTCCCTCCCAATCCAGCGAAACCTTCCTTCCCGCGGCTTCCGCCCGGCCATCCTGCTCGGCATTATGGGCGCCGCCATGGGCTACGGCTGGTTCAAGCTCGCCGTCGGCGTCAGAGAGCAGCAGTATGTCCCTCCCCAATCTCCCTCCTATTCCCCGCCTACACAAACGCCCTCTAACATAACCCAACTCTAGTGAAATGGCCCGTGAAAAGATGTGGTCGCGGATCCACCTGATCCCCCTGCTGCAGGCCGAGGAGGACCGCGACCAGGTGCGGCGGCACTTGGCGGACCAAGCGCGGGAGCGCGAGCTGCTGGGCGACAACACCAAGGTGTACAACTCGGACCGGTTTGTGCGGCCGACGTTTGCGGCGACGCCGCGCTCGACGACCAAGTAAGGGGGCGGCCGTGTCGCAATGAAACGCTGATCGGGAGCGAAGCGTGACGAGCCACAAACGGCGGGCATTCGATCGAACGACGCGAGGATGACGACGGCAGACGCGGCATACGGAGCGAAAAACAGAGAGAGGTGAAAGAGATGAGGCACATGGAATGGGCGCGAGGATGACAGCATTCGACGGACGACGAACGGTCCTGTACATAGTTGGATACCAAGACAGGCCATCCCAACAAGCAAAATAAATAAATAAAGACATTACCAAACATTCACTGTCCGTACGTACGATGATCAATGACTGCAAAGAACAGTCCATAGCAGCGTGACCGACGTCAATTCGGTTCTCATTACGCCACAGTCCGTAAGCGAGTATCCCAAAATAAGAAAACATAACCGTCCAACAAGAAGTGCCATACGCAAGAGACAAAATACAATCCAAGCTCCTAAACAACCAAAACAAACACAAAAGAAAGCACCACCACCGTCCCACCTGCGCCTACCCGCGCCTACCCGGAAATCTGCACCACGCGGAAACCCTCGGACAGCACCTTGTTGATGTCCTCGCTCTTGTGCTGCAGCAGGCCCAGCGCAAACGCCACGTCGTTCCACTGCCGCTCCGTGTCGCAGCGCGCCAGGCGGGCGGCCAGCTTCTCGGCCAGCTGCTTGGCGTGCTTGTCCTTCTCGACAAAGCCCAGCAGGAAGCGCACGATGCGCCGGAAGCTCTCCTCGTCGAGCGCCGTCTCGGCCGACAGCAGACTGAACATGTCGACAAAGTGGTTGTAGACGGCGTTGTCTTTGGTCGACAGCTCCGTGAAGAACATGCGCGCCAAATCCGCAATGCGCTTGTCGTCGTCCTCGAGGCACTTGGCCATCTCGCCCAGCTGGCCCTTGACCTTGACCTGGCCGGCCAAAATCAAAAACGTCAGCGTCATCAGACACGTGCGCTTGACGGAGTCGTCGGCATCCGCCAGGCGCCGGTACAAAAAGTCCGTGTTCTCGTCAATCAGGTGGTTGAAGCAGACGGCCATGTCCCCCAGTGCAATCACCGCGTTGGACCGCACCGTCGCGTCCGTCGACCGCTCCATGATCGTAATGAGCAGCGGCAGATTCGTCTCGCAGTACTCGGCGCTGACGCACATCAGCTTGGCCATGCACAGCGTCGCCGCGGCCTGCAGCCCCCTGTCCTTGTACACGATGTTGTTGGCGCAGATCTCCGACACCAGCGGGCCAAACATGCCCAGCAGCGCTGTGGGGCCGTACAGCAGCTCGCGCTCGCGAATGTGCTGCATCGCCTCGGTGAAGTCGTCCTCGGTGGTACCGCCAATGAGGTCCAGCTCGTCGCCCTCGTCCTCCTTGGCGGCACCGGGCGCTGCGGAGGCAGCAGCAGCCTCGCGGGCCTTGGCACCCTTCTTGCCCCGTCCCGCAGCACGCTTGCCGGTCGTGGCAGCCTCTTCCTCCTCGGCGATCTTGGCCGCCGCCTCCAGCTTCTCTTTCTCTTGCTTACGCCGCTTAAAGTCCTGCTCGCACAGTTCGAGGTGTACAATCTGCTTGATTGCGACCTGGCCCACGACAAACAAGAGCTGAGACAGGGCATTGGTGGTGCCGCGCTGTGACTGTGCCTTGGCCGGCGACGCTGCTTGCGTCTCGGGGAGGACGACCGTTGCGTTGCCCTCGGCATCGCCTGTCGGGAGCACCGTGGTGACGTCGCCGCGCGATGTCGGCCGAGAGGAGGCTGGCGACGGTGCCGCGAAGGCCAGGCGCGTCTTGCGGCGGATGATGTCGCTGCAGAGAACGTCCGGGTGCTTGGACAGGGCGTATATGGCATTGATGGCCTGCTCGGCCACGCCGAACCACTCCTTGCTGTCCGACGGCACATCGATGATGGCAGCCAACTTCAGGAGTACAGCATGGTCGTTGGCGAGGCGCGAGAACGTAACGCTAGAGTCCTTTGCCGCGCGGCCGACGGGGTTGATCCGCTGCAGCGCCACACACGTGTACTTGGCCAGCTGCAGGTCGGAGCGGCCGTGCGCGCCGAGGCCAGTGCGCAGCATCGTCTCCATCTCGCCCACGGCAATCTCCGGGTTGGCCGTGGCCAGCATGCCGAGCACAATGATGGCACCGCGGCGCTGTGTCCGCGAGATCTCGCGCTTCTGCACGCCGTACACCTGCCACAGCTTGGCGACCACCACCTCGGGGATCATGCCGCCCTTCATCATGGTCGCCAGCAGCTGCTCGAGGGACGTGAGCTCCGCCGGCGTGGCGCCAAAGGTCAGCGAGATCATGTTGCGCGCAATGTAGTTGGCTGCGTCGTTGGGGCCAAACACGTCGGGCGCCTCAAAGAACAGCCGGCGGTAGCACTCGATGAGGTGCGTCTGCACGCCCTTGCCCTCGTCGCTGTTGCCCTTGGTCCAGATAAGACGCAGCATGCGGCGGATGCCAATCTTGTTCTGCTCAATGTTGTAGGCGTCGCCAATCTCAAAGTAGTCCATGGCCTCAATGACCTCGCTCTTGTTGCGCGAGCCCAGCAGCTGGCAGATGGTCGTGGTGGCCTCGTGCAGAATGTTAATGAACTTGAGCGCCTCCGAGTAGTACTTTTTGGTGAGCGTCAGCTTGCTGATGGCTTCGGACGTGGCCGCCTCTTCCTGCGCCTTGCGAACAGCAGCAATCTTTTCCTCGTCGGTCATCTCGGCCATGCCTTTTTGGGGAGAACCTTCGATCTGAGTTGCCTCGTCCAGCAGACCCGTCGTGTTGCCGGCATCGTCGGCACTCTTCTCGCCCAGGTCCGGCGCGCCCTCGGGCGGCCGCAGCGACTGTATCTCTTGCTCGACCATGTCGAGGCGCTCCTGATACTCCTTGCGCGAGAGCTGGGCGCCGTGCATGGCCGTGAAGGGATGCGTCTTGATCAGACAGCCCAGCAGCTTGATGGCATTGCGGCGCACATTGCTGCTCTTGTCCTCGAGGCTCTGGTTGGCGAGCTCGGCGGCCTTGAGGCGGCGCTTGGGGAACTTCATGTCCAGGTCGCACAGCTTGACGTACACCTGGATGGTGCGCGAGCGGCAGTAGGGGTTGATGTCGAGGAAGCGCTCCTCGAGCACGCTGAAGAAGGCGTTGAGCTGCGACTTGTGGTCGTCGCCGCGCTCCTCCTGGCGGCTGAGGTACGCAATCATGTTGCCGCAGATCTCGATGAGCGCGCAGCGCAGCGTGTAGGATTCGCTATCCATCTGCTTGATGAGGGAGGCGACCTGCTTGATGACGAGGCGGGGCGCGAGCTCGGACAGCTTGATGACAAACGTCGAGACCTGCTTGGGGCCGCGCGTGTCGTTGCTGCTAAACTCCTTGTTGCTGAGCTCGACCAGGATCTCGTTGGCCAGCTGCTCGTAGTCGTACTGCTCGGACAGGATGTGCAGAAACTCGGCCATGGGCTCCGACAGGTGCTCAAAGTACGTCAGATTCTGCACAATCGAAATCTGTGCCGCGTAGGCGTGGCCGTGGTGCTTGACGGCCATGCAGAGCACCTTGAAGGCGTGCATGCGGATGGGCATGGACTTGACGCGCTGCTCGCTCTCGAGGATCAGGTAGACGGGGCGCGTCAGCAGGCCCATAAACGTGTCGCGCTCCGAGGTCGTCAAGAAGATCTTGGCCAGCTTGAGGCGCAGGACCTTGCACATCGTGTCGAGGGCCGTCTGCAGCTGTGCGGACGAGTCCCAGCTGCTGTCCTTGTCGTTCTCGGACGCGGCCTTCTTGCCACGCGCCTTGCTGCTGCCGCGGGCGGCGGGGGCGGACGACGACTTCTCGGCCGCGCGGGTCTCGACAGCGGAGACGGTCCATTGCAGCAGGAAGCCGTAGATCTCGAGCAGGTGCTTGTGGTGCGCAATCAGGTCCTGCTCGTCGGCCTCGAGGTCGTGGTTGACGGCATCGGCCTCGGCGGACAGGCCTGACGTGATGAGGTCAAAGACCTTGCTGAGCGCATGCGTCGGGAGAAACGAAGTGTACCTGGAAGAAGAAGAGGGTAAAAGTTCAGAATGGGTTCCAGACAGACGAGGTTGGCTCGCGCCCGAGAGGCGTTTCCTTTGCGTTGGCGTGCCCGAAGGCGTGCCGGACAGCGTGTCCAGACTAGAAGACAAAGACAGAGAAAACGGAAGGGGGGCATGAGCAGAAGAAGATGATGTGGAAAAGGCGCACTTTAAGAGAAACTGCAACGAGTCAAAATAGCTGCTGCGCGTAATGGCATCGGGGCTCTCGGCGACGGCGTCGACGATGGGGTTGAGCACGGGCGAGATGACGGCGTTGGTGAGGGCCTCGGGGTCGTTCTCGCAGTCGAACAGGGCGGCGTCGGCTTCGGGCGTGGGGATCGAGGCCGGGTCGCTCATGTAGAACTTGAGGGCATTGTTGATGTCGAAGGCGACGGCGTCCATGATGGGCGATTGGGTGGGGGAGGGAGGGCGCAGCAGCGCAGACCTGTGCAGTTAGAGAGAAAGAGAGGAAAGAAATGAAAGAAGAAAGAAAACGAAAAGAGAAGAGAGAAAAGCGAGAGGGTGGCAGGGGCAGCGGCCGGTCGATGCTCCTGTATGGAGGCCGTGGTCGCAAAAAGTGAAGCCACTGGAATTCCTGTCGTTCGGTTGGCGATGTTTGGCCAATGTTTTGGGCTCCCTCCTGCATGCATGGAGCAGCCGAGCGGAAGGGGAAAGTGCGACCTAAACCTGGGGCTATTGTGTCCCCTCTTGCCGTCTGGTGTTTGGTGTGTTTGGTGTGTTTGGGTGCAGAAAGTGCGCAAAGGGAAGGCGGGGCCTGGCAACGGCTTGTTTATGTTTACTTTGCGCAATTGCCGTTTTGGGACTGCCGCTAAAATAAGCCCGCCCCCTGCGCCCTGACGCGTTCTGGTCTGTCACCCCACTAAAGCGACGCACGTAAAAACCGCGTCACAGCGGCATTAGCGGCCTGTCAGCCTTCTCGGCCGCGGCTCTAGCAGCTTCTCTGGGAATTGTCAACAAATGTTTGGGGACACCACCACTACACAACACGCAGAACATGCCAATTGGGTGTTGGGTGCTTTGAGCCTTTACCCGGTCGTTTGTCGTTTACTGCGTGTTAGTCTATTTGTCACCAACGGTACCGGGTTTGTCTGCGAGCAACCCTTCCTCGACTGGCCGCACGACTTCTTTCGTCTGTTCTTTGCTTTCGTCCCATTTTGCGCATCCTTCTCCAGTATTTAATATGGCGACAGGCTTGCGGAGGAAGCGGGATGACGAGCCATTCAAGATTCACGAGGACATGGCGTTCCGGGAAGATACGCCGATGATCAACGACGTCGTGGCGCACATTCAGTCGACTCAAGACGATGGGGACGACGACGACGACCAGCCGGACGAGCATGAAGAAGACCAGGACGATCAAGGCTATGGTGGTGAGAATGACGACGACGACGACGCACACGAGGAAGAGGTGGTCATATTAGGCGAAGGGGTCGAGGAGGACGATGAAGAAGACGCCGAGACGGCAAAAAGCGAGGCAGAAGAAGGCCCCGACGACAATAATGGCGAGGACGACATTGACGAAGGTGGAGACACCTCGGACGACGATGTCATCGACGAGGCCGTGCAGTATGACATGGAGAAGCTGCAGGCCACGTTTCCAAGCTTCCGCAACCAGTTCCGGCTCATCAAGCGAATCGGCGAGGGTGCGACTTTCTTCCTGTCCTGTGACAGCCTTGTTTCTGGCTACAAATTCTAACTCGACTTTACAGGCACATTCTCGACGGTGTACAAGGCAGAGGACCTGCAGTACGAGCGCTACGACAACTCCTGGGACCTGGACAAGGACGCTGAGAAGTGGTCATCCCCGCCGCTCAAGCGCACAAGGACAGTCGGCGGCGCACGGCGGTCTGACCGGCTTCTTGACGAACACGACGAGCGTCATCTCTCACAGGACAGGAAACCCCGGCGTCGCGCCAAGTACGTCGCCATCAAGAAGATCTACGTCACATCCAGCCCGCTGCGCATCCTCAACGAGCTCGAGCTGCTGCACGACCTGCGGTCGTCACCGTCCGTCTGCCCGCTCATCACCGCCTTCCGCAGCACGGATCAGGTTGTCGCCGTTCTGCCCTACTTCCGGCACCAGGATTTCCGCGAGTACTATCGCCACATGAAGGTGACGGACATGGCCATCTACCTGCGGTCGCTCTTCGAGGCGCTTGCCGCCGTGCATCGCGCCAACATTCTGCACCGCGACATCAAGCCAACGAATTTCCTGTATGATCCTTCGACAGGCCGCGGCGTGCTCGTCGACTTTGGCCTGGCCGAGCGCGAGGGCAGCGACACGAAGCCCTGTCTATGCCACGAGGTGGAGAGCGTGCGCAAGGCACGCATTCGCGCGGCCTATGTGCCGAACGCGGCGCACAACGGCTACCCCAAGTCGGATACGCGTCCGTCGCGGCGGGCGAACCGTGCGGGCACGCGTGGGTTCCGCGCACCCGAAGTGCTGTTCAAGTGCACAGAGCAGACCACCAAGATCGATATATGGTCCGTCGGCGTCATCTTGTTGACCCTCCTGTCACGGCGGTTCCCCTTCTTCAACAGCGCGGACGACGTGGAGGCCATGATTGAGATTGCGACCATCTTTGGCAGCAAGCGCATGAAAATTGCCGGCCAATTACACGGGTGCATGTTCGAGACGACGATTCCGACCGTCGGCCGTGAAGGGTTCAGCCTGGAGCGGATCATCCTGTGGAGCAACTGCCGCATCGACAACAGCAAGACGCTGGTGCCGCTGAGCGAGGACGAGAAGCTGGCGGTCAAGTTTTTGAACCGATGCCTGGACCTGGACCCGAGCAGCCGCATCAGCGCTGAAGAAGCGCTGAAGCATGAGTTCTTGTCGAGCAAAATGACGGGCCGTGGCGGCCATGGCCGCCATGGCCGCGACCAGTATGCCGACGAGGAGGAGGATGAAATGGACATGATTTGATAGAGGAATCACAAAGTAGGATAGCCGATTGGCGTTTTCTGAGGGAGCATTGGATGGCGGTGGGATGCACCTTGGTTCGTGAGAACATGCATTTACATCAGGCGTTTAAATACAATCACATTTTCAGGAGGCACAGGTGTGCCGTTGCAGCGCAGCGGTGTACTATTTCTATATCGAATAACTGCAATTGAGGAGGTATTTTAAGAATTGGTTATAAAGAATCCTCAATTGTAAAATAAAGTGTAGTCTCCTCAGCATGACACTTGGATCAGTTTTTGACATATTTCATAACTAATTTTAAATAAAACAAGGATAATAATAAAAACTTTGCAGCGTTCAAAATAATTAAAACTCTGCCAAACAGTAGCTCAAAACTTTCGTAAATATCTAGGAATTTAAATCGAAAGCCGCAATTTTTTCTCAAATTCGTCAACACATTTGTTGTCTGCGATATCAGATATCCTCAGCCACAAGGTTGCCAGAGATTGTGTGACTCTGTCGTTCTGTCTTGACGCGGGATGCGGTAACAAACGGTACCACGCTACAGTGCAGTAAAGCCCTCGGCAGCGGTTCGGCAGGCCACGCCAGCCTGCCGCGGGACGAAAACAGCGCGAAAAGTGGGCACCATTCCAGCACATGCCAGCGGCCGGTTGTTCTCCGCATGGCGTCACTCTCAGCCATTGGCAAAAAAATAGCGTAGGAACGAGAAACACAAAAATCCAAGAAATTGAATTGCCAACGATTTGCTCTCGTGCGCCAGCGCCAGCCTTGCGACGTCAACACCCAGCCCGCACGACACCACGACACCGTCTTGTTACCGCCTCCGTCCTCCCTCCGTCCTCCCTCGATCCTCCCTTGAGCGTCTCTACCCCTCCCTACGTCACCATGTCGGCGGCTGCACCTGTAGCCGCGGCCGATGCCGGCGGCAGCAAGAAGAAGAAGACGCCGAGCCCGCTGCGGTCGATTATTGCCGGTTCGACGGCCGGTGCCGTGGAGATTGGTGCGTCCGATGGCTGTTGTCGTGTTGTCATATTGTCGTGTTGTGGAATTGTTGTATGACCTGGTCCTGCTAACACCCTCTTCTAGCAATTACCTACCCTGCCGAGTGTATGTCCTTTGACGCCTACTGACCATGCTCCCCTTGCACATGACATTCGTTGCCTGACAAGCACGCCCCAGTCGCCAAGACGCGCACGCAGCTCAACCGCCGGCTCGCCGACGGCCAGAAGCTGCCGTGGCCCAAGTTCGGCCCGCAGTGGTACGCCGGCTGCACGACGCTCATCATTGGCAACTCGGCCAAGGCCGGCATCCGCTTCGTCGCGTTCGACCAGTACAAGCGGCTGCTGGCCGACGAGAACGGCAAGATGACGGGGCCCCGCACGGTGCTCGCGGGGTTCGGCGCGGGCGTCACCGAGTCGCTGCTCGCCGTCACGCCCACGGAGAGCATCAAGACGACGCTCATTGACGACCGCAAGCGGGCGCAGCCGCGGCTGCGCGGGTTCCTGCACGCCGTGCCCATCATTGCGCGCGAGCGCGGCCTCCGCGGCTTCTTCCAGGGCTTCGTGCCGACGACGGCGCGGCAGGCGGCCAACTCGGCCGTGCGGTTCTCGTCGTACACGTTCTTCAAGCAGCTCGCCGAGAGCTACACGGCGCCCGGCGAGAAGCTGGGGACGGTGGGCACGTTTAGTATGGGCGCGCTGGCGGGCCTGGTGACGGTGGCGGTGACGCAGCCGCTGGACACGATCAAGACGCGCATGCAGAGCATCGAGGCGCGCAGCGTCTACGGCAACAGCCTGCGGTGCGCGGCCCTCATCTTCAAGCAGGAGGGCCTGCTGACGTTCTGGAGCGGCGCGCTGCCGCGGCTGGCGCGGCTGGTGATGAGCGGCGGCATTGTGTTTACCATGTACGAGAAGAGCATCGACCTGATGGACCGGCTGGACCCAGAGTCGCGGTACATATAGGGCTTGTTCTCTTTTCTCTTGTTCTCTTGTTGTTTGCTTTCATGTTCTCATGTTTGTTGCTTTTATTCCCGTCCATTGAAAAGTTCATAATTCCAATAAGTTCGAATTATTTGATTTGTATGGGAGAGGTATCATGCGAAAAGAGCCTGGACGGATAGAATATACAATACCAGTACATTTGCTAGTGTTCTGCCCGTTGTTTTGCCAATTATTGCTTCTTTTATCCGTATCATCGACATCATGTCTCCATCTATCCGTTCCAATGCTAGCCCAAGATCGTCTCGCCCATTTTGTATAACCCAGAACGCCGTGCAATGCAGTTGCCCAGTGTAGGCACACCTTTTGTTTTCTATACTTTTTTCGTTTGTCGTTCGGTGTCTTGCCGTGGTGGCTGGTTTCGCTTCGATGTCCGGCCTCGCCTCCACTCGTCGTCACAATCACTCGCCTACGACAGCCGGAACATGCCGCCCAGCCGCTTCCGCACGCGCCCCAGGAAACTCCGCGTCGGCGCCTCTTCCAGCTCCGTGATCAAGTCCGTGTAGTAGGTCGGGTTGCTGCGCGGCGTCATCAGCGGGCCCGTCAAGCGGTGCGTCTTCTTGTAGCGGTCGTCGAGCAGCGACTGCAGCGCATTCACCTGACGCAGCTGGCCGAGGTCCGACGTGGGTGGGTTCGGCGGCGGGCGGCCGGTGGCGCGCTCAATGGCAATGTCGGTGACGGGCGAGGCCAGGGAGCGGCGGCCGGCAAGACGGTCGGCTAGATGCTGGCCGCCCAGGACGTCCTGGAGCTGGACATCCGGCCGCAACTGGTCTTTGGGCCAGCGGGCGAACGCCGCCTTGTATTGTTTTGTGAGGACCTATTGCGTGTGAGCGAGTGAACCAAGTGGTGGGGGTCGGTGGTCTCCAGGATCGCGGACGTACACTCTTCAGACCCGACATTGTGGTTGCTTGCCGTCGACGGTACTTGCACGGCTGGGTGGTATCGTTGAGGCTCGGAAGCGCAAATTCAAAAAGTTAACGTGAGCTGCAACTTCACCCAAATGACGCTGTCTGATTGGCCGCTTTCGTTGGAGAGCGTCGGATTTTGGAGCAAAAGAGTGGGGACGCGGACGAGGCAAAGTAATGCCCCATAAACAAGGCACCAACTTTAGGGTCTCTGTTCTGACAGGGCTGTGGCGCCGTGGAAAGCAGTCGAACTCCACTGAAGCAGACCTGATAGCCTCGCTCGCCTTGCATTTCCCGAGCTGCCGTCAATTGCATAACGTCAGCAAGCCAAAATGCCATAGTTTCGCCCCTGCGTTCCGGCGCCTGCCATGCCAGGTCTAGGCAGCGCCCAATGCGCCGCAGATGCTCCCGAGGCCCCTGACTGCGCCATACTGTGGTGACTCGCCTATTGAGTGGCCTGTTCCCCCCCTGGCATGTTCTAAAAAAGGCCGCGCAACGGCCAGGATTCCAATAAGTCGCCGAAGTGTCCTCCCTTTCCTTTGTAACTCGTAATCTGCTCAACCCAAAACCCACTCGGGCCGCTCACTCTCCCTCTACCCACTCTACTCTGGTGATCGTCGTTCCTGACGTCCCCTTCGACCACGTTCAATCAAGCCTTCCTCTTTCTCGACAAACACAACACGACACTGCGTCTGCCGACACTCTTGACGCCTTTTGGCTCTCTTCGTCTGCCGTCTCTTCCTCTCCTCGACGACGTCCTCCATTCTTCATCCACCCTCCACCCTTCTCGACGGTCCCTTCGCCTCCCTTTGCCTCCTCTGAAACCGCCAAGCCGTTGAGCTCGCATCCTTTTCCAGACACATTTCAATCCGCACGACCAAGCAACAACAACAACAATAGCAAGCAGCGACAGCAGCAACGTCAAAGTACGGCATTTTTGCATCTCTACAGCATCGTCAGGAATACCGCTCCTCGCCCTCTCCTATTTGATCATCCATCTCCCATTGTCCTCAGAGTCCCTGGCTTGACCGCCTGCCTGCAGCCATGTCGGCACGGTACGAGCGGGTGCATGCCCAGGAGGACGACTACGACTACGACGACCACGACGACCACGACGACGACCGTACCCCTAGACACGACAACAGCCTCTTCTCGCCCAACCCGACCATCCCCAACTCGCCGCCGCCGTCGTTTCGGTCGCGCACGTCGTCGCAGGCACCGACGATTACGAGCGGCGGCCGACGGCACGGCACCGCCTCCATCCACACGACCCACTCGGTCGTCGACCCGGCGCTGGTCGATGCGTTTGGCGACGACAATGACGACAACAGTGACGACGACGACGGCGCGGATGCGGACGACCGGCAGCGGCTGATGCGCAGCCGAGACGCGCTGCGGCCGATGCGGGCGCCGGCGTGGATGACGCGGTCTGGGGCAGCAGCAACGGAGACAGAAGAGTCGGACAGCAACGCGGCACCCACGCCGTCGACGTCGACGCCCTCGCCGGCGCCGGCACCAACACGACGACCGGCACCGGCGTCGGGCACGACGCCGACGCCGACGACGGGCCGCGTCTACGGCGGCGGCATCCAGTCAGACGGCGTGTTTTCCAACCTGACGGCGCGGCCAGAGCCGGGCGAGGAAAAGGACGAGTTGCCTCCGGTTGGTTTCCCAAGTCCCTGCTGTGGTGAATACCGCGAATGATTCTACGAATGATGCTAACAGAGTAAGACCTACGAACAGGCCGCAGCCGACGCCGCCCCGCCGTACTGGGAGACGACGATCCTGGCCCCGCACCTGGGCGGCCCCGACGACGTGTATGTGGACGGCATGCCCGTCGGGTCCGTGTTCTCGTTTGCCTGGAACGGCATGATCTCCATGTCCTTCCAGATTGTCGGTTTCCTGTTGACGTACCTGCTGCACTCGACGCACGCGGCCAAGAACGGCTCCCGTGCCGGCCTCGGCATCACGCTCATCCAGTACGGCTTTTACGTCAAAGGTTCCGGCGACAGCGGCGGCGGCGGCAGCGGCATGGACGCTGCCGGTGCGGCGGCCGCCAAGTCGTCCGACGGCTACGCGGCCCCGCCGGACCCGAATGCGCACAATTTTGACCCCAGCACGGTGGGCACGGGCGACGTGTCGGGCGGCGGCAGCGGCGGCATCGGGGCGAGCCTGTCGGACATTGCCAGCAGCGAGTGGGCCGCGTACGCGCTGATGATTGTGGGGTGGCTGATTCTGATTAAGAGCGTGAGCGACTTTATGCGGGCGCGGCGGCACGAGCAGCTGGTGCTGCAGAGCCCGGACCGTGGACTGGGCGTCGCGGTCATTGCCGAGGGGGAGAACCCCGAGCGTGTCGTCTAGGCCGTTGGAGGCTCTTTTTAATTTGTGTATTGCTTGTTTTGTTTTGTCTCTTGCCGGCATATTTGGGCTTTCAGCAGCATACATTCCTTACTCCTTTCCTTGCGTCAAATCCATCTACATTTCTTGTCTGTGCCATGAGCTCATTACATCTTCCGTTTCTGCACCCAACGACTCAAATCGTAGAGTGGTAATGACTTAAATCGTAGATTGGCTGCTGCACTGCCCACTGACACTGTGACGCACACGATCCGCTGTGGGGTGACTCGCTAGCAGGGTTCACCAACAGCCGCCGCCAGCGGGTCTAGCGCTGTCGCCACCCACTTACATGTCATGCGCCCATCCACCTCAAATGATCTCGACTCGTAAACGCAACAACGCTCACCACGACCCGCTGCACCATCATATCAATTCAACGTCGTCCCACAACATATACCGTTGCAGCGACTGACGTGACTACTTTGACCCCCACTCCTTAACCACCCTGGCTGGACTTTTCAAGCGCACCGCCCGGGTCCTCTTCCCTCGGCTGCCGTCAGCATCGTCCTCGTCTTCATACGCCACCATGGCCTGGCGCAGCTCCGGCAACTCGCTGGCCGAGCTCGTCGACAACCTGTGCGCCCACGGCCTCATCACCGACGACCGCGTCAAGCAGGCCTTTCTCGCCGTCGACCGCGCCCACTACGCGCCGCGCAGCCCCTACAAGGACGCGCCGCAGTCCATTGGCCACGGCGTGACCATTTCCGCGCCGCACATGCACGCGCTGGCCGCGGAGAACCTGCTGCCGTATGCTGCTGGCAACAGCGAACACGGCGCGCACATCCTGGACATTGGCAGCGGCAGCGGCTACTTGACGCACGTCCTGGCCGCGCTCGCCGGGCCCGCCGGCTCCGTCGTCGGCGTCGAGCACATTGGCGCGCTCTGCGACCAGGCGCGGCACAACATGGCCAAGAGCGACGACGGCCGGCAGCTGCTGGCGACGGGCCGCGTGCAGTTTGTCGTCGGCGACGGCCGCAAGGGGGCGCCGGCGTCGCTCGTGGGCGACCACGGCTTCGACGCCATCCACGTCGGCGCCGCGGCCGCCGAGCTGCACCCGGAACTCCTCGCACAGCTGCGCGCGCCGGGCCGCATCTTTATCCCCATGGACGACGAGGCCGACGGCGGCGCGGGCGACCAGTGGGTGTGGCAGATTGACAAGGCGGCGGACGGCACGGTGACGAAGAAGCGGCTGATGGGCGTGCGGTACGTGCCATTGACCGATGCGCCCAAGTGAGGAGAGGCTGTGTGTGCGTGTTTTATGGATGACACAGATTGGAAGGCCGGGAACGCTATGATGCGGAGTCCAAAAATTGAAATTGCTAGTTATGACGTTATGACGAATACATTAATTTCCAACAACCGCCCGGGGCAGCATGTAATACCAGAATCAGCCGTCGACTGGATTTAGCCTGGCAGTCGGACAGTCGGACTGGCGGAGAGTCTAGTGCTCTGTGAATATCCGCAAAGAACCCGGAAGCTGGATTGGCATTGGGACCGTCCTATAAGACTCTGATGTTTCCTGGCCTGTAGTCAATCATCGTGTTAAATGGTTCGTGATGAATATCGCAAACACCACAACTCGCCAAGATCACCGGATATGCACAAGAAGCAAGCAACCATGGTACTCCGAATTGGTTCGTTCATCGCCATAGCCGCAGTTGCTCATGCTGTAACGGCCACGCCCATCACTGTCGATCTCGGCTATGCGTCGTACTCGGGCGTGCACAATGCCACCACCGGCCTCAACGTCTGGAAGGGCATTCGTTATGCATACCCCCCCGTCGGCCGTCTCCGATGGCAGGCGCCGCAGTCGATTGAGAGCAGCAACAGCCCGTCCCGGAATGCTTCTCAGACGCCCGTCCTGGCTGACCGTTTCGGACCTGCCTGCCCACAGTCGCTGTCCCAATACCCGCGTACGACGCCCGAGTTCACCCCCGGCAACGAGGACTGCCTGTTTCTGAACGTGTACGCACCCGCCAACACGAACGGCAGTCTTCTCCCCGTCCTCGTTTGGATACACGGTGGCGGCTATGGCCAAGGCGATGGCACCCAGGACATGTCGGGCCTGCTGACGGCCACGGCCCATGCCCACCCTATCGTGGCCGTCTCGATCCAGTATCGCCTCGGTGCTTTCGGATTTCTGGCGTCCAAGGAAATCCGCCGCCGTGGACAGCTCAACGCCGGTCTGCTGGACCAGCGGGTGGCCCTGGAATGGGTGCAGCGGCACATTGCTGCCTTTGGGGGTGACAAGGCGAAGGTTACGCTTTCGGGCGAGTCCGCCGGTGCCGGTTCTGTTTTGCTGCATACCGTGGCAGCCAACGGAGCCGGCGGCGCAGATGCCCAGCCCTTGTTCCAGAATGTATGTTCGTTTTCTTTAGTTCAATGTCGCTTTCGTCCCGTGCACCGCTCACTCGCCGCCAGATCTGGACCGCCTCGTCGTGGATCCCAACCCAGCCGCGGTTCGACAGCGCCGTCCCGGAGCGCCACTATGCCGACTTTGTCTCCGCCGCCGGCTGCAACGCATCGGCGGACGCCTTCGCCTGCCTCGTCGCCCAGGACAGCCTCACCCTGCAAAAGGCCAGCAACTTGGTGTCGTCGACGCCGCCGACACCCATCGGCAACTGGGCGTTTGTGCCCGTGACGGACGGCCAGCTCCTGACCGCACCGCCGAGTGCCCTTCTTCTCGGTGGCGCTGGCGCTGGTGCTGGCGCCAACGAGAGCCGAACACAACTCCACGGCGTCAATGCCTTTGTCGGGAACAATGCGGACGAGGGCGTGCTGCTGGTGCCGTCCAACCTGCACACGGAGGCCGATCTGCGCACATGGCTGCAGGCCTACTTGCAAGAGCTCGGCCCGGACGACATTGACACGATACTGGCAAAGTACGCACCGGCCAACGGCGGCACCAGTGTTGCCACCAGTGTGCAGCAGAGGGCCTATGTACGTCCAAGGTGTGCCCCTTGTTGCGTACGAAACTTAAGCCAAAGTTGCAGCTGCTGACCATTGCAAGAACCTCTATGCCGAAGTCGCTGTCGTGTGCCCGAGCTACTGGCTCTCGACGGCGTTTTCGAACAACAGCACTACCACAAGCCGCTCGTCGTATCACTACCAGTACTCCGTCCCCTTTGCGGCGCATGGCGCCGACCTGGCGGCGTACTGGGGACCGGCCACACCAAACTTGGGCCCGGAATTTGTCCAGGCGTTTCGAGGTATGTTTCCGTCTACTGTGTTTTGTGTGTTGTCGATAGATTGTCGATGTTTGATTGCTAACTTCTGCGTCTTCCGCGTCTCGCAGAGAGCATCGTCGCGTTCGTCGCCACCGGCAACCCGTCGATCCCGCTGGCTGTGGCCAACGGGGCCTCATCGGCAAACAAGACGGCACCAAACGCTGCGGCCCACTGGCCCTCTTGGGCTGCCCCCCATGGCGGCCACACACTGGTCAACCTCAACCAGACGACGTCGTCATCCCTGGCACCTGTGAACCAGTTCTCGGCCGAGGACGCCGATGCCTGGGAGGGCGGCCGGGGTGAGCGCTGTGCCTTTTGGCAGCAGCTGGGTGCAAAGATTCCGGAGTGACACAACGTCAGCGATCCACAACGAAAACAAAGAGAAACCGTTGGCATTTCATTCAAAAAAGCAAACAAAAAAGTCGCTCGTTCACTGTCCCTGTTCTAAATAAAACCACCGAAGCCGACAAACATGAAACCAAGAAAAATAGGGGCCATGGCCCTCCCACAATCTAATATGCTTTCCTTCTAAAATATATGCCATGCAGAACACAATGTCGTAGATAATAGGAAACATGTAGGACGAGAGATGGCAGAGACGATGCGGCAAAGGTAACGTATAAAACAGAGGGATATTAGGAAGGAACAAAACACCAAAAAGACATCATAGACCAGGGTCGTACGTCCGTGACAAGAGGCGAGAAGATATAACAAGTCCATAGTAAAAAGACCAAGAAAGAAATGTGAAAACCCAGAACAAAAACAACTTTATTGTTTCTGCGCCGTCGCAATGCCAAGAATACGGCTTCCCAAGGCCTTGTAGCCGCCACTGCTACCACCCGCACCGCTGCTGGCCGGCTGCACCACACCGTCGTCACCGCTGGCGCGGCCGGCATCCGGCGTCAGGATCACCGACTGCTGCATCGGGTCATCGTCCCCGACAAACGTCCAGCTCTCCTCGGGCTCGTCGTCGTCGTCAACATCGTCGTCGTCGTACGCCTCCTCGTCGCTGTCGGCGTTGATGTGCTTGCCGTGGCCGCGGTCGTTGCGGTCGGCGCGTTCGGTGCCGCCGCCGCTCCGCAGCATCCCGCTCTTCGCGGCCTTTTCGCGCACCAGCGACTTGGCGTACTCCATGTCGCGGTAGATGCTCTGGATGGCCGTGTCGACGCCGTTCTCTTCGCGGATCTGCTCGCCCAGCACGGCCGCCTTGCGGATCATGCGCTCCGAGTTGGTCGCCTCCCAGAGCGCGCGCGCAAACGACATGGCGCCCCATTTCTTGAGGCACAGGCCCACGCCCAAGTCCTCCACGCGCATCCCAAAGAAGAACTGGTCGCCAAAAAAGGGCCGGATGATGGTCGGGATGCCGGCGCGCAGCGACGCGCCCGTCGTGCCGGAGCCGCCGTGGTGCGCGGCGGCGTCGATCTGCGCAAACAGCCAGTCGTGCGGCGCCGACTTGATGGGGAAGATCTCGGCCGGCAGCACGTCCTCGGGCGGGTCCGCGTGCATCACACGTCCTGTCGCCGCCTCTGCCCCTGCCTCTGCCCCTGCCTCTGCCTCTGCCTCAGCCACCGCCTCCGTCTTGTCGTCCTTCTTGGCCACCAGCCGGTCCGACCAGCCCTTGGACAGGATGCAGCGGACGTCCGCCTTGTGCACGGCGTCAATCACTTCCTGCGTCATCTTGGCGGGGTCCGCCACCACGATCGAGCCGAACCCGACATACACAATCTTCTTGCGGTCCTTGCGTGCCTTGGCGATAAAGTCGAGCAGGTCCTGCGGCGGCGTCCAGGCCGGCTCCTTGGCCTCGGCCACCTCTTTCCCCTCGGGCTCGCTGCTGCTCTTGTTGTTGTTGTTGTTGTTGTTGTTGTTGTTGTTGTTGTTGGCCTTCTTGATGTTGGTGCCCTCGTCGAGGAACCAGTAGCCCGTCACGCGGATCCAGTCGCTGTAGTCCAGCGGCGGCGGCACGACGCACGGGCTAAAGTTGTACAGGAACGGCACCTTGTTGATCTGCAGCTTTTCCAGCGACGTGTTGCGCAGCCCCAGCGTCTTGTTGCGCCACCGGTTGACCTGCCCGGCCGTCGCCCGCCAAAAGATGTTTTCAAACATGGCGTACGAGAACTGGTTGTACGCGCCGCCCATCCGGCGCTCGGGCATCAGGAACGCGTGGGGGTACGCCCGCGTGCGCGTCCACGGCATCGTAAACGCCCGGAAGTAGGGGATCTGCAGCTTCTCGGCAATGTGGATGCCGGCCATGGCGCTGGGCGACTCGATCAGCAGGTCCGCGCCCTGGCACGCCGTCCACGCCGTGGACAGCAGCTCGTCGAGCCACGTGCGCATCTTGCTGTTGGCCTCGCGCAAAAACTGGATCGTAAAGGTGCCGTTCTCAATGCAGATGCGCATCAGCTCGCCCGGGTCGCCCGCCACGCGCCCGTAGTCCAGGCCGTGGCTGCGGATCCAGCCCTCAAACTCGGGGTGGGTGGCGATGCGCACGTGGTGGCCCTCAGCCAGCAGGCCGCGCCCCAGCGCAATGTACGGCTGCACGTCGCCGCGGGAGCCAATCGTGAGACACGTGATGCGCAGGGGCTTGGCGGGCTTGAAGTTGAGAAAGGACGCTTTCGGGTCGTCGAAGAGAATCGTGGGCGCCTCCGACATGAGCGCCGACTGGCGTAGGATCTTCCGGTTCAGCCGCTCGGCTTTGGCTTCGCTGGAGGCAGCCACCGCCTTGGCCGTGGCGACGGCCGCGGCGGTGGACTCGGCCGGCGTCTCGGCATGGTCGTCCATGCGCGCCGCGGCCTCCTCGCGGGCCTCTTTCAGCGCATCGCGCTCCGCGAGGGCCACATCGGCGTCCGCCTTGTCTTGGTCGCTCAGGACGCCCGACTCCTTGGCCGAACGGAACCGGTCGAGAAGATGCAGCAGCGTGATGGCGCAGTCGTCGCGCAGTTCGGCCTGGTGGAACTCAAAGAAGAGCTCTTCGTGGCCGCGGATCACGACCACCAGGCCGGCGTACGTGTAGCGGAAGCCCTTTTCCTTGACCACGTTCTCAATGTCCTTGAGCGGCAGGATCAGCTTGGTGCGCGTGCCGGGCACCAGGCTGCGGAAGCAGAAGTAGCGCTGGCTGACGTAAATCTTGCCATACAGCGGCAGCACGCGCATGATGGAGCCAAAGTACGTCGCCTCCAGTTTTTCGGTGTCGGGCAAGGCAAAGTGCTCGCGGAAATGCTCGTTGGAGACGATTGCGTCCGCCACGGACATGCCGGGCTCGCCGTCGGGCATGCCAGCATCCGCATGCGGCGTGAGAGATGCGTCGTCGTAGTGCTGGCGGCCGCCCTTCCACATGCCCGACACCTTCTCGACGTAGCCCATGGACTCGGTCGCCAGCATGGTGCTCATGCGGCGCGACTGGCGGTTCAGCCAGCCAGCATAGGCACCAGCGCGCTGCAGAGGGTAGGTGCCAAGGCGGGCCAGGTTCTGGGCCAGGCCTTCCTCGTTCTCGCCGGCTTCGTCGGAAGCGGCACCTTTGAACTTGCGAATGTTGCCGGTCGTGGCAGAATGGTGTGGTGGAGGCTTGGCGGCGGCGGCAGCAGCGGCGGCGGGCCGAGACGTAGATGGAGGGGGACCCGCGGAATGGGGCGAGCCTGCATCGAACGTCGGGCTCTGGAACACGTCGCTGCCGTGCAGGATCTGGCTGGCCGAGGGGTCGTCGCTGGACGAGGCCGCCATGTTCGAAAAGCTGATTTGGCTTGGGTCTTCCACGGACGACTGCATGAACGAATCGGTCGAGTCCTGTGGGTCAGACGACTGCGGCTGCGCGGCCGATGTGCTGCGCTGGCTGATCTTGCGCTGTACCGTATCGCCGGCCGCGCCTTTGATCCGGTCGCTGAAGCTCCGGCGCGGCGGGTTGGCCCGCAGGACCTGGCTCGTGTCGAGGCTGCGACGGGTCGGGCTAAAGGACGAGCGCAGCGCATCAAAGCTGGTGCGCGGGATCTCGCCGCTGGCACGCGGACTGCTGGCGGCCGTGGGCGGTATCGAAAGGAGCGTCGCGCGCACCGAGTCCTGCAGCTTGGAAGGTGGCTTGGACATGGACATGCGCTCTTGGCCAGCGCCAAAGGCGACGCTGCCGGTCGAGTCCTGCGAGACGCGGTCGTCCATGCCCTGGCCGGCCGACGGTAGGTCGAGGCGCCGACCGTAGGCGCGGCTGGGCGTGCCTTGACCGCTCTGATTGTCGGAATCGGCGTTGTTGTTGTTGTTGTTGTCGTTGCTGTTGACGTTGTTGGCGTCGATGAGGATCTTGAGAACACGCACGGCATCCTTGCCGTAGTCGAAAAAGGAAAAGAAGTACTCGTCAATGGCAAACGTCTCGTCGTTATCGATGACGCGGATCTTGCACGTCTCCGTGAACTCGACCATGGCCTGGTTCTCTTCAATGTCGATGACGTTCTCAATGGGCAGGGAGATCTTGACGCTGTCGCCGTCGTTGTGCGACCGGAAGATGACGCGCTGCAGACTCTTGACCCACTCCTTGGCGCTCGCGGCGCTGTCGGCGCGGAAGAAGTAGGTGCGGTGGTGCGTGACGACCTGGAAGTGCACGCCGTCCTTGTCCTGGTCGGAGACGGTGGCGGAGATGCCGTAGCGCAGGTCGATCTGGCCGTGGGGGAAGTAGAGGTTCTTGGCGTCGCGGTAGTACGAGAACACGTCGCCCTTGAGCCGGAACCAGTACCGGTTGTACTTGGGATTCCGCTTGCCCGACTTGGCCAGGTAGCCCGACTTGGCGACCTCGTTGGCCTTCTTGGGCAGGTAGGCGTAGAAGCAAATGTGGCGCGACGTGATGTACATGTAGCCCTGCAGCAAGACGCTCTGCAGCAGCCAGCAAGGGTACTCTTCAATGACTTCTTCCGGCTTGTCGAACTCGAAGATTTCCATCAACTTGCGGGACAGTGCCGACGGACCGCCGTCCTCGACGTCGACACCATCGCCCTTGTCCTTGTCGCTGGACTTGCGGTCCCGGTCAATGTCGAAACTGGGCCGCAGGGACGCCAGCTCCTTGGCCTCGAGCATACGGGACATGACAGGGATGCTGCGGACGCTATTGCTGCGCTCCGCCCGCGTGACCTGGATGCTCGGAGAGTGGTTGGAGCCGCGCGCGGAGCCGACAGCGACATCAACATCCGAGGTGGCGCCGCTGCCGCGGGGGAGCCGTGTCTGGGTCGAGGACGGCGTGTGGGAGCTCTCTGCCTCGGCATCGGCATCTTCGTCTTCTTCGAGGATGCGGCTGTCGCTGGTGCCGCCTGCGCTTGCATGCTTGGACGACTTGGACGACAGACCGGACGACGATCGGCGTTTGCTCGAGGAAAGCTTTTGCTTCAGAGACGGCAGCGAGCGCATAAGTTTGCTGTCGGAGAAACGCGAGCGACGTCCGCTGTCCTTGCCATCTTTGCCATCCTTGCCAGTACTGCTGGTGTTGCGTGTAAAGATGGTCGACTGGGATACGTCCTTGGCGGGCTTCTTGCCGCTCTTCTTCTGGGAGCCGGCAGCGGGCAGGACCGTCGTAGCGGCGCCGTCGCTGCTAAAGTGCCGACGCTGGGCAACGTCGCCATCACCGCCCTCTGCGTCACCGCCGTCCTCGTCATCCTCCTCGCTCGAGTGGTCTCCAAATCGGTTGTTAAAGTCAATGTTCGAGCCGGCGGCGGCGAGCATGTTGAAGACGCTCTGGTTCATGTTGTAAAAGGCACCGTTGCCAGAGACGACGGGCCGGATGACCTCCTCCTCGCCGCCGTCGTCGCTTTGTTTTAAACGCTCGGGAAAGTCCATGGCTTTGGGCGTGCGCTGGCTGCCACCGTCGTGGCGCCGCTTGACGAGTTTCTTGGGCTTGTGCCGGCCGGCGTCGTCTTCCGACTGGCGGGGGCTCGTGTTGGAGAGCCGGGTCGGCGAGGACGCAAGCGCCGACGCCAGAGCGGATGTGGATGGAGACTGCGCGGACAAGCGGCTGGACAGTCGGAGGCTGTGGCTATGGCTCTTGCGCTGATGGTCATTCCTGTTTGTCGACGGAGTTGTCGGCGAGGCGGTGCCCGCGACCGTTCGTGATGGGCCAGGCGATGACGAGGCAGAGGCGGCAACGGGCGGGGCCTGGAGAGTGGCTGTCGAGGAGGTGGTTGTGTCGATATTAGTATTACGATTACTGGCATCTGAAGGTGCCGTGGAGAGTGGCGGGGTTTGGGTTGGCGTTGGCGTTGGCGTCGTGGAGGACGCAGCAGTCGGTGCTGCTGGATCTCTGGGCGGAGCCATGTTGGAGCGGATGGGACGCGGTATGGATTCTCGTTGAAGACGTGAGAGGCAGGCAGACACGTCGAGGAGGCTCGTTCGGTTTGCAGGCGTCGAATCAGTGGCCTGCGTCCAGAAAGAACTGGCTCGCGGTCGGGGGTTCAGGAGCAAGGCGACCTGCTGCAGGAGGACTTGGCAGTCAGTCACAGGCGTGTATGGGACGAAGTAAGAGAGGACAGAACGGGCGGCTTGTGAACGTTTGTTGGCGCTGTTTGCGGGGGCGTGGGTGGGTGAGGACTAGTGGTTCATTCGCGAACTTTGGGGCCTAGACGTGGACGGGACCCGCCGGGCAGGGCAGGCAGGGGGTGCTTTGGGTGGGGACTGACCGCTTGCGCAGGCGGCAATGTGCACGCCTGACGGAGAATGCGTGAGAAGTCAAGTTCGACCTGTCAAACGCTGTGTTGATTTTGCTGTTCCTTTGAAAATCTCAAATTTTTGTCAGTCTTTTCAAAGGGCGTCTTTTCGAAGGGACGATGAACGGCCGCAGGAATAGGCACGGGCCACTGGCTGCCTAGCCGGAATGGAGGCTCCTGTCGGTATTGTGTCTTTGCCAAGGCGCGCAGATGAGCTCGAGGACGGTTCTGGTTGCGCCGGTGGAACGGGGCATCTGCAGGACGGGTGTCGGTTGGCGAAGGCTGTGTTGCAAGGCAGAAGCAGGGCGAGGCTGTCGCTTAATGCCAGGGTTGCAGTAGGCTGTTCTGGCTGGCTGTTTGTTAGTATTGATGGCATGGAGAACAGAATAAACGACGCTGATGTATAGACGGGAAATGGCGACGCGAAAGAAAGCCGATCCGGCCGATGGGCATATGAGGAAAACTGTAGCGTATGATTCGGTATCGCTGATGGCGGTCGGGACGACCGGAAAGGCGGTCCAAACAGGTGGTGCTGGGGAAACACGGAGGCGCGAGGAGAGCGGTCTTACAGAGGTGACGGTGGTATAGCGTCCGTAGTGTGTGGTCACATTTGTGTGCGAGGAGTAACTATGTCGTAAATTATGTCGTAGACTGTGCTGGACTGGTGGACGGAGTGTGGATGGGACGAATAGCGAGCGGACGCTGGAAGCGAGGCGACGAGAATATGCTGTAAGACTATGTCGTAGGACGAAAGAAACGACGACAATAGGAACGAAAGAATAGTGCAAGGAAATGGAGAAAATAGGTTTGATAAGAAGAGAAGAGGATAAAGGATAAGAGGATAAGAGGCGTGGGACAAAAAAGGGACAAAAAAGGGTGCAGTGCGCGAACGACCATGAAAAGTATCGTGGCAGGATTGGTCCGTTGGCTGTTAGTCTGTTCTCAAGTAGATAGGAGAGGATGAGCCTCGGAGACGGGGCGGTGGGTGGGTGGAGGATGTGTTGTAGGTTGTGGAGGTTGCTGACGGGGGAGGGAGAAATATGTCGTAGTTTGGACGAAGAGGGCGTGGCAGCTGATAAGGTGGAATGGATGGAGATGGAGATGTTCCTGGCTACAAAAGTCCCCAGAGAAGGAGCTAAGAGGCTGCGTCGTTTTAGGAAAGAACGTGATGATGAGGGTGATATTGGGGAAGCTGTGGTCGTTTTTGCTTTGGCGCACATGGGCCTTTGCACGCGCTAGCCAGCAGGCGCAATCGACCGCTGTCGTTAGTGCAGAGAATGGCACAAGACTACCATCACATGCAAGCGAACCCACAGAAATTGGATTGGTGGCCATTGACAGTGTGTGCTACGTTGAAAGAGATAAACGTCAAGATGTAGGCGATGCCGAGAGCAACAATCATACGGCAGTGAGTGGTGTCTAGTTTACGCAAACTACTCGTATATGCACCCTTTCCATGCTACACAAAATGATATATTGACAGAATACGTAAGACATTAAAAAGACCAGCTCAAACCAGATCTGCTCGGCCGCCCATCATCCACCCAATCAACTCTCGTAAGCCGTTTCCCTACATCCACAGGGTCAGCTTGCCGCTCGCGTTGCCGCCGGCAACCCAGTTCTGCGTCGGATGGAAATGTGCCACGGCCGGCACCGCCGTGATCCCGTCGCCGTCCAGCTGGCCCAGCTGCTCGCCCGTGGCGCCTGCGTACACGTCCACAAACCGGTTCATGTTGCCCACCGCAAACTTGTGCACGCCGCCGGGCGGGTGTCGCTGCCACTGCGGCTTGAGGATGGTCACCCACCGGCCCGTCTGGTTGTTGTGGCTGATCTTGTGTGCCGGTTGCGTCTCGTCGTCGCCCAGGGCCTGCCCGGGTTTCCATGTGCTCTGGACGGCCGAAAAGTCGTACACCCGAATGGTGTCGTCGTACGACGTTGTGGCGATGTGGCCGCCGGGGCCCCAGGCGGCGTGCGAGACCGACAGCCGCGCCGGGTCCTCGCCGAGCAGGGCGGGCCGGTCGACCTTGCTGCCGTCCTCGTCTTTGTGCGTGACGATCTTGCGCAGGTCCCAGATCTTGAGGGTGCGGTCGAGGCTGGCCGTCGCAACAAGGTGGGGCTGGCGCGGGCTCAGGGAGAAGCCGCCAATCTTGTGGTTGTCGTGCAGGCCCGGCCAGATCGTGGTGGCCGACGCGGGCTTGGCACGCAGGTCGTGGCGGCCCAGGGTGCCGCGCAGCGTCGAGAAGAAGACCAGGTGCGGGTTGTCCGACGCAAAGTCCATGCAGGAGATGGCCATGTCTGCGTCGCCCTCGTCGTCGGGCGGCGCATACACCTCGACCGACTTTTGTGCTTGGATGTCGAGCTTCCGGATGGTGGTATCGTACGAGGCCGTGTAGACGGAGCTGGGGTCGCTGTCCAGCACGTGGATGCTCGAGATGGTGCGAGCGTGCGGCTTGAACCCGACAATCACAGGCTCGGGCGCCTCTGCTTCCTCGTCGTCGTCTGCGTCTTCCTCCTTGACGGGTATGTCCGGCTCCTGTGATGCGTCAAAAATGCCCAGCCGGCCCTCCTTGTCGCCGGCAAACACAATTGGCTTGTCCTCGGTCGGGTGGAACGCCATGGCATAAATGCGGTCCTTTGTCATTTTCAAGTCTGCTTTGTCAGGACGGCAGGCTCTTTTGTCACACTGGCACTGTGCGGATGTCGACCGTTGACTCACCCTTGACCTCAAACTTGTCGTACAACTGCAGGCCATTCATCTCCTGCCGCAATGCTCTCAGCTCCTTGTCCGTCGTATCCCGGACATCCTCGTCGGTAAATGTGCGTACGCCCGGTCGCACGCCCGGGCGTGTGCTGGCCCCCGTCGCAGACAGCTCTTTCAGCCCGGCCAGCGTGCCCTGCCACCGTCCGTCCACCTGCATATCGCCCAGGCTCAAGTCGCCGCTGACCCGCAGCCGCTTGTCGCGCGCGGACTCGCCAAGGCCGTACTCAAGGACACCATCGACACCGTCCTGCTTGCGCTTCAGTGTCTCGGGGTCTGCCTCGATGCCAGCCACGCGAGCGCTGCGGCGCGTCGGCATGGGCGCCTCGCGCTTGACTGGCTCTGACCGGCGCGCAGGTCGCTTTTTCGTCTGGGATGCAGGCGAGGCATTTTTGTTTGCCGACGCGATGGGGCCAAACACCTTGGCGGATGTCTTGGAGATGCTGTTCAAGATCTCATTGTTCACCTTGGCGTTTTCCGCGCGCCGCCGCTCCCAGGCTGTCAGCCCGGACGTATCTATCGAGGGGGCCATTGGAGAAAAAGGAGCAATCGGAAAGATTGTGCGTTGTTTTCGAGGTGGGTTGGTCGGTTGCGGTGGTCTCGGGGTCCAACGAACGGAGCTGAGCAAACGCAGTCTCGTGTGAACTGAGCTCAGATTTAGATTGAGAAAACGCGGTTTCGGTGCTCACACTAGGGTCCCCTTCCAAATAACGCGTAAAGTGCGTGCGTGCATGGCCTTGGTCGCTCCTTCTGCTATTGGCACAGCCAGACCAGACCCACCTGCCCTTTTCGTCAACCGCATCTCTTCCATCAGTGTTAAATGTCATCAACCGTAAAACAAACAACCACTTCCCACCCACACTGTCAATTTTTGACTCCAAACCGAATCCGCCTCAAAGTTAACCCCTACAGTATGTTGCCCAAATTCTAGACCACAAAGACACAGTCGCCCCCCATATATGCGGTCCTCGTTCTCATTACCTTGGCGATGGACGCAGCCAATATTGCAATTGCAAACGGGGAGCAAGGAAAGAACAGCGCAAACGCAGAAATAAGGAGGCGAAATGACGAGCCTATTTCTACGAACAAAGATCCTCACGTTTCTCTGTCCATCGCCAAAGAGTCGGGGAACAAGATACAGCAAGAGACGGGAGAGGCACACGCAAACAATGTAGAGCAGCGTGTGGATAGCAGCAATGCCGCAACCGCCGCTGCCCCTGCTTCCATTCCGGACGAGAAAGTTGTTGACCTCTACCAGAAAACGTCGCTTTTGACGTATCTCGAGTTGGTCGAAGACGGTTTACAGTCCCTGTTCTACGACGGCCTTGAGTCTCTGCTGACCTTCAGAGACCGAGACATGAGCGAGGGCTATCCCTACCAACACAGCGCCGCATGCCGATGGCGACAGACGAGACGGGGCTTCGCACCTGTACCGGAGGCACAGATATCGTCCTTTGACGACCACTTCTACGGCCCACAGTTTCTGCGGAGATGGCCTGACTTTGCCGAGGACCATGCTGCGACTTTTGTGATGCTGTCTCAAACACTTGGGGACGAGGCCCTGTTCCCACCACCGTACACGATCGAGAGTTCGCAGCTGAATATGCAAATGAGCTCCCCAGGCAAGTATTTTGTACACCCCGTAGATCTTCCCTTCTATGTTAAAGAGGTCATGGAAAAACCTTCTCAACAACTTCTAGATGCCTACCGGCGGGCCCAGAGTGATCAACTAGGCGGATCTGCCGTCGGTTCAAGTATGGCTAAACTTTCCTTGCATGGCAGGCCTTTTGGGCTCGAGCCACAAATCGAGGGCGATTGTGACGAACGTATGTTGCCTGGGAACGACGGAGAGGCATCCAGGAATGTTGACGATCGCGACCGCGCCGGTGGCCCCCATCGCTGGGGCATTGCCGCTCAGAGCGACAAGAGCCAAATACCCGTCCTGATCGGCGAGTACAACAATGGGTCTGGACACCCTGTGAAGAGACTAGGACAGCTTATGCAGGACGGCAATCTAGACGATTTTTTTCAAAGAGTGGCCAAGTACAAACACTGGGAAAAAGTAACGTCCGACGTGGACATAGACCAAATATACAACCAGTCAACATGGGCTTCCAACCAGCAGGTGGTGCAGATGCTCTGCAGGAATTTTCATCATATGATTGCCACGGGCATCGAGTATGCCTACGTTGCGACGGGCGGCAGTGCCCAGTTTCTTCGCGTGCCCAAAGGCGACTGGCGCACTCTCTACTACCATGTGTGCGACTTTTCCGTGCCTTTAGTCTACGACACTGCTGCCCGCAGGAACCTCAACAAGGGACTGCGAGCGCCCCGCGAGACAGCCGCAGCCTACTTTGCAAGTTTCTGCATCTGGGCCTCTCAATCAACACCGCGACCGGCGTCCTGGATCAACGCAGCCGAGAAGGATTTGAAGCGCTGGCTCTCGCACTACGAGGACGATGACAGTGGCAGAACGTGCAAACTGCCAAGACAGCCGCCTGTTTCTGTACCGTGGACCATTCCCTACTGCACACAAGCGTGTCTGGGCGGCATGCAACGCCAGGAAGCGCTGGACGACAAGTGTCCTAATGTGCAGCTGCATCGGGAGGCGGCCACCCGCCGCGGTGCTTTCCGCCATCCGCTGACGGTCGATGAGCTGCGAGACCGTGTCGTCACACAACTTGCCATCAATGCGGACCAAGACTGCGAGTGTCTGGGCCGCCACGGGCTCTTTGGCCGCCACGGCGTCCTCTTCAAGATCACGGTGACCGGATATGGGTACACATTTGTGGCCAAAGGTGTGCGCGCGAGTGACAGAGATGTGCTGCAACACGAAGAGCGAATGTACAGGATCGCCGAAGACGTGCAGGGCCAGATTGTCCCCGTGTTCCTGGGTGTCATTGACCTCCGCCAGGCCGTCCCGCTGCACTCTTACGTGCTCGTACGCCACATGATGCTGCTGTCCTATGCCGGCCCTGACGTGCAACGGGCACTTCGTGAAGGGTTGCTGCCGCCCAACATTCACCTTGAGCCGGAGGGGCTTAGGACACAAAAGGACCTGCGTGCTGAGGGTGTGGTGAACGAGCACGTTCGCCGACCGAACATGGCATGGAACGATGAAGCACAACGAGTCATGCACTTCGACTTGTACCGGGCAACTTCCGAATACCGCAGCAGAGGACAAGCAGCGCGAGAACAGGACCCTCATGGTCAAGACTTGGCGAAGGGAGTTGGCGATGGGACTCGATGCCGAGCGGCAGGCATCATTGAAACGGAAGTTGGACGAGTATCAAGACGGCAACGGTGCCAAGGACCAAGACGCATCCCAAACGATGTGCGACGACCAGAGTCGGTATGGCTAAAGTTGGATGCTGGACTAGGTCTGCGAGAATTCATTTTGTGGATGAGTTTAGGGCATGGCTGGCTCTTTGAACAGCATCTCAAGTGCAGGTGAAAAGATGAATGACACAAATACATTTTGATTTGAACAAACGTCCCGTTTTTGCAGCAATGACGACGCGTGCATGAGCTAGCGCGCTGGTGAACAGCTGCTAAACACACCGTCAACTATTCCGACGCGATATCAGGTGACCATATTAATTGAAACAGACCCGCCAACGCTCCACTGTTTCCCGCTGTGGTGTGTATGATTTAGCGCGCCATTGTGCATGGAGCTCCAAAAAAAAGGTTTGAGATTTCTGTTTGGACTTTCACGATATTCGTCCCCTCAGCCAGTTGCGCCTCACCAGTCGACATACGCCATGTCGACCTCCTTCCTCCCCTTTCTTTACCCGGCACGGCTGGTCCAGAGACCACTACGAGCGCCCGTAGTACGCCAATTCCTCCGCAGCCTGCACGCCACTGCGCCGGCGCACTCTCGTCGACAGCCACCCTCCTCGTCGTCTTCTTCGTCGCCGGCGCCCCGAGCAGCCCGCCGGCGCGACCCTATCCCTTTCGAACTCCCCCCCGACATTGAACGCGACCTTTTGCCCGACTCGGAGCGTTTGGAGCAGAATGGCGACGAGGAGGACTACGTCGACGACTCGGGCCACATCAACCTTGGCGGCGTTGGTGGCGCTGACGGCACCATTACACCCCTCGAGCGGCAGGCGTTCCGGCGCATTTTTCGAGAAATCGCACACCGCCAGCAGCAGGAGGAGCTCGACCTGGAAATGTACGGCTACGAGGGCATGGGCGACGATGTCGAGGCGGGCGTCGACGGCGACTACGTCGGCGAAGATGTCGGTGGCGATGACGATATTGGCATTGACGCCGGCGACGCCAGCTCGCCGGAAGCCCTGCGCCGGCAGGACGATGAGCAGCGGTCGCGCATAAACTCGATTCTGGGCGAAGCGAGCGACGACCAGGTCCTGGCGCGGGAGAATCAGCGCAACCTTCGCCGACAAGGCGAGGAGGCGGCCATGTATGCCTTGGAAGGTGCAGACGCAAGTGTGGCTACCGACACGAGTGTGCTCCGTTCGCTCGGTTCTCTCGGTGGCGCCTCGGCTGCAACACCACAAGTACCGCCACCACCACCGGCTGACACCAAGCTCAATCTGCAGCGCAACCGCGTGCTGTCGCAGTTTCCGCCGAGTCTGCGGTCGGCTGCTGGCAAGGCCTTTGGCATCAAGGACGAAGTGCGGGCCAGACAAGTGCCCGGTCACGTCCAGGAGGAGACTGTCACGGAGCCGGTAACGGAGACAAAGAGAGTGACACCGGCAGAGACTCCCGAGGAGACGGCCCTGCCACCCCCTTCACCGGCCGTGCTCGCCCGCCGCAAACGCCAACAAAAGATGGAGCTTGCCATGCTCTCCAAAAAGACCGACTTTGCCCTCTGGCAGTACATGGAGGAGCACGTCTTTTCGCTCGTCGACGAGCTGGGCATTGGCAAGGACAAGGCCAAGGCGTCGGCATCGGCACCCGCCACCGAAAAGAAAAGCCGCAGAATCTCGTCGAAACTGGCGGCCAACGGGCCCCTGTATCCTGCCCTCCTGCTTCACGGCCAGCGCCTGCTGGACAGCCACTTTCGCGGCGGCACGACGTCGCCGCTCGCGCTCGCCGTGCTGCCGCGCGTCAAGGCGCTCGGCCTCGCGTCGTACGTGCTGGGCGCCAGCACGCCCCTCTACAACCACCTGCTCGGCATCCGCTGGCTGCGCCAGGGCGACGCCACGGCCGTCTTTGCCCTGCTGTCGGAGATGCAGCGCGCCGGCCTCCCCTTTGACCAAGGCACGCTGAACCTGGTCAAGAGCATCGAGTGGCATGTCGTGCCCCTTGCTGGCGGGCGCGCGGGCACGGGCACGGGCCTGGCGGCGCCGTCGGCGGCAGCACAGCGCGAGAGCGCGTTCTTGGTGGCGGCGCTGCAGCACCTGCCAGACCTGGCGGCGGTGGCACGGACGGCGGCGTACTGGCGGCAAGTGGTGGAGAGAAGTGTCAACTGGGGCCGCAGGGCATGACCATCAGAGCGGCGGACGCGATGCAGATGTGAGAGTGGTTCGCAGTCTGTACCTGCTTGTCGTTGGTCATGGTGGCATGTGTAGCCCAGCCCATAGTGCCCATTGTATGACAGATGAAAGAGATGGCGTTTTGGCTGCGGGATATGGATAGGATACAAACAGCGGGTCAAGGACTGTTCCGACCACAAATAGCAGCTGTGGGACAATTCACTTCACTTTATATTTATGTTAAGCAACTGCTTTATTGAAAACATGCAATGCTGTATTGTCTGTCGAACACTCGCTTCACAGCGCCTCTCCGCAGCATAACAACGTCGGCGCCAACAAGTCATGGACCGCTCGAATTTCCCCATTGGCTGAAGCTAAAATGGCCCATGTCTATTCGTTCGCATAGCTCAAGCCCTGTGGGCATGAATTCTGCCGCATACACTCACCGCCTCCAGCCTTGTCTCCTCGACAAAGATTCTAGTACCGTCCGGGCACGCCGCTGGATTACTATGGCAGACGGCAAGCCCATTATGCAGCGATCCAAGACAGCAGCGTCTCCTTTTGTCCCTTTGCTCGAGTCATAGAGTTTCATGATCAGCCAGCTTTTCCTACAGCGAGCTGTGCAGAACAGCCTAGATTCTCTATCTTGCACTTTTTTTCTCTCTTTTTGATAAGCGTTCTGTCATCACGGGTACATTTTCTTACTCGAGTTTTTAAGCCAGATTAATGGTGCTCGTTTGCTCTGTACACCTCTGATGCTACCCACGTATTCCCGATGAGAACAGCATGAAAACTCTTCGCCGGCCACATGGCCCAGCTTATTGGCCACTGATTCACCACCCCCACACACCCTACTGCTGCCTTCCTCGTCTCTGCAGACAGCAACCGTGCGGTTTTACTTGATTTTACATGTTGTGGTTCATTCACAGCCTGTCCACCTCTGCGCTGGCATTCGACACACCCTTGGGGGCCAAATATCACCAAAACGCCCGAGTTTCTTATGCAAAAGGTGGTCTGGTGCTTAGAATAAAGTGAAGCTGTGTATTTACTGTAATAGATGGAGGACAAATTGCAGAGTTTGGGTCGACATCTCAGGCCGGTGTGCTTCGCCGTCCTGTATTAGGAGGACAGCAATCGTGAATATGTGCGTACTTCTTGAGGCGCTTTTTGCACGAAAGCCCGAAATGGAAACTGGCCGGCCTAACTATTCAGAAATAACAGAAAGCATAAATCCCATTAGATGGAATAAGGCTGTCGAAAAAACAGTCAAGAAGCATCAGAACGCGCACGACAAAACGTATAAATATGAGGCTTTGGATCTTTCCTTCGTCTGAGGACAAACAAAACATCGTCCTCACAAGACATCGTCCTCACAAGACATCGTCCTCACAAGACATCGTCCTCACAAGACATCATCCTCTCTGAATCCATCCAACTTCAAACAAAAAAGAGCCTTCACAATTTGCCTGATCGTCTTTCCGGTGCCATTTCCAAGACTCAGCAAGCCATTCTCCCAAAGGTGATTCAGGTCCCATGAGTGATCAACTTTCACACAATTGCCCTACTAACACCTTTTGTCCCCAAGGCAAAGCAAACGAAGCAACACAATGTGTGAACGACATCATATCTTGGTCATCTATACATGCGGTCATCGACTTTCAAGCGTCGAATTGATTAAATGTGACAGCGCCATACAAACTGGCAATGTGTGTGACAAAATTGAAGACGTCTATCTTGGCTCGTCGCACGGGCGCAAAACCTGTTCTAGCTGCTCTTAGGGTGTTCCCGTAGTGCCCGGTTTAGGCTGGTACGAGGGATGTAGTGGGTAGCCACTAACAATCCGGAGCTGGATTTGGGATAGGTTTGGATTAGGTGGGATTCGCTGACCGTGGTCCTTTTCAACAAAGGTCGTGCACGGTATTCTGTATTGGATTATTGCTTTGATTTCTTTTTAGATAGATAATGCATGTAGTTAACTACAAATCATCGAGCTCTGTCGTGATAATAGCAAACTGTTTTGGCCCAAAACCCAACGCACCCGACACCATCACATGACCCATCAACATATCACGTGTGGCTGTTGCCTATGACATACCACGTCGTGTAAGCTTGTTCAGCCCCCTTGAAAGTGCTTGCGACATTTCTAGGAGACGAAGACCGCAGTCCAAAATGTGCAGCCAAGGACAGAACAGCGAATAACAAATATATGCTAATTCGTACACCCCGTTCTAAAGCATCAGTGGCCAATACTATGCATAGCACAGCTCCAATGCCATCCGAGTCCAACAGCGCCGCAAACGGCGGCAAGATGCCTGCCATAAGAAACGCCGCCAATGAAATTGTTATCACAAGCGACTCGGAAGCGGGCCAACTTTTGGTAGGCACTTGCGCACTTTGCGTCTCCCTCTCGTCCGATCCGATTCAGGTTGTAAGCATCTTAGGGTACTGACCAGTGGAACACGTCTGGTAGAAAAAAATGCTCGGCGCGGGCAATTCCGGCACTGTCATCCTTCTCCCGGGCGGAACGCGGGTCCAGAAAATCGTTTCATTTTGGCGAGGCGACGATTTTGTCATCAAGGAGCAGTGCAAAAGTTTGCGAAACGAAATCGCCGCCTACAAGCACTTGCCGCAGGACCACCACCGTTTTGCAAAGTTCCTTGGCTCGTCTGACAACGGAAAAGACCGTGTCACCATCGACTTGGAATACTTGCCAAACAACACGCTACACGAGTACCTGCGAGGCTACACGGTGCGTGAGTTTTTAGACACAAAGCGCAGAGACGACGAGGAGACACGGGCCGACAAGGAGCGCCGAATGAGCCGGCGCCACGATTCCATCCCCCTCCTGCAACGGGCTTGCTGGGCACTCGAGGCCGTCGACGGCATTTCTGCCCTGCACGCTCTCAATGTGCTTCATTGTGACATTAAGCCGGAGAACATGGGGCTCGATGCGCAGCTCAATGTTCGCATCTTTGACTTTGCTGGGTCGTCGGTGTGTGGGTCAGAGCCTATGTCGATGGAGAGCACGCGGTATCACAAACCACGAAACCCCAGAGACTACTACGGTGTCGACACGGAATGCTTTGCGCTTGGGTCCAGCATTTACCACATTGTGACCGGCGTGCGGCCGTACGACAAAGTGCCGGACGAAGAGGTGGAACACCTGTACGCGCGGCAGGAGTTTCCCGATCTGTATGGCGAGGCACTGAAAGACGAACCGCTCAAGGGCAGCACCGGGAACACGGCGCCTGATACCATCGGCACGAGCCCTGTGACCGGTATGCTGCTCTTTGCTGATGCGATCCGCAAGTGCTGGTATGGAGAGTTTGCGACGTCGGCGGAGATCCTGGAGGCGTTGAAGAGCGAAGTTGTGCGTACGTTTAACGAGGAGGACCTCCGCTACATCTCAGAGAAGAGCGGCATCGAGCTCGAGAAGGAGGTAACCGGTGGTCCAGCCGCAAACCACAGCGACGACCAATAATGACGTCGTCGGTGGGTGGGGTGATGTACTGATAGCCTCGTATTGAACATGTGCTTCATTTGAATTAAGCGTCGTTTGGATAGTCAATGAATAGAGTGTCTACCACAAGACCACCCGACACCTACACCGTCTTCTTGTCTCGCCGCAGGACATCGCTCAGAATGGAAAACTTCCACTTGCGAAGCATAAAGAACCGCGCCCAGTTGCTGCCCAGGAAGCCCAGCAGCCACATCGGCCCGCTCAGCGTGCCCAGCATCATCGTCTCGCGCGTGCCGCCGAACCGCCACGGACCCCACTCCAGCCAGCCGGGGCCTTTGAGACACTCGCCCACCACGCGCGCGGCATACGTCTCCGGCAGCATGCGCGGCCCGCTGCCCGCGCCCTGGGGCAGCCCCCGCATGCTGTTGTAGAGGCTGTCGGCCGGCCACGCGGGCGGCGGCGTGCGCTTGCCGAGCTGCGATTGGACAAACGCCGTCGTCACGTTGAGCACGCGCACACCAAAGGGCGCCAGCTCGACCGACAGCGTGCGGCTGTACGACGCGAGCGCGGCCTTGGTCATGGCGTAGGCGCCCTTGAAGGGGAACGGCAGGCTCTCCGAGGCCGACGAGATGTTGACGACCAGCCCGCGCGCGGCCATCAGCTGCGGCAGCAGGCGGTTCGTGAGGCCGACGACGGCCACCAGGTTCGTCTCGAAGAGGGCGCGCAGCCGCGCCAGCTCAATGTCCGCCAGGGGCATCTGGTACGTCGTGCCGGCGTTGTTCACCAGAATGTCGAGGCGGCCGCCGGTGCGGTCCGCCACAGCTTTGACCGCGGCCTCCACGCTCGCCTCGTCGTCGACGTCGAGCAGCACGGTCTCGAGGCCCAGCGCCTGCAGGTCCGTCAATGCCTCGGCGCGTCGCGCGGATGCAATGACTTTGCAGCCGCGTGCATGAAACTCGCGGGCGAGTGCATTCCCAATACCGCCAGGCGAGCAGCTGTGGTGCATGTCAGTGTGTTTTGTTCATTCGGGGTTTCATTCAACGGACGTACGAGAGCCAGTCTCACCCAGTAATGAACACCGTTTGCGGTGCAGGGACCATCTTGTCTTCGTTTGTTGTGTGTATATGTCCAGACAAGTTCACACAGAGGGTTTGAAATGCGATTGCGGATTGCGTCGCGGACAGAAAATCTCTCTTCTGTGTTTGAGCATTGAATATACCATTCTACGACCTGCATCTGGCGTGTCGTGGACAAATAGCACCAAGCAGTGACGTCACGTGTAATGCCCCACTTCAGCCTGGCTTGTCACAAAATCCCTTGGCTGGGGCTTTACGATGTCTGACGTGTATGGTGAGACGTATTGTCTGACTAGCGTCGATTTGTTTTGAAGACCAGACGGGATTTGACATGCTAATTATTTTGCTATGTTTGAATGTTGTTTTTATTATTTTTTAACTCCTGATTATCTCTTTTTGGTTTGAGATATTATTTTTCTTCATAATTTTGGGTTCTGTTCCTAGTCATATTTATTTTTTACACGGTGTTCGAAATCCTGATATTAAAATAAACAGCAAAAACGACGCCAACAGCTGGATAGATCAACAACTCGACTTCCCTTTGTGTCGACATCTTGTTAGCCATTATTTTCATTTTCAGTGTAGTAGCATGCACGGGCAGTCAGCAGTCTCGATACGGGGCCATACAGGCGGTGTACAAGTGCATTGCACTCGATCCCAATGCCAGCCGGTAGAGGATAAAGAGACTCTACATCATTGGGGTTTATTAGCTGTCTTATCCCTCTAGCGCCCAAGGCACGGGCCGCGCATGCTTCGTGACGACATTCGTGGTGTCGGGAGCCTCATAGATTCAGCGGTGAATCACAACATACATCTCATTCGCGACACAGTACGTCGTTCGCTACAGTAAAGAAGAAGTTCGGCTCCCGGCCGTAAGGAGGGGAAGGCCAAGGACCGGATTTAGTGCATACTGGCAAATACTTTGACTATTTCCACCTGTTGTTCGTGGCCTTCTCGCTATGGATTCTTTCCAAAGTACATGTGCTTAATAATTCAGGTAAATAGGCGAGCATTTGTAATGACCATTAGTCTACTCCTTATCAATACATTCCGTTGCAGGACGCACGCTTTGCGGGCTTCGAGCAAAACAAGTATTGCAAATATGCGCAGTAATGTAAACGCAACATAATTCGTCAAGATAGACACAATACACCCAGGTAGCGATACCTTTGACATTGATCGACATACTTGCAATGGCCCCCAAGACAGTCCTCGTTACCGGTGCCAACGGCTACATTGGAAACGCCGTCGCCCGTGCGTTCGTGGCTGCTGGCTGGATCACGTACGGACTGGTTCGGTCACCTGCATCTGCCGCGGCACTTGCCCAAGAAGAGATTCTGCCGGTCATTGGGAGCATTGACGACACAGATGCCCATGCAGCCATCCAGGCCCAACTTCCCCCCACGCTTGATGCGATTGTCTCGACAACGGAGAATATTTTCGACTACATCCCTCACTACACCAACGCCGTCCGCCTCCTCCGCACGCTCGGGACCGCGAGCAGCTCTGCCGGTGTCAAGCCACTCGTGATTTTCTCATCCGGCTGCAAGGACTACGGCATCGGCCCACACTACCACGGCGCGCCGGGCCTGGCCCCCCACACCGAAGACTCCCCAGTTGCGCCCGTGCCCGTGCTTGCCAACCGTGCGACGTACGCAGCCAAGATCTTTGCACACGCCGACGCATTCGCACCCGTGCTCGTGCGCCCCACGAGCGTCTACGGCCGCGCGTCCAGCTACTACCGCAGCTTTTTCAGCGTCGCCGCCCAGGTCGCCGCCACGGCAGGTCGGCCGCTTGTCGTCCCCCGGCCGGCCAACACGATCGTGCATGCGCTGCACGTGGACGACTGCGCGGAAGCCTACGTTGCCATTGCGTCGCATCCCCGTCGCGCGGAGGTCGAGGGCCACGTGTTCAACATCTCGGCACACCGCTACGAGACCCTCGACGAGGTTGCGCAGGCGCTCGTCAAAGAGTACGGCATCCAGGGCGGGGGCCCGCAGTACGTGGACCCGTCGGAGCTGGCGACAGAGCAAAACCTGTGGCCGCCGGGCATCATCGACTTCCCGCAGTGGACCGACTCGACCAAGCTGCGGAAGGTGACTGGGTGGCAGGATCACCGGCCGCTGTTTTCAGAGGCGCTGCACGTCTACCGCATTGCTGCTGAGGCAGCCGAGGCCATAGGGAACGAGACCGTTCAGAGAAGTAATGCCTTGGCCAAGTCGTTCCAAAAGGCTGGACTGCAGAGCATTGGGGACACTCCAAAGTAGTAGTTGGTGACCAGTCTCGTCCGAACGCCGTCATATGTTGAGCTAGATAGATGTGACGCCTTTATTCTTTTTTTGGCACTGAAACTCCGATCATTTATTTCCTATTACGACCCAAAAACCAAAGACAATGTAGGAACGTGGTGATTCGGCAAGCTGCATTTCCTCAGTGCGCGCGACCTCCAAAGTCCGAAGCCGCCACAGCGTAGGAGACTAACACGACCACGGCGCTCCGAGTCCGAGGCACTCCGCGCATAATAGACTTTTGTCCGTCATTGACAGTTAATGAGATTACGAAATCACACAGTCGGAGATGATTGGATTCGTAATTTGTCACTGTTGTATTTATTATCGCTTGACACAGACAGATGGCGCGGGCCGGTAGAAGTATAACATGTCTTCACTCGACCATGCTTCTATCTTTCTGCCATTCAGTCCACCTGTTTACTGCTTTTTTGTCGACAATCCTCCCACTGACTAGTATATTTTTGTTTCTCGCTCACAGCAAACACAATGGCCCCACCGCCCGTCCGTATGGCCATCATTGGCCTCTCGCAGCACGCCACCACGTCCTGGACGTCTCTTGCACACCTGCCGAGTCTGCTGACAAAGGCAGGCCGCGAGCGCTTCCAGATCGTCGCACTGTGCAACAGCAGCGTCGCCTCGGCGGAGGCAGCCATCCGCGTCTACGGCCTCGACCCGGCGACCGTCAAGGCCTACGGCCGTCCCGCCGACCTCGCCGCCGACCCGGACGTCGACTTTGTGCTCTGCGCGACGCGCGTCGACACGCACTATGCGACGGCCCTGCCCAGCATCGAGGCCGGCAAGGACGTGCTGATCGAGTGGCCGATTGCGGCGAATCCGTCGGAGACGCAACGCCTTGTCGCGGCGGCCAAAAAACACAGCCGGTCGTCCAATGTGTTTGTCGGCGTGCAGCGACGATACGCGCCGGCCGTGCGCAAGGTGAAGGAGCTCCTCGAGGCCGGGGCGATCGGCAGGTTGCTCAACGTGCAGGTCAATGCGCACGGCGCGGACATGAGCCCGGGCCGGTGGCCGGCCGGGCTGAAATACTTTGCGCAGCGGGCCGTCGGGGGCAATCCCATCACCATCGGCGTCGGACATTGTACGTGGCGAGTATGATGAGCAAGGCCAGCTGGGGTTGCGTGTTACTAAGTCTTGAATGTGTAGTGCTTGACGCCGTCGAGTCAGCGGCCGGCGACATCGTTCCCGGTACGATACACGCGCACAGCCAGCTGCAGACGCCAGAGATTGCAATCTTCGATCCGGCGACCGGCGAGGTGACGGAGACTGTCCAGTCCGACGTACCCGACCTGCTATCCCTTCATGGTACGTAGACACCGTCTTGTGTTCAATTAGTTGGCCTTTTTCAGGCTGTCACAGCTAACCACACCAAGGTCTGCTCGCTTCGCGTACGCACGGCAAGGAACCTGCCACGCTCACCTTCCAATACAAGAGCGGGTACCCTTTCCCCGGACAGCCGGCGCTCGACTGGACGCTGACAGGCACCACGGGCAAGATTCGTGTGGTCGACCCGAGCGGCATCTACTTTCAGGAGTCCGGCAAAGTCCGCGTGGGTGAGGACGAGGGTCCGTGCGAGGTGACCATCCAGCTGCACCGCACTGGTGCCGACGCAGCCGAGACCGTCCCGTGGGAATACAATGCTGTGCAAAAGGAAGTACCCGTGGCAGGGCGCTCGATGCAGACGCTGCTGTACGCGTATGCGGATGCGAAGCGCGGCGTCGGTCCGGACGTGCGTCTCAGCTCTGACTGGCCGGACCTCGAACGGACGGCGGCGCGCGCGTACGAAATTGACCGGTGGATGGGGGCGGACGAGAGCTGAAAAACAGAATTGTGAGATTTTGAGCTGTTAATGTATCACTGTCATACGTACGTAGTGCATACGCTCAGTGCGTCTAATTCGACGCAGCCGCCGTTGTCAAGACTGGCTACGAGAATGTGTGCCGGTCTGCTCTTAGTCGCGCCGTAGACAGGCCCCTACGGACAGAGAGAGGACCAGCCGCGTGAGTTCTGGCAGAGGTCGGAACTCTGTGCCCGCCCGCGCCCAGAGTTGTTCGTTCTTGCTGTGGCTGGCCAGGCGCCGGGACACTTCGCCAAGCTTCAGGGAAACCAGGGGAGATGTGGCCTGGTTGTTGCTCACTTCTTCTTCTCCCGCTTTCCGCAGCGCATCGCGCCACGTCTGTTCGCTGTTGGCCCTCCACAGGGCGTCGCTCGCCGGCAAGCAGACGTTTTCGTACGCGTCGCCGTCCGTAAACAGGGGCTCAAAGTAGCCGTCGTCGAGCGTCTCGATGCCGCGGAGAAGCTCGTGGAGGATGTAGATGAGAAACAGCGTGCGCCGCAGGGATTCCTGGACGGCCCACGTTTTCCAGTCCGTACTGGTGGTAGTAGATGGTATGGGCGAGGACAGAAACGAGTTTGCTATCCGTCCCTGCGGCGACGTGTCTGCAATCCGTTGCAGCAGACGCTTCGTAGCCTGTGCATTAATAGGATTAGTTACCGAAACGACTACAACAACGCCAGTTTAGCCCACGCCGGGAAAGACACACCCTGACGAGATACTCGTGATGGAGCACTGCATTGTTCAGTTTCGACGGAAATCGATTGGCCACGACAAGGGACTCGATCTCGCAGATGCACAAAGCCTGCAGCACGATGCAGGCATCTTCGTGGGAGTCCAATACTGACGGCTGCATGATGAAGGTCAGTGCAAGGACATACGAGGAAAGCCACCGCCCACCAAGGAAGAAAGAATGTGTGCCCACCAGTGCTTTGATCAGCTTGTCTTGCTCCGCCGCCAAGGTCTCGCACACAAACACCTTGCCGGCGGCCTCCATGTGCAGCTTCATGCTGACACAGGCCAGCATCACCGCCATGGGCTCGGGCATGCCACCGGGTCGCTGCCGGAAGAGCGTTGGGTGAATAAAGGGAGAGCGGAACGTCGGGAGGAGCAAGCGCATGGGATATTCCCCCAGCAGTCTCGCAATTTCTCCGATGCTGAACATGTCTGGAAGTAGCCGCTGGGAGGTACCATTGTGTGCGGTATCGGTCGCTGTAGCCGTCGCAACCGACCGAGCGATAAGTTGCGCAAGGTGGTCAGTCGTCTCGAGCGCCGATTTGGGCTGAACATTGACGTGGTGCAGCGGTGCTGACAGGCTGCCACTTTCGTCGTCGTCCTCTGCCGTAGTGGCATCGGTTCTGGCGTAATTGTCGCGAGGGTTGGCCAGGAGGGCCGTGAAGGGTTCCGCCAGCTCGTGCCCGGAGTCAACGCCAGCCGCGACCACCCAGCCAAGATCGGTGCCCGTGGCACTCTGAAGGTTTGGGTCTAGTGGCTGTGCCAACACCTGCTCATTCCAAAATTGGCCTGAAAAACCATCCACATTGTCGATAGCATCCCACTGGTGATTGAAGTTTGTGACGTGCGTCGTTTCCGGTGGCGTTAAGTCGCTCGCGGCGACGAGGCTTCCGTTGGAGAACGGGTCGATATTGGAGTTGGGATCTACACCAGACGCAGATTCTAAGGCTGTCACTTCTTCAAGGGGTATCGTGGACGAGGGTTCCGGCCCCCGTAGCTCATCTATTGTTGTAGCATCTACAGCATCCCGGCTGTTGTTGTGATACTCACATACGAAAGAGCGAGAGGCACATCGGCTGCCTGGATGGAGCATCTCCCAAAAGCATGGTCAGAAATTTAAAATTTCCCATGGGTCTGCGAGTGCTAGATAACGCACAGGATGGCTTTTCATAGTTGCACTTGACTTTGGACGCAATACACCTTGCACAGGCTTTTGTCCTCGACAGCCGGGTTTTGCCAAAGGACTTCACGCACCGGCGCCGATGTCTGTCTCTGAGATCCTCTGTAGCGAGGTTAGCTGGGAAAACGGACATACGGGCATTCATCTATGGAGAGCAGGCCTTACTTCGGCGGAATTGCTTGCGGCAGATGGAGCAGGTGAGAGACCTATGTTCGGCGTCCAAGGAGTCACCGGTTAGCATGCTCTCTGCCATGGTCACCGCTCGGGAATGGGGTAAGGCTGTTGTGACACTGGGGAGAGACCATGTGCAGCCGCTGTGCAATGAATACGTCACGTTTGAAAGTGGTACGGAGCGATGCGTAGACAGCCCAAGGTAGCTGATTTCTCTTTGGAAATGCTGACAAATACAGAAACTAAGCAGAGTTGTGCTATTAAGGACGTCCTATTTCAAGCATACATCACGGCACGTCAGTCCAGACGGTGGCAGAGCTTCGTAGCACAAAGGTCGCCGTCGGCGTGTCGTCACAGAGTATCAATGCAAGTGTCTACAATCTGCGCTTCCAAATTGTCGGACGGCTTTGGTATCGCTTTTGATATGCCCAACCAAGACAGTCAGACTGCCATGACTTTAAAAAGCGGGCCACTAACACGACTCGCATTGCCGATGTCCAACGGATGGTGGTTAGAGGGAATGTTTCTTTTTATAAAAAACAGAACAAAAAAAAACAGGAATACGTGCGATGTCCGAGGAGAAATTCCGCCCATTATGAAGTCTAATGGGTAGTCATACTGTTGGAAGGTGTCCACCGCCCAAGCTGCCAAACGTACGCGACACCCGATATACCCGACAGATGCCGAGCTCTTTATGCATGGAATATGTTGCTCTCTGCAAAGCAAGCCTACGTGGTCATTTGAGAGGGATGTATCCAGAGAAAATACAGTAGTGTTTGTCACACATGTACGACGATTGAGTGCTGTGTTGAATGCTCTGTTCCTCATCTTGATTCATTGCCACCGGATCCGTTGCAGGGCCACAGACAGCACACTCCAGAATGAGCTCTGCCACAGCACAAAACCGCCTCAGCCAGATCCAGGGCCATTTGGAGGCACCCAAGACGGTCCAGGACGTCTACATTATCAGTGCCGCACGAACGCCGACAGCAAAGGTGAGCCCCTCCCCGAAAAGAATATCCCAGCCAAGGGGACACTAACAATGTAGTTCAATGGAAAATTAAAGTCCATTCCCGCCACACAGCTCGGCGCCGTGGCCATCAAGGCCGCTCTTGCCAAAACATCCGTCCCCATCGACGCCATCCGCGACGTCTACATGGGCAACGTGATGCAAGCGGGTGAAGGCCAAGCACCGGCGCGGCAGGCGATGTTGTTTGCGGGCTTGCCATCGTCCATTGAGGCCACGACCGTCAACAAGGTCTGCTCGTCGGGCCTGAAGGCGGTCATGCTGGCGGCACAAAATATCCAGCTAGGCCTCGCCGGCGCACAGATCGCCGGCGGCATGGAGAGCATGAGCCGCGTGCCGTACTATGTGAGCCGCGCGTCGCACAACCCGGCGTTTGGCGACATGGCCCTGCAAGACGGGCTGATCAAGGATGGGTTGTGGGACGTCTACAACCAGGTGCACATGGGCACGTGTGCGGAGCACAGTGCCCAGCGCTTTGGCATCTCGCGGGCCGCGCAGGACGCGTATGCCATCCGCAGTTTTCACCGGGCGCAAGACGCATGGGCAGCACGTCGGTTCGACGAGGAGATGGCCCCCGTCGAAGTGCCGGGTCCTCGCCAGGGTGATACGCCGACCGTCGTGGCCGAGGACGAGGGCTACAAAGCCTTGAACAAGGCCAAGCTGCCCACGCTCAGACCCGTGTTTGCCAAGCCTGGCGAACAGGGCACAATCACGGCTGCCAACGCCAGTACCATGAACGACGGCGCCAGCGCTCTCGTGCTTGTGTCGGGTGCGTTGGCAGCACAGCACGGCCACAGCAGCCGCGTCCTGTCGCGCATCGTGTCGTATGCCGATGCCGCCGTTGACCCGATCGACTACGCCGAAGCGCCCGCCAAGGCCATTCAACTGGCCCTCCAGCGTGCTGGCCTGAACACAAAAGACATTGCACGATGGGAGGTGAATGAGGCCTTTGCCGTTGTTGTCCGCGTTACAGAGCAGCTGCTGGGCCTCGACGACAACACCGTGTGCATCAACAAGGATGGTGGTGCCATTGCCCTGGGACACGCTCTGGGCAGCTCTGGATCGCGGCTGATGACGTCGATGGTCCACCAGCTGAAAGCGGGCGAGTACGGAGTCGTGGCACTGTGCAATGGCGGCGGTGCGGGCAGTGCCATGATTGTGCAGAGAGTGGACAAGGTGTAGAGATGTAGATAGTGCTTTTTTTTATGTTAACAAAACTATGAGGCACTAAAACGAATGAGACATCTTGTTGTTTAACTGAATATGCATTACTTGCTTGGAGGCCACGAAACGCTGGGGCCAAATATACCAAGTCGTGTGCGCTTATTACCTCTGAAGCAGTGTTGTTGATGGCTAATGTTGTACGCATATATTGCTTTCTACCCATCAATGCAAAAACAGCAGAGTCTACTTGATATGTGTATTTGCTTCTTCACATGTTGACTCCGCTCTACGACATTCACCAGTCCTCTTCACCAGTCCTATTCGTGTTCGACACGTCCATTGGACTTTGTATTCATAGTGATGGCCGAGTTGGTGCCTGTACTGTGGAGTCAAGCTGAAGAAGATCTGACGAAAGCACACATTAGTTTGTGATTAGAACAAAAGTGCTTGATAGGTCAAGTATATGCTTACCCTCGCCGATCTTGCGAATGTCGCCCTTCTTCAGCTTGCCATTCGCCGTTTTGGGCCAGTCCGCCGGCACTCTTGGGTCTCCATCGGCCTCACCCAGCCACCAAATGTAGATGGGCGCCTTATACCGACTGAGAGTCTGGCGCACCCACGCACGCACTTCCGTGTCAGACGGCCGCCCATCGTACTGCTCGTCCCTCTCCAAAATGGCCGCCACCTCCTCGCCGTACCGTGCGCTCGGCACGCCGAACACGGAGCACTGCTTGATCGCCGGATGCTGGAAAAGACGAGCCTCGATTTCGGTGGGCGAAATGTTCTCGCCGCCGCGGATAATGAGATCCTTGATGCGGCCAGTGATGACAAAGTAGCCGTCGGCGTCCAAGTAGCCCTCGTCGCCGGTATGCATCCACCGCCCCCGACCTCCGCGTGAACGGATGGCCTGAGCGGTCCAGGCCGGCTGTCCATAGTAGGAGTGCATCACGCCGAACCCGCTGACGACAATCTCGCCACGCTGGCCCCAGGGCAGGGTCTCGGCGGTGTCGGGGTCGACGATGCGGGCGGAAAAGTTGGGCAGCAGGCGGCCGGCCGAGTTGAGTTTCTTGGCCTCTGAGTCGCCGGCCACAGTCATCGTGGCGATGGACGACAGCTCGGTCATGCCCCAGTTGGTGTAAATGTCGCGGATGGGGAACTTGGTGATGACGCGCGTCAGCAGCCCTTTTGGCATCGCGGACCCGGCCATGACGCCGAACCGCAGCGAGGACCGTTTTGTGGAGGTAAAGCGCGCATCACTGAGCATGTCGACAAACATGGTCGTCACGCCGTACAAGCCGGTGCACCCGAACCGCTCGACGGCCTGCAGGGTGGCGGCGGCGTCAAAGTATTCGGACGGCAGGACAATGGATGCGCCGGCCAGCAGGGCGGCACAGAAGCCAATGACCAGCCCAAACGCATGAAACAGGGGCACCGGCACGTTGATGGCGTCTGTTGGCTGAATCTGCATGAGCAGGGCAATGTAGCGCGCGCTGTTGACCATACCATGCTGCGTGAGGGCGACCGTTTTGGGCTGGCCCGTACTGCCGGACGTGAATTGCAGGTTGAGGATATCGGCGTCGGTGACTTGGCCTTCGAGCGCGGCCACTTCGTTTTGTGTATCGAGAGAGACCACGGCACCTTGTCGCATAAGGTCTTCGTAGGCCCACAACTGGAGAGTGAGTGGGTTATGTCCCACAGGGCCGTCCGTCGTCGATGTGGTGACGTACTCTTCGTCCAACATGACAACGTGACGGAGCCCCGTCCCGTCGGCGTCGATCTGCAGCTCCTTCAAGATGGGCCGGTAGTCGTACCGTGACGTCTGGGCTGTTGTGAACAGCACCCGCGGTGTTGCCGACTGTAGTGCGTGCATCAGCTCCGCGCGCGTGTATGCGTAGTTGAACAGCGTAAAGTACGCGCCCAGTCGTGAGCAGGCTAGCATAATCACGGCATACTCGTAGCAGTTTCCGAGCAGTACGGCCACTCGGTCGCCTCGTCGGACGCCGATCTGCTCGTAGAGTGCCACAGCCAGCTGCGTGCTCTGCCGATGCAGCTTGCCGTACGTGAGCCGGGTGTTGTTCTGGTGCTGCGAGGCAACCACAACATTGTTTGGCTGCAGTCGCACGCGCTCCCGCAAAATGTCGTTGAACGTACAGCGCAGCAGCGCCGGCTCAGAGGGTCCACTGATGATGGACAGCCGCTGTTTTGGCGACCCTTTGGACAGGATATCGTCGCTGTGGTGTTGCTTTGGTGGTGGTGGAGGCACCATGTTGTCTTGCTGTCGAATGGCGGCGATGAGACTCAACTGCAAACGTTCGGTAGGTGTGTTCTGAGCGGCACTTGTCTTGAAATTGTACAGACATAGAGCGAATCGATCAATACCAACGGGCCACCACAAGCAGACACATAGTGCAATCCCTCAGCAGACTCAATGTCGGCCTACCAAGGCACTATTACCCGTCACAGCAATGGAAAGTTCATAGCAACGACAATACAAAGACGGCATAAGACAATATCACGATATCCAGAAAACCCGGAGACGATACCCATCTGCGCCAAGAATGTCTTTCACTTACACTCGATCCGAGCAGGATCCACTATGGAGTGTGTGGCCACTCGTCGCCACGTTGTGTGCCGTGTTTCCGTCTGACATTTCGTCGTCTATCGCGTATTGCATGGTGTGGAGCTGTCGCGTGTTTTCGTCGCCTACGTCGTCTAATTTACAACGTGACCAAAGTCGGGGTAAGACGACTAAAGAGGAGTTGCGCTCCCCGCGCCGCACTACAAGTCGTCATGCATGGCATACACGCCATTCGACCACTGAAGTTGACAAATATCATTTGCTGCCTCATAGTCTACATCCGAGCTGCCTCCACCGGCGGCTCGTCTCCGCATTCGGCCACATCCCGTAGCTCTCGTTGCTGCTCACTTCTTGCGCCCTGCCTCCAGCAGCCACTGCAACCCCTTAGCTGTGTCCTGGCGCTGCTTCTGGCTGAACTCTGCCTTGGGCCACCAGGACGAAAAGCCATGCGGGAGGCCCGGGTAGACGTCCAGCCGCGTAGTGACGCCCGCTTCCTCGCGCAGCATGCGCTCGTAAATCAAGCCCTCATCGCGTAGCGGGTCCATCCCGGCTACCTGCAGATACGTCGGCGGTTGTCCCTTGTGGCCCGACGGCCAGACGGCCGGCGACATGAGCGGCGACAGTGGGTCGTCCTCGTAGAGTTGGCGGAAGAGGGCAATCGCACCCGCGTTGAGAATGGGCGCGTCCTTGTTTTCGTCGCGGCTCGTGTAGACCGCCTTCCATTTGTCGGGAACGGCCTGGGGCGCCAGCAGGCTCGGAATGTTGAGGTACACGCCCGTCAGCGGCGGTGTCAGGCCCTCGTCGCGTGCCAGGTGAGCCACCGAACAGGCCATGTTGGCGCCGGCCGACACGCCACCGACAATGAATCCTGCAGATAAATCACCGCCGTGCACGTCCGGGTGCGCCGCCACCCAGCACACGGCATCGTGGCAGTCGTGCACCGGGACCGGGAACTTGTGCTCGGGCGCCAGCCGGTAGTCGACGTTGACACTCACGGCGCCCGGTACCAACGCACACCACGAGCGACAGAGCAAGGCCTCGTTGTCCAGGTCGCCGAGGACCCAGCCGCCGCCATGGAGAACGACCAAGACAGGACCAGACGTCGAGGTGGTACTGTCCTTGTAGACGCGCACCACAATCTGTCCACCGTCCCGTGTGGTAATACTGTGGTCTGTCTCGCGAATGGTCGACGTGGATGGACCGGCCGACGCCGTCATCGCCAGCTTGCGTTGTCGAAGAGTCGCCCGCAGGGCTTGGATGTCGGTTGTCTCTCCCAGAGAGGCCACGGGGCCGCTCTTGTCGAGGATCTGGTGGATGCACAATATCAGTATACCAGTAGGTGTTGGGTGTGGCGACGTAGTGGTCGGTATGGTGTTACCTCTCTGAGCTCTGGGTTGACATAGCCCACTTGCTTCATCAGAGTCATTTCCGCAGTGTCTGCCATGATATAGTACAGGTTCTTTTTTTTCTTTTTTTTGAAAATTGCCAGGATGAGGTCGTGCCTGAGTAACTGTTTGCTTTGGGGAAAAGAGGTTGTTTTGTTTGAAGATGTTGTGACTGTGGAGAAGTGTGGGGGCAAACATGAGTTGGGCAAACATGAGTTAACCACTAAAACCGCAAAAGCCGCGGTGGCTCCTTCAACAAGCTGCCAGAGTAGACTGGGCGGCAACATCTGAAGGAATACACACACATTCATATAATTGAAAAGTAACAGCCAAACAAGCGCATCGACAGATCCCGGTCATCCACCCTGGCCCCCTTGGCGGTTTGCTCTTTTATAAGCTGGCGTAACAGCAGAGCCGCCCGCTTTGCGTTGCGTGTCGCACCCGAACTCAGTCGAAAAGGCGGCAGTGTGTTGTTGTTGTCGCCGACGGCGTCTTCCTCCAAAACCGGCTTGGCCTCACCGAGCGCCTCGAGCTGCTCAATGGCCCACTGCGCCTGCGCCGGGTCGCTGCACTCGGAGCCAAACAAGAACACGGGCCACAGCAGGCTGGGATGGATGACTTTGCGGACCGTCACGGTCGGATTGGGCCCAGGCCCAGGCACGGAGATTTCCTCGCCGTACGCCCGCTGCATGTGCTGCCACACCTCGTCCAGGGCCCGACGCGCCAAGGCCGAGTGCGGCAGGTGCCACCAGCTGATGCGGTGGAGGTGCACAAACAGGATCCAGAAGCTGGCCAGGTAGACGCTAAAGATGGCCTCCAACCGTTTCGCCACATCGGCGGCGACAACGGCGCGCAGCTGCTGGCTGGTCAGCGACATGACGTCCGGGCGGTCATCCCAGAGCGCAAACAGTTCCGACTCGAGCTGTTTGCCCGCGAGGATGACTTCGTACTCGTCGTCGCTCGTGAACCGCCGGCGGTGATGCTTGTCGTGAGCGCTGATCCGGCGGCAGTACGACTGGGACGTGAGGTACCACTCCAGGGCGGGCTGAAGGACGGTCCGCAACAAGACCTGCTTGACCTGAACAGGGGCCAGCTGTGGTGACCACCGGTCTCCGGCGCCGTGTACGTTGGGACGGCTACCGGGTGCCTGTTGATGTCTATGTGGCCGACCCCGGCCGTGCGCCTGGGCTTGTGGTGTCTTCGATTGAACGCCCATCGACACAGCCGACGCGGGCGACGACGACGGCGACATTTCGTCCACGGAGGACAGTTCCGAGTCTTCATCATCGTGAACCGGTGCTGTCCCCGCTTGGCCCTTGCTGCTGTCAGCCTCGCCGTGCTCTTGGTCCAGGGACGAGGTGATGTGGATCGGGAAATGTGCCACGGCCTCCAGTGTCTTTGGCGACAACAGTGTCTCCCGACCCATGTGGGCAGCCTTGCTGTCGAGAGTATTGAGCCACGACAGCAGCTGCTGCGAGTAGCGGCTCCAGCTTGTGGCACTGCTGGTCGGACTCGTCGTCGTAGCACTGGTGATGACGCGCTCGGCCAGGTGGCGCGGGAACAGGCGCGTGTGCGAGTCCTGGTCGCGAATGACCTCAAACCAGGACAGCAAAAAGATGGCTGCCAGCAGGTGTTCTCTGGTTTTGGGTCGCAGTGGGTGTACGGCCTTGTCGGCCATATCAGCCGCTTCAGTGGTGATGGTAGCGCTGCAGCCCAGTTTGGCTTCGATTTCCTGGCAGGCCGAGGCATGTCGCTCAAGAATGCGCTGCATCCGCTTCTCTCTCTGGTCGCCTTCCAGTCCTTCACCGTCGTCATCTATGGCGAGCAGTTCAATGAGACACAGGAGGGCACTGCGAACAGCGCGGGATTTGTCGCCCAGCTTGCACAAATAGTGCTGTAGACGACGCCAACGTTCGAAGCCCCCGATGAGGATAGCTGCGGGAGGCTGCACGATTTGATGGAACCGTTGCATCAGATGAGCAACGTTATCCACGTCGCTTTCATTTTTACCACCAGCACTGCCCGCATGCATGACATTCTGCAGCGGCTGTTGCACGGGCGGACTAGTGTCGGTTCCGGATGCCACAGCACGTGTGCTCGGCGGCCCCCCGGCCTCAGGTACATGTTGCGCGGTGAGCTGGGACGCATCAGAAGCCGCCGCAACTGCAACGGCCAGTGTATCTAGACCCGTCGGTGTCTGAATCTCGGGGACCACACACGCAAACTCGCCCGCCCATGAGGTGTCGAGGTCGGCAAAGACATCGAAGAAATCGTATCGCCGAGCAGGTGTCCACGGTAGGCTGTTGTTGTTGCCGTTGGTGTTGTTGTTGTTGATCCCATTCGGTGTTGCATATCCACTTCGTGTATACGAGTATGCCCACAGATCTGGAGCCGCAGTGTCGGGGAGTGCCAGTTGGTTGCGTTGTTGACTTTGATAGCTCTGTTGCTGGCTACGCTGCCGCCCGCCGCGCCGCAATTGCAAGTAGTCGATGTGGTTGTCGATGTCGCCAAGGCCGGTCTCGGAAACCGCCAATTCGTTGGCGACAGCAGGCGCAGGGCCGGGAATGGGAACAGCCAATGGGTTGCTGAGGTCAATTTCTGGCTGGCTGCTGCTCACTCCAGGTACCTGGGATGCCTCCGACCGCTGTGCCGGCTGTCTCCTTCGTTGTTGCCCAGCCTTCGGCGTCTGATACCGGCATTCAAACTGTAGGCGCCGGCAGTGGCCGCATACGGGGTGGGTCTCGTCGCAGCGGACGCGCCGCTGTTTACACGTGACACACCCGAGACGCGATCGGGGTCCGGACCGGCCGTGCCGGGTGTGCATGTCGGCTGCGTTCGCTTTTTAATCGCTGTTCAACGTACTCGGGATTTGGGTCCGCTCCTTCGGTTTTGCGTCTTGATTGTCGTCGTGGTTGTCGTCTTCGTGTAGTCTGTCGTGTGTCGTATGTCGTGTGTTGTCAAGTCAGCTTGCTTGTTTGTCACGACATTGCGACGTCAAGAACTTCCCCGTCAGCATCACCGTATGGTTACTTCCGTCGGCTATCGCGTAAATTAAATGAATGGGGAATACGACGGGCAAGTGAGTGTGTCTTCCGGCAGGCACGGGGTGTTGATCATGTCCTTGTCCTGTATCTAGTGCACATCTTAGGTCGTCGAGTGCGGAGTCTCTGGATAAGTTTTTACGGTATTAGTTGTGCTCCACTATGACTGGCCAGAACAGAAAAGGGGCATACGTTGGCATAAACATCACTTGCGGGCCTGGCCAGGCAGAGAGGGCTCAATCCGGGCGGCATTTAGCGTGCGGGGACCCCGCAAATGGGACGAAATTGCCTAACCCGGAATGAGGACAGCGAGAGGGGAAGGCGCTACCTGGCAAGCAGAACAAGAAACAGAAGACAAAATAAGACTGACTACGACTGTACGGAGTAATAAAATAATGGAACCACTAGGGCTGTCTCGTTTAGACGACACATGGCCGATGTGGAGGACAGGGACAAGCGATCGGGTAATTGTGCAGCCACACCAAGGTGACTCTGTGACATATCACGAGGTCCAGGTCAACAGCGTTTGGGTATGTGTCGGATTGGCGGTTTCTTGTTGTGAGAGACTGCTGTTCTGATGTATACATGTTGGAAAGTGTCCTCGCCTTGAAATGATCTCCTGGTTTATTTTGAATCTCACGAAAGTGAATCAACTTTTCCTCGCCATTTTTATTTTATTGTTGTCACTCACTTGACGTCTTCTTTACTTTTCTCTATTCTTTGTGTACCACCCAAACGTCAACGACTCGTCTCCCATTATGGAGACTGTCGCGGCGCCGCATCCGGCGGTCCGGCACGGCAAGGGCCGGCAGTTTCGCGCCTACAACGTCATGGTCATCTTTGCCATGTCATTTGCCTCCATTGCCATGGGCTACAGCGCTAGCATCATCGGTACAACGCTGGCCCAGCCCACGTTCCGTGAATACTTTGCGCTCGACACGCGCGACAACGGCACCGAGCTGCTCTCAGGCATGAACGGGCTCTTTCAGGCCGGCGCCTTCTTCGGCGCCCTTTGCATCTCCTGGGTGGCCGACCGATTCGGCCGCAAAGCCAGCATTACCGTGCCCTCGATCCTCGTGCTTATATCGGGTGCCCTTCTCGCTGGCTCTGTGCACATCGGCATGTTCCTTGCGTTCCGCTTCGTGGCCGGCATGGGCTCGTTCTGGTTGCTGGGCTCGGTGCCCGTGTGGATGACGGAGATTGTGCCCCCGCGCTGGCGTGGCCTGCTCGTCGACATCCACTCGGCCATGCTTTTGTTTGGATACGCCTTCGCCTCGTGGATGGGATATGCTTTTTACCACGTCGACTCGCCCAATGCGTGGCGCGGACCCCTGGCGCTGCAGACGCTGCCGGCGCTCATTGTGCTCTGTGCCATGCCGTTTTTGCCCGAGTCGCCGCGCTACCTCGTGCAGCGTGGTAAGCATGACCAGGCTCGACGTGTGCTTACCCGCCTGCACGAAACGCGCGAAGCCGAGCTGGAGTTTGCGCAGATCCATGCCCAGATCGAAATGGACAACGCACTACCGCACAGTTGGATGTCCCTCATCACCAAAAAGTCCTATCGCAAGCGAGCATTCTTTGCCATCGGCCTCGCATGCGGCATACAGTTCACTGGCGTGCTCGTCATTAATAATTACGGGCAACTCCTCTATTCCGGACTCGGTTTCGACTCAGAGAAACAGCTGCTGTTTTCCGGAATTTTTAATACGCTGGGCTGGGTGTTCGGCGTGGCCGCTATTTTTATCATTGACCTGTTTCCCCGCAACCGCCTGGTGTTTATTGGCACAGTCATAGTCACCACCTGCCTCGTTGCAGAGGCTGCTCTTGTGGCCAACTACCCGGTGGGCCCCGACCAGAACGACAATGCATTGCGTGCGGCCGTCGCCATGATATTCTTGTATATTGTTTTTGCCGAGTTCTTACTGGATGGTACCCAGTATGTCTACTTTGCCGAGCTGTTCCCGCAACACCTTCGTGCCAAGGGCATGGCCCTTGGCATGGCTGCCATTTCGCTGATGAATGTCATGTGGCTGCAGACAGCGCCCATCGCGTTCGCCACTATTTCGTGGAAGTTTTATCTGTGCTTTATTATTCCGGCCTATTTGTTTGCCATTGTCTGTCTCCTTTTTTACCCAGATACCAAAGGCCTGGCACTGGAAGAGATTGCTGCTCTGTTTGGTGACGAAGTGCAGGCGGCAGATGCGTTTGTGGCAGAGGATGGGGATGCTTCGTCAGATAACGCCAAGGTGATGAACGTTGCAGAACATGCTGAGAAGAGGGCATGATTGGACGGGAAATATTTGTGAGATAATGTTATGTTCAAAGGAAATTTGATATTCCTTTAATCAATGCAATTGAGTTGATGATTTTGGATGCAATACTCGAAAATATTTCATGTTCACTATACTATGCGAGTTTACCGGTGTTGTGGTTAGCATGCAAAATGCCCGTTTTCATAGACCACCAAAACCCCAGTAAACCGGAACCCCCGGACCGGCCATTGTCATACTATCGAGTTTACTGGTCCTTTAGTTCGAATGCAAAATACCATACGAATGAACGCACTCGACGACAACCCGGTTTCATAATGATTCCTCTCAGACCTGCACCCACATCTAGCATGGGGGGATTCTATGTTCTGGCTCATCGTGCTTGGCATCATCGAAGGTGCCTTTGCGGACATAACCTCAACGAAGAACATTGAAGACATTTATTCATTTGCTTCCAGTACTCCTGTGTTTATCAAACCGTTAACGTAAAACACCCCGTGAGTATTTGAGTATCTATTGTTGAAAAGAAAGAGAAAGACGATAATACAATACAATTTTGAGAGACTGTTTATTCCTTACTAAATACGTTTTTCCGAAGATCTTCCGTTCCGCACGTGAACGCGACACGCCAGTTGACAAAACCAGATATTGGACACGCAGGTAACAACCCTTCAGATGAACAGCTTGTTGTCGAAACTAAGTGAATTTTGCAAGCTGGAGTTCAATGTCATACTGAGCCTCATACATCGTAGCAGCCGTCTAGCTCTCGAAGGCCACGTCACGGGAAGAATGCTGCACCATCCAGGAACACACTCCAAACTAGGCGCTTATTGAAGACAATATGGCAACGAGAAGTCGACGGTTGACTTACACGCTACGGTGTGGATGTTGCACAAGTTGACCGGATGTCGAGTATTTTCTTGGCATCGGAATATGTGAATTGGTGACTAGTCTTCTGATGCTGCCATTGCTTGGTACTAGTGCACTGAGTAGTATTGTTGATGCGGTGTCAGCCACCGTATTGACCACACATTTGAAACAATTCGTTTTAGGTGCGGCCTCTTGACGACAATTACACCATACAAACCCTGGATGCAAAGTGCTTCGGTTCGATTCGTCAGTCATTGTATGGTTCGGTGCCGGACTGATGAAAGCCAGCGGCATTATACTCGTGGTGTTGAGGCATTAATGGAGACGCACGCCGTTACTCCACGCAACCTGGCATAGATGTGCTGGTTTTGTGCATCGGCTGTATCGGGCGAAGACAAAGTCCACGTAGGCAACTGCCAGCTTGAATTATACACATCATTTTGGTATAGTTTAATGGAAGAAAATAAATGATATACGATCAATTTCATTTCAGTAAGGTAAACAAACGACGTTCTTTTAGCTACGCTTTGTCAAATCTGCATGCTGGCTGGCGCGTGATTGACCTTGTAGCAGCAGCCGGAAGACGGCACCGACTCGTAGCCCGTGCTGACCGCCTTACTCTACTAACAGCTAGCGTCGGTTACACGACATCTGTCCTGCAACCCTTCCTTCCTTACCCGTGTCGTTGCTATTGGTGGTTGTCCATCGACCTTATGTTCAGTGCATTCGCTGCTGCCTGGCCCTATCTTGGTACGGCGGCTGGGATATGTATGATTCCTTGATTCCGTAACCAACCATACTAATATTCGTCAACTCCAAGCCATTACGAAATATTTCTTATAAGTTATTGCAACTGTATAGTTCCAATTGCATACACTGTCGCCACAAGCTCATGAACGCTGCGGCTTTGATCACAATCACGCCGTGGCACCTTTCCGTGGTTCCCCAAATATTTCAGAGAAACGACAGATCTTACAATGAATACCGAGTCATCCTCGGGTGTTCCGTTCGACATCATCCAGGATAGGTTCCATCACCAGGTTGGTCAACACGGACATGAGCTCCTCTCGTTTGTTGCCGAAAAGCTGCGAAACGCCTCTCCGGGCATCTCCATTACCCTCGGCCGCCTCGAAATGCCCGCCTCTCAGGTTAACTGGCTATGGTGTGTCGGTAGTGCGGACCAGGCTACGGAGCAAGCCGTTTTACACTTCTTCCAGACAGATGCCGGGAAGAGGGCTTTGGTGTCCGATGGTCCGGACACGGTCGAATTCAAGCTAGCTAGTGTTCTTTTGCGTCTGCCTCCCAGCCATGCAGAGGATCCCGTCCTCCCAGAGGACTTGGCGGCGGCCGCAGGTCCGCTTAGAGACGGCCAAGAGGCCATAATTTATTCAAAGGCGCCACCCCACCCCATCTGCATTCCTGCTCGAACCAGTGGCTGGCTGCAAGTGTCTCCTCACGTGCAGTTCTCTCGAGTTTCGGTGCTACAGCTTCAGGAACAAGCTCGTGAGTATGTCCAGCTTACCAGACTTGAAGCACGTCTGCTAATCATACGAATAAGCCGCAGATATCGAAAATCTTGGATCCTGGCTTGTGAGTACTGATGCATCGACTGTCTATGGGAACGTCGCCGCCATTTCTGGGTCTCGGAGTATTTTGGTAACGCCGTTGGCTCCAGAATAAAGAGCAACAGTGATGACGGAGGAACCTAGATATACGACGGAGCACGCTCCTCGCTAGCTGGTGGTTCAGTAGTTACCGATTGCCAGTAATACAACCCGATTAACTTGTATTCCATTAACTCTTTCGTGGATCCAATGGTTAATTGTCGGGAATATTTTATGTAGCAAATTAACAGCAAAAAAAACAAAAAAACAAAACGATGGGCTCAGGTGAAATGACTCCCGATTTATATGAGCCATTTTGTTTATCTAATGTCGTATTAAGTAGTTCTACGGTAGGAAAATAATTATAACGTAATCTTAACAAAATGACGATAAATATCTACCAATTAATTGTACTTGTCACATATAACAATTTATAAGTAATAAGGAATGCAAAATTAATCGTAGCAGACTATGATCGCCTCTGGAAACAAGCCACCAAAGACACAAACAACTAAATCAGAAGCCTGTTGTACGCCGCCTGGATAGGTGCTACAACTTGGCGGTAGAAGATACCGCGGAACGTCTCCATCTCAAAGATGTTGTGCGAGTCCGGGCCGGGAAAGCTGAACCTGATGCACTTTTTGGCTGCATCTCCGTAGGAAGCGCCTGCCAACTCATACACCTTGTCCAAGTTGCTCATGGCAAAGTCGTAGCGAGCATTGGTCATTGACAACGGAGTTTCGAGAGGCTGCTGCTGCTGAGCATCGTCCCGTGCATCCGCATAACACCGTCCCACGCACAGCTCCACCAGAAGAATGCCCAGGGAAAACACCGTGATGTTGGGTGCCAGGCGCTTGTCGTACGCGCTACGGCCCGCCGCGTGTGGGAGGGCACCGTCGGCACCATGGTCGCCATGGTCGCCTTCGTCGCCAAGAAACGTCTGTGGTAGCGGCGCGAAACTGGAAAAGAAGCACGGACGGTCTGCGAGTCGCTCCGCGTTGTTGTCCGGCTGCTCGAAAAAGATGCCGACACGACTTCCGTCCCAGTCATTGGTGAGCCACGGGCCACTGCTCAGGTGCAAAACCGACATGGCCGCATACGCCGCCAGGCCACAGCGGGCTTTCAGAGACAGCCGTTGGTGGCTTTGTGGCGGGTTCAGCGCCTTTGTGATGGGAACAAGCTGCGTGATTCTCGGCCCCCCCACATTTGTCTGTTGGAGACGGAAATCACGCCCGTGGTCTTCGTCGTCGTCTTGCAGCACATGGTCGCTTAAATCAGGAGACACAAACACACACACGCTGGCCGCAACTGGTAGATTGGGGGGTGTTATGGTTTGCGTTAAGGGCTCGAGTGGTACTGCATGAGGAGAGAAAGAAGCGCTATGTGTTAGTGACTCGTACACGGAAACTATGCCCTCGTAAAACGCAATTCTCGTCTTACTGTTGATGGCGGGTTGCCGCGCTGGCAAGGAGAGCTGACTCGAAGGGGCTGGTGGACCGACTTTGACGCGGCTGGGTCGGAATTCCGGAGGCGATGGCGTCCGTGGTGGCGTAGAGGACCGAGAAACGCTGTTTGGCGCCGGAACACGCCGTGTATGCATATGTGGTAGCGCCACGTTCCCTTGCTTGGCAGGCGTCGGTATGGCATGCACGGTTCGCCAGTAAGGCGCACCCTGCGTGGCGCTCTTGGCGGTCCCCGGTTGGTACGACACGGCTATTTTCACGTCCGGGGCCACGGCCTTCCCGTCGAGATGCCAGTCCACGTCGAGAACTGCGTGGTGTGGAGCCTCACAGCCACAGAGTAGGCTCGACTCCAAGGCACGGTGCAGCGAGGCCAGGCATTGCCGCAGAGAATTGCATTGCTTGATATCGAAGCGCTGGACAAGACGCTGGACGACGGGATTGTCGTCCTCGGCCTTCAGCTCTGACTTGCTCACTTGGAGACAGCCACACAACTGTTCGTTGAGGTCGTTCAGAAGGCTGATTGTTTTCTTGCGCCGCTTTGCGCTGATTGCGTTCCAGATGCGCTTCATGTCGGACGGCGAAGAACGGGGAATCGCATGAAACTGGAAAACTAGATTAGAGTGTGCGTCATGGACATGCGACCGCACCTCTTCTTCTTGCACTCGTGACTTTTGTAGCACCCCCTGGGAACAATGAGTTACCTTGGTACGCGAATCGATGCCGAACTTGCGCATGACCTTGTTCGTCTCCTCTTCAATGCACTGGTAGATGTACAAAATCTCGTCGGCCACCTTGGGGGCGTTGGCCTGGACGTATCGGCTCAACTCGTCCTTGCTCGGCGTGTCGAGCCCAATGTCCAACAATGTGGCCTCGAGCTTTTGCCTTTGCAAAGCGAGCAAGCTGTGGAATTGCAGCACCTGCTTTTTGTAATTCCGGTAGGACTCCAGGGGCTCTGCAAAGACCTCGACCGCCGAAATGACCAAGGGAAGGCCGCCCAGGACAAGCCCGGCAATCTCCGCCATGCTGTATGTTGTCGTCGTGAAGAGTATCGAGTATCGGACAATGCTGGAGCAGTGATCTAGATCGTTGCGCCCACCAGTCGTTTTTGTGCTCTTGTGCTCTTCATCTTCCACGCGCCCGTTTTGTCTGTATGTCCTTCAGCTGGTCGACGTAAAAGGCGCAGTGTTCGTTACCCCTCGTTGCTTTGCATATGGGTGTAGTGGGGGATGCATCAACGTGCACAAAACCACCGAATGAAAACACGGTACGATCATATGTGCTGAAACCGTGCAGCGCAAAGTACGAAAATGGCTCACATCTTCACTGCGGCAAGGCGGTGGAAATCATCTCGTAAAATGCTACCACCGATCCTCGTACCCGTCGTCTTCATGACTCGACCGGACAATTCTTCAATCCTTTACGAGAGCCATTCCCAACCACATTGTGCTTGACATCAGTATCACGATCGTCCCATCTAGTGTAACACGGCTAGAACCGTGTGCGACATTTCGTCAAGGAAACGACAGACGACCCAAGTATGGCCTTCCCTTCCTCTTTGGGCACCTCGCCGTCGTTGTCCATTTCGGAAACATACGCGATGTGCATCCGGGCCTTTGGCCACTTTGTCGAGGCCATCCGCGCGCCTGATTGCTTGGTGTGTCATCTTGGCCTTGTCCGCGCCTCGGACGTTGTCGACGAATACGGTAGGGCCAGAATCTGGGGCGACGACACAAAAGCCTGTCTGCCGGAAAAGGCACGCGGCTCTCTGGACGACACGCTGAGGCACGACGAGGATATGAAACGCCTTGTTCTGGAGATTCTCCAGCTTCTTCATGGCATGATCAAACAAGGTACGTGGATGATGGGCAGTCAGAGCCTCTTCTCATTCCTACTCTTGTTCCTTTTCTCTTTTCCTTTACTCGCCACATCTAACAATTTCGTTAGTCACGCCCATCGCAGATCGGAAAGCCAATGTTGCACTTGGGTCTGATCACGGCTCTATAAGTAGCGTTACCGATGAATCCAGTTCTAGTTCGGATACAGAATCTGATTGCACTATGAGTTCCGGTACGAGCACGCATGCCGGTGTCGACAAAGAGAGACGCAAGGGCGAGGACGTCGTCAAGCCCAAGAGGAGGCGAGCGAGAGTCTCTGTGCTCGTAGATGAGATCAAAGAACAGATCAAGTCCCTATTTGAGGTCTCATCTCTACTTCGCCGGCCACGAGTGACCAACAAATATTTGCGGTCAGTCAGCTCCAAATCGCCTAAGCAGGCGGGGGCGAAGGAGGCCGACTTGCTCATGATTGCAATGAAAACCTACGACGAGAGGCATGTCAAGGAAAAGATGCTGCAATGGGGCAGTCTCAACAAAAGTACGCTCGGCCAGCAATTCCAGGAGGAGTCAGTGCCTATGAATCGACCGGATTTTGGTGCGATCCAAGAGGTGTCCTGGCTGTGCCAGCGGCTTGCACAAGCAAATACCCGACGGCGAGAGCAGCTGCAATATTGGAAACGCCGACCGTACGAGACGGCGCCCGTGGCGAGTAAGGTGCTGCCGGAGCGAAACCCGCGAAACATGGACGAATCTGGAACAACAGGTCGCCCAAGGACGTCCGACATGCCGAAGCCAACGGCACCGGCCACAAATCCAGATCGTCGATCCACCACATCCCGACAGACGTTTTCCACCGCACACAGTTTCTCGACGGCCGCTGTTTCCGACGTCGTGTACAAGGTCAACACGACCGGTCGTGCACCAACGACGTATGCACCCACATTGGCGGGCCAGGGTGGTGCGAATAGCAATGTCGTTCCAGGCCCGCCCCGAACGGTGGACGGTGCCACCCAATTTCCTTGTCCATACTGCGGCATGGAACTGAACAAGGCTGAAATGAGTGACAGACAAGCATGGAAGTATGTACCGTTTTTTTTTTTGGTTATTTATTTTGACTGTCCATGACACCGCTCACGCAAGGGGAAAAAAACATCTAGACGTCATGTGTTTCACGACCTTCGCCCCTACGTGTGCACATTTGAAAACTGCAACAACGGAGCCAAACTCTTTGCCAGTCGCAACGACTGGATCTATCATGAGTTTCTCGTCCACAGACGCCGCTTTGTTTGCGACCGGGCGGGCTGTGACAACGTGTACAGCACCAGAGACGAGTTTGTTGCGCATCAACTAGCCGACCACTCCACGCACAGACATTTGATGGCCGCTGGTGATGTTGCCATTATTGCCGACATGTGCGATCGGCCCATCGACACGTCCGAACCGATACCGGAACAAACGTGTCTTGTCTGTCACGAACCCATCGAATATGTTGAACGCCTGCAAAAGCATCTCGCAGGGCACATGGAAGACATTGCCCTTTTTGTCTTACCCAGTGGCGAGACCGACCAAAATGAGGACGCGGAAAAGTCCCGGGACTCGTTTCACGTTGCTGCAGGAAGCGACGCCCACAGTCACCACAACAGTTCTACTCCCTCATCCGACACCAGTGATGGATACTCTAACCCATACGAGGACGACGAACAGAGTCGGTTCGAGGAGGTGATCGAGGACGAGCTGAGCCGTGATGCTACAAATCCCTCCTCGCTTATACGTGCTGTTTTGAGTGGAAGTGTGGCTGTCGTTCGGTTACTTCTCGAGAAGGGCGCTGACGTTGACGCGACGAATGGGCATCCAGATACGCCGTTGGTGCTTGCCGTATCGGAAATGAATGAAGCTATGATCCCACAACCGGAATTCTTCTTCAGCGAGGAGGAAAAGGCGAAGTATGCGCTTCAAGGCACGCCGTCGATGAGAGCAGAGAGAGCGAATAGGTTTGAGGCCATCGCGCGATTATTGCTCGACAACGGCGCCGATGTCAATGCGAGGGACAAGCGAAGAAAAACGCCGTTATTTTGGAGTATATATCGCCGTCGCGACGCCTTCTCATGGTTCTTACTTGAAAAGGGTGCTGATATCGACGTGAGGGATGCGTTTGGAGAAACGCCGGTAATGACTGCCGCCAGAAAAGGGCATGATGCCATGATACGGTTCTTACTCTCCGAGGGCGCGGACGTCAACACAAAAAACAACAATGGACATACGCCGTTATATACTGCCACATTGTTTGGGCACAAGACGACCGTACGGTTATTACTCGCAAATGGTGCTACTTTCGATTCGCTGGAACCGGCTGGATCCTTACTGTTACGTTCTGCCATAATACAAAAGAATGAGGCTATCATACAGATACTAATCGATGGTGGCGCCGACGTCAACGCGAGGGATGTCTCGCATGATACGCCGCTGATAACTGCTGCAAGGATTGGACCCAAGGCCGTTGTTGAGTTGCTACTCGAAAAGGGAGCCGAGATCGATGGGATGGACCACCGGAAGCGAACACCACTCTCACATGCAGCACAGTTCGGGGAGCAAGATATCGTCAAGCTGCTACTCGAAAAGAGCGCTGACGTCAATTCGAGAGACATTGACAAACGGACACCACTATCACACGCAACACACGGAGGGCACGAGAATGTCGTCAAGTTATTACTCGAAAGGGGCGCTGACATCGAATCGAGAGACGTTTACGAATGGACACCACTATTATACGCAGCACAGAGAGGGCACGAGAATGTCGTCAAGTTATTACTCGAAAAGGGCGCTGACATCGAGTCGAGAGACAAGGACGGACGGACACTACTATTACACGCGGTACACGGAGGACACGAGAATGCCGTTAAGTTATTACTCGAAAAGGGTGCCCACCTCGACGTGGGAGACCAGCATGGTCACACGCCGATGATAACTGCTGCAAGGATTGGACCCAAGGCCGTTGTTGAGTTGCTACTCGAAAAGGGAGCCGAGATCGATGGGATGGACCACCGGAAGCGAACACCACTATCACACGCAACACACGGAGGGCACGAGAATGTCGTCAAGTTATTACTCGAAAGGGGCGCTGACATCGAATCGAGAGACGTTTACGAATGGACACCACTATCATACGCAACACACGGAGGGCACGAGAATGTCGTCAAGTTATTACTCGAAAGGGACACTAACATCGAATCGAGAGACATTAACAAACGGACACCACTATCATACGCAGCACAAAAAGGGCACGAGAATGTCGTCAAGTTATTACTCGAAGGGGGCGCTGACATCGAGTCGAGAGACAAGGACGGACGGACACCACTATCATATGCAGCAGAGGACGCGAAAGACGACATCGTTAAGATACTACTCGAAAAGGGTGCCCACCTCGACGTGGGAGACCAGCATGGTCACACGCCGATGTGGTACGCCACAGGAAACGGGCGTGAAACCACTGTTGCATTGTTAGAATCATATGGTGCCGCGAGACCTACGTAACATCATGACTCTGATGCTGGTTCCTACAGTCACCAAGTTGGCGGAGAAGGACGGTCCCTGTATTTCATATGTATAGAACCAATTTTGTATTTCTGTGGCCAGGGTGGTTGCGCCACCTAGTTATGTATATACTACTTAGATAGTTTCTTGGGAATCCGACGCGGAGACGTCCCTCGTGGAACCATTCCGAGTTTAGTTAAGAACACAATTGCATTTATCATCGGAAAGCATCTAACGCATTATTCGCAGGTCTATCAAACATACCCAATCAGAGAACTTCACACACCACTACATAAAAAATGGGCACAAACGCACACGTACTGTACCATCTACAGCTGCACAAACGGATCGTCAAAGTACCAGACCGGATCGCCCTCTGGGTCAGCCTCGCAGTTGGTGTAGCCGTTGCCCATGAACTGGAAGCGGTTGCCGGAGCGGTAGTCGATCTCGTAGTCCTCCCAGCGGACGGTCTTGAGCATCTCGAAAAAGTGGAGACGCGAGCCCGGGTAGATGGCGGTGACGGGGCCGTGGGTCTTGCCCATTTTAAACCAGGAGCGGCAGGCCGAAGACCAGACCAGCCGCTTCATGAGCTCGTGGGTGTGGTTGTACAAGTCCTTGACGGCCTGCGCCTTGGGCTCAAAGGCCTTGATGTTTTCGGTCTGGACCTTGTCGATCATCTGGAAGATGTAGCGCGTGTACCAGTCCATGATGGGGAGGATGGAGCTGTGCGAGGACGGACTGTTGGGGCCGAGGAGGACTGCCCATGTTAGCATCGTTCCATAACGCAGGAGTGAGATGGAGGGACGTACGGAATAGATTGGGAAAGTTCTCGGCGGTGATGCCGAGGTAGCCCTTGGGAAAGTCGCCAAACTGCTCGCGGAGGTCGGCATTCTTGCGGCCCGTAATCGTAAAGTGCGGCGTAAACGAGGTGTCGAAGCCAGTGGCACACACGACGACATCCACGGGGTGCTCCACGCCTGAGGCATCCACGACGCCCGTCTCTGTGAGCCGCACGACGCTGTCGTGGACCACCTGCACGTTGTCTTTGGAGAGCGCCTCCAGGTAGTTCGAACCGGGCGTCATGCGCCGACAGCCGAGGGCAAACCCGGGCACCATCTTGGCGGCCAGGGCGTCGTTGTCGAGGCGCTCGCGCATGATCTTGGCAATCAGCTCGCGCGAGTTCTTCTGGTCGACCGAGTTGCGGTGCATGAGGTTGAAGCGCTTGTTGAGCTCGCCCTCGATCTCGCGGCAGTACTTGGCATGTGCCGCGGGGTCGTCCTGGAACTGGCGGATCTGCTCGTCGGTGTACTTGAAGTTGGTGCCGCCCGGGCCGGCATACTTGGCGCCGAAGCCCGTGGTGACCCAGACGGGCGAGCGCAGAAAGGCCACGAGCTTGGTGGCGTCGGGCTGGATGCTGGGAATGATCTGCACGGCCGAGGAGCCGCCGCCAATGACGGCAATGGTCTTGCCCTTGAGGTCGTAGTCATTGTCCCAGTGCGCCGAGTGCATGAGCTTGCCGCCAAACGTGTCGAGGCCGGGGATGTCGGGGTACTTCCACGAGTTGAGCACGCCCGAGGCCGACACCAGAATGTCGCACCAGTCCTCGAACGCATGGCCGTCGGGGCCGGTCATGGCCAAGTTCCAGTGGCCCGTCTCCTCGTCCCACACGGCGCGCTCCACCTTGGTCCGCAGCTGCACGTACCGCTCCAGGTCGTACTTGGTCGCCACGTCCTTGAAATACTGCCAGATTTCTTCCGACGACGAATAGTATGCTGACCAGCGCGGGTTGCGCGCCCACGTAAATTGGTACGAGTGGCTCGGGATGTCGCACGTGCAGCCCGGGTAGCGGTTCTCCAGCCACGTGCCGCCGATGTCGTCGTTCTTCTCGTAGATTTGCAGGTCGATGTTAGACAGGGCGCGCTCGGCCTTGTACGCCAACTGCAGACCCGCAGCACCGGCACCGACACACACAATGCGCAGGTGGCGCTTGGTGTGGAGCACCTCTTCGGTGATGCGGTAGCCATCAAAGTCTTGGTTGTACCATTTGTTTTCATGGACGGCGTCGGAGGCGGGGATTTCGCCCGGATCGGGTGCGCCGGCGATGAGCATCACGCGAGAGGGAGACATCTTATGGTGAGTTGTGTGTTTTGGGAGAGATTTGATGCAAGGGAGGAGTGTCAGAGAGAACGAGGGTGATGCCGCGTACGGCAAAGTTGTGCAGCGCAAAGTGCTACGATTCCGACCTTTTTTTTTTTTGAAAATAGATTGCCGTACGTCTCTGGCATAAAATTGTGGACAGTAAGGTCAATAAAAGAATAAAACATATCACAAAATAGCAATAAAAACGACTGCAATGCGACACAAAACAAGGCACAACGGATAAGATGCCGAGCGGCAAGTCTATGACCGAAAGAAGGAAAATCGAAGCGTGCTTCACGAGAATGGGCAGCAAGCTTCCGCTCCGACTCCGCACGGCGACTTGCGACTACGGTATCAGATTAGAAATAGGATGAAAACGTAAATATCAGTTGCCGACAGAGCCTGGCCTGGTGGCGTCACAGGTTGAAAATGCACGCAGCAGTTCCCGCCGCATGAACGCGACGAGGGGTTCTGGTCAAGGGTGGAAGAAAAAAGGGGCCGGAAGAGAGCAAACGGACTGAGGTTGTACATACCCGACGGACGCGATATTCGCGACGCAAGTTACGGGTCCATCGGGAGAAGTGTGCCTGTCCAACCCCCTTTCCCCTCGTGTCTGTTCTCCGCATCTGAGAAAGTAGACCAAACTAGACCCGTCCACGCGACAGGTAGATCCGGGGATTCACTCGCGACGACGACTGCGTCATGGTGGACGGGGAGAGGGGGCGCTAAAATGTACGTCGAAAGACGAACGAGCATAACTGACACGAAAAAAAGAAAAAAAAGAGAACAATGACACCTGCCCAGGCATCCTAGAATCCAAGAACATCACGACATTACGACTGAGACTCGTCAACCCTATCACCGCATCGCCACCACCATGAGCTCCGACACCGCAGTGTTCCAGCCGGCCTTTACCGAACCGCCCGGCACCAACCTTGTCGGCATCCCTGTCAGCAACTTGACGCTGCCGTCGCCGTACGTTGCCTATGGCCGGCCGTACGACGAGCTCTGTGCCAAGCACGTGCGCGAGACATTCAAGGCGTCGCGCGTTTACATTGTCGTGTCCAAGTCGCTGGCGGCCAACACGGACCGACTGGACCGACTGGTGGCGGCTCTTCAGAAGAGCAATATTGCGGTTGTCGGCGTGCGCAAAGGCATCACGCCGCACACGCCGTGGACTGAAATTCTGAGCATTGCGGCCGAGTGTCGTGCGGCCCAGGCGGACTGTGTCGTGACACTGGGCGCGGGCAGCACCACAGACGGGGCCAAGCTGGTTGTGCTGTGTCTGGCCAACGACATCCGCGAGCCGACACAGCTCGCCCGCTACTCGGTGGAGAGCACCGACATCCCCAAAGACGTGCGACCGCCGACGGTGCCGCTCGTCACGATCCCCACCAGCCTATCAGGCGGCGAGTATTTCAGTCTGGCCGGCGGCACGGACGACACCACGGCGCACAAGTCGCACAAGTACGGCTTCCTGCACTCGGGCATGGGCGCCAAGCTGATTATCCTCGACGCCGCGCTCGCCACGCTGACACCCGCCTATCACTGGCTCAGCACCGGCGTGCGCAGCGTCGACCACTGCGTCGAAGCCCTGTGCTGTCTGACGGCCACGCCTGCGGCCGAGGACAAGGCGGAGCGCGGCCTGCGGCTGCTGGTGCCCAGCCTCCTGCGCTGCAAAAACGACGACAAGGACGTCGCGGCCCGCCACCGCTGCCAGATGGCCGTCAACTTGGCCATGGACAACATCCGCGCCGGCATCCCCATGGGCGGCAGCCACGCCATCGGCCACCAGCTGGGACCGCTGGGCGTGCCGCACGGCGTCACCAGCTGCATCATGTGCGCGGCCGTGATGAAGTACAATATCCGCCACGGGGCCGAAATCCCGGACATCACGGCGCGACAGAAGAAGGTGGCCACCATCTTGTGGTCCGAGCCAGAGGTGGCGGCTGCCTTGCGTGCTGGAGGTCTGGCGCCCGAGACAGCCGACCTGGGCGACCTGATTGGCACCATTGTCAAGACACTGGGTCTGCCGCGGTTCCTGAACGAAGTGGGCATCGGCCGCGACATCATACCGAACCTGTCGGTGCGGGCTCTTGAAGACTTTTGGGCGCCGACGAACCCGGTGCCTCTTGTGAAGCCGGAGCAGGTGACGGAGATTCTGGAGGCCGTAGCAGGGTAGATGCCCGTACTTTGAATCGCACGTCGTATTTTGATTGGCTGTATACCCGTGTTCTTGTCTGCTAAGATATGCAAGTGCCGAGACAGTCCTGGCTCGGGAAATAATAGATTGCGGCGATATGAACGGCTGAACGGACCATCCCATTGTCGGCAGAATAGATATTTGAGAGCGGCATTCTCCTTCCACCAATCCTTGGACGCACACCAGCCAACTAAGCAATGTACATGTAAATAAGACAAGCCTGCAAGAAGGCAGTCGTCATCAGATAAGACATGAAGCAAGAGGATATATATGTGTAAGTCAGCCACGGCGCGAGTGTGATAGCTGCATTACCAGGTTTTCTCGCGAACGTCTGTTTTTCACAGCCCACCCACCACTCCAGCCCCAAAATGCAGTGGAAGGCCCTCGTCTTTGCACGCCTGGTGCAGCACGCCGCCGCCCAGGGCACCATGCCCATGCTGCGCTTCCAGTGCTCGCAGCTCGTCGTCGACCGCATCGACCCGCTCGTCAACCCCGGGCTGGTGCCGTCGCCGCACGTGCACCAGGTCGTCGGCGGCAACTCGTTCAACGCCACCATGGACCCGTCGACGCACGACCTGGTCGCCCTCTCGACCTGCACGACCTGCACCTTTTCGGACGACTTCTCCAACTACTGGACGGCTGTCTTGTACTTTAAGGCGCGCAACGGCTCCTACACTCGCGTGCCCCAGATCCCCAACCAGGGCTTGCTGGGCAACGGCGGCGTGACGGTCTACTACATCCCGGCGGCCGACAAGGGCACGCCCGTGACCGCCTTCAAGCCGGGGTTCCGCATGCTCGTGGGCGATGCCGGCGCCCGCGCAGCGGAGCCCGCGCACAAAGTGTGCCACCGCTGCATGCCCGCCTCGGGCGACAACCGCAACCTGAACTGCGCCGCACCCGATGCCCAGACGCTGCCGACCACGTTCTGCGCCGGCGGCATCCGGTCCGTCATCACGTTCCCGACCTGCTGGGACGGCAAGAACGTGGACTCGGCCGACCACAAGGCGCACGTCGCCTACCCCAGCAGCGGCACCAGCGGCCCCAACGACGTCGGCAGCAACGGCGTCTGCCCGGCGTCGCACCCCGTCCGGATCCCGCAGGTCATGCTCGAGACCATCTGGGACACGCGCGCGTTCAACACAAAGGAGCTGTGGCCCGAAGACGCCGCGCAGCAGCCGTTTGTCTGGAGCACCAACGACGCCCGCGGCTTCACGCAGCACGGCGACTACGTCTTTGGCTGGAAGGGCGACTCGCTGCAGCGGGCCATGGACGCGCGCTGCACCGGCGACACCTGCAGCGCGCTCGCCGTGCAGACGACGGAGCAGGCCACCAAGTGTTCGGTCCAGCAGGTCGTCAAGGAGAATGTGAATGGATGTATGTGGATCTCCTACCGCCTGTGATTTTTTATTTTTTATTTTTTTGAAACGACCGCTAACTGCCCAGGGCTATCGCATCTTCCCGGTATGCAGCCGGATGCAAGTGGGGCGGCACAGACGTAAACCATCGGTGTAAGGAGGTGCAGGCTCTCGACGGTGTCAAGGGGGCAATGACAGAGCATCTCCGACTAGGAATGTCATGAATTTGTACAACGTTCGTTGTTTTTTGTAGCACACGGGATTGGCGAGACGAGACAGCAGAATCCACCATGACAACCTCTCGTGATTGGCTTGCCGGCTGAGAAAGGGTTGCATTGCAGCCACGATTCGGCATCCCATCGTCGAATCGGGAAGACAAAGTGCTGACTACGTCGTAGTATGCGTCGCAACATCTGACCTTGTCGGGGTATGTAGACTACGTGGGCTCCAGCGTCGTGATGAACACCGTTGCTCAACATGGCAACACCACACCATGGTCATGTAGACATCCTACACGCGCTGTACAAACCCCTGCGGGAGCACCAGACCGACAATGAGGTGCGCGAGATCCGCCTCCTCTACATCGACGAGCCTCTGTCGTCCGATGGCCCAGAGGACGAGGACGACCGCCAGCCCTTGGTGTGCCGGCTGCAGACGTGCACCGTCGCCGACGCGCAGCGCAGCCAGTTCTACGCACTCTCCTACGCCTGGGGCGACCCGCTGGACACGCAGCCCGTGCTCGTCCATGGGCGCGTCGTCCAGGCCACCCGCAGCCTCGTTGCGGCCCTGCAGCACGTCCCCGTGGTCGAGCCGCGCTGCCACCGCCAGGGCCTCTGGGTCGATGCCCTCTGCATCATCCAGGCCGACAACCACGAAAAGAGCGCGCAGGTGGTCATGATGAAGGTCATTTTCAGCGGCGCGCACGAGACGCTGGCGTGGCTGGGGCCGGGCGATGCGCAGAGCCGGGCGGCGCTGCAGCTGGTGCGCCGCATCTGGGCGGACAAGGTCACGATGGGCGGGGGCGGTGGTGGCGGGGGCGATGGCGAGGGCGACAGGCAGAACGACAACGACAACGAGAGACTGCCCCAGCCGCAGGCGCTGGCGGTGCCCGACGTGCTGGCATTGGTGGACCGGCTCGGCGGCGCGTCGCTGTTTACGACCGACGTCTTTGCGCAGCGGCCCTACTGTTTCGCGTCTGGACGCTGCAGGAACTGATCCTCGGACGGCGCTGTCGCCTCATTGCCGGCCACGACGCGTGCGACCGCGACGCCGCCTTTGCCGTCCGCGACTGGGTGCTCCACGGGTCCGTGGCGGCGTTTGTTGAGGAGAAGCAGGTGGAAGCCAAGAACGCGGAAACGGCCGCGCGCGTCGAGCGCATCCGTGCGTTTGTGGCCGCCATCGATGCCACCGCCGGCCGCAGCACGCATTTCCACAAGCAAGTGGTGGCCTTTCGCTTCACCCGGAACCGCGACGACGGCCCCTGCAGTGTTGTCAACACCATCGCCGCCCCCCTGCGGGCCCTGGCGTGCCTGCGGGCGTGCATGCAGCGCGCGTCGTGGGACCCGCGCGACGCCATCTTTGGCCTCTGCGGCATGGCGTACTTTGGCGTCGCCGTCGACTACGACCTGTCGGCGCACCAGCTGTTTTGCAGCGTCGCCGCGTGGCTGGCCCGGTCGCTCGGTGCCACCGACGGCGGCAGTCGGCTGTACCTGCTGCTGAGCTACGCCGGCCTCGCCAGTCGACGCTCCACCTGCGGGCTGCCCAGCTGGGTGCCCGACTGGAGCGTGTGGCCCGTCCAGCGCATAATATACACGTCCAAGCGCATGCCCGTCGTCCCCGCCGCGTATGTGCCGGGCGTCACGGGTGACGGCACCTTTGCCCTGCATCTCCATGGCGTGCGTCTTGGCCGTCTTGCGTCGGCAATGTCGCCCGGCGTCTTCCCTGGTGTCACCACCTCGCAAGCCGGCGAGGGCGGCACCACAGACACCATGTCGAGCCGGCTGGCTCTGCTGGCCAGCGCAGCCGAATTCCTTTCCGGAATGAGCGCCGACGCGATCGTCGACAAGCTCGTGGCACCGACATCGAGACCATCGGCGACAGCTCCTCCGCTAGCCGGCGAGTCGTTTGTCGTCTCCCTCGTGGAGCTTCTGGCGAATCCCTACCGCCGACCGCGCTACACGTACGCGGCAGTGGATGTCGTGTCCTTGATCCACTGTCTTGTCGCATCCGGGCGCGTAGCGTTGCCTGCGTCGAGTGCTGCAGAGGATGCACAGAACAACCCCGGCGACAAAACCCTGTCCGCCGTCCTCGACTGCGACGGCGCTAATGCCCTGGACCGAGACGCCTTGCTCCGTGAGGCTGCCTACCAGTTCCAGCAGCCCACGTTTGAGAGCCGGTTCTTTGGCGTCGAAGACATTGACCGCCACGCATATGTATACTTCCGCACCGACAGCGGCCTTTCAGGCTACGCAGCCGCCGGGGTACAGCCGGGCGACGTTGTCTACAAGGTCGCCGGATGCCAGGATGTGGTGGTTGTGAGGCCGGTCGGCAGCCGAGTCCGCTTTCTCTCGCTGGCCGGCATAGTGGGTTTTGCTGGCCATTACGACGTCGATTGGGACACTCTGCGCAGCAAGGTGGAGGCTGTTGATATTTCATAAACGTTGACTACGGCGCAACGCTCTCATCTCGTCTCTTCTTGTAGGCTTTCGACTGGCACATACCTGTAGGTGAAATGCGTGGCTGTGCTCGTGGACAGAGAAAGGTATGAGAAAAATGTATGAAAATAAGATTACGGTTACATTCCGACCTACTTTTATTCATATTGCTAGCAGTCTTGTACAATCGTCTCCTTCCACACTACGTGACGCGCTCATCCCAGCAGCTTGGCTTGCCGCTCCAAGAACAAAATCCGGGGCCGGTCCGACTCAAACGCCAAGACCTTGTGGGCCATGTTGATCTCAATGTCCATGGGGCCCGGGCGCAGCGTGCCGTGGCCGTCCGCGTCGACGACGTGCTCGTACCATGCGTGCAGCCCGTAGGCGCGGCACAGCACCTGTGCCATCATGACCTCGACCGAGCACCAGGCGCGGTCGTAGTAGTCGGCGCTGGTCAGGCTGATGACGGCGTTGCACTGGGCGACCAGCATGGGCAGCGCCGCGATGCCGGGCGCGGGGTTGGCCTGGTCGACACAAGCGTGGTCGATCCAGAGGCCGAGCCGGTCCTCCGTGACGTCGGGGTGCAGGTGCAAAAAGGCCTCGACCGCCGCGCAGATGCGCCGGTACTGGGTGTGCGCGGCGTCGTCGGGCGCCGTGGCGTCGCGCGTGACGTTGATCCAGCGGTACGAGATGAAGACGACGTAGTCGACGGCGTCCACGACATCGGGGCTGCCCTCGCCCGTCCTGCCGTCCACGGGGGCCGCAACACGTCGGGCGAGGTTGTCGGCGCCGCCGGGCAGGTGGCCGGCCGCGGCAAACGCACGGTAGGGCACACACTTGAAGTCGTCAAAGACGCCGCGGTAGCCGGGCGACGCCGGCGAGGCGTCAAGCGCGCTGGCGTACACGCGGCGCAGCCGTGTCAGGGTGTCCGCCGCGGACGCGCCCTTGTCCTTGTCTCGGGTGCCGCCCAACAGCACCGGCCGCATCACGTCCTGGAAGAGCTCGCGGTAGCCCTTGCGCAGGCGGGCCTCGGTGCGGCGCTCTGCCAGGGCCGCGTCGGCGCGTGCATGCAGCTGGCGGTGGAGGGCCTCGACGACGAGCGCTTCGGTCGCCCCGTCGCCGTTGAACACGCAGTAGTCGAGCGCCGTGTACCCGTTCTCGTCGACGGCGTCGAGGCCGGCGTCGAGGCCGGCCCCCTCCGCGTGCGACGCCACAAAAGCAATCAGCTCGGCGAGGTACGACCGGTGCTCGGCCGATGGCTCCTTGCACAGCGCAATGGCAGGCGTGCAGCAGCCCGCCGGCAGCCATGCGCCGGACAGATAGGTGGCCGCGCGCACGCGGTCGGCGTGGGTCGTCTGCTCGGTCTGGTCCGCGACCAGGGCGCGGCCCAGGAACAGGCTCGAAAATGCCACCACCGTCGGGTCGGGCGATTCGGCAGTCAGCGCAAAGGCGGCCTCCGCGCACTCCACACCACGTCGCGTGTCGCCCGGCCGCCCCGTGGCGGCGTAGCACAGCGCCAGTCGCTGCAGACCAATGGCCTCCCACAGCGCTGCCTGCGGGCCGCTGCCGAGGCGGCGCGCCCGTGCGACGCGCTCCTGCAGCTGCTCGATTGCCGTGGTTAGGCGGTCCTCGCTGCGTGTCTCGGTCTGGCCACCCTGGCGTGGTGGATCCTCCTGTGACAGCTGATAGTTGACCATGCCGAGGTTGCCAATGGCGCGGCACGCGGCCGCGTCGGCGCCCAGAGCCAGGGCCGTCGTGTACTGGATCTGCAGCACGCGCTCAGCATCATGCAGCCGCCCCATGTGGCGGTAGACCACACCGAGCTCGCCGCTGACCTCGAGCCGCTGCCGTCCGGTTGCGTGTCCGTCCTTGGCTTCGCCCCGCGCCATCTCGGCCAGTGCTGCTTCCAAGAAGCCCGCCGCCACGTCGTAGCGACCAAAGCGGCGGTTGGTGCTGCCCATCTCGCCGTGCAGGATACATTGATAGTGTGCTGCATTGGGGAAAGGCGTGTCGTCGGCGCTTTTGCCGGCCCCGCCGTCCGCCTCCACTGTCAGCGCCAGCGCCTTGTCCAGCTCGTGCAGGGCGGGCTCCCAGTCTGCGCGCCGCGCGTGCGCCCGCGCACGGCTCATGTGCGCCTCCCACTGGCGCACACGCTCGACCGTGCTGGCCAGCGCCGCCGCCGTCACGCCCGCCGGATCCCGGACCTGCGTGTGTTCGTCGCCGTCGACGGGGCCCAGCACGTCGGCGTCGCGGACAAAGCCGCGGCTGGCATCAAAGTAGAACAGCGTCGCGTGGAGGGCACCGGGGGGCCCCTCGGTCCAGTGGTACGCGGCGGCGGGGATGGTGTAGGTGCTGCCGGGCCCGTGGCGGACGGGCGCCAGGGGTGCTGCGCGTACATAGAGACCGCGGTTGCGCACGGTCGACGCGTTCTGGTGTGTCTTGTAGACCGTGCCGGTGTCGGTGTCGGTGTCGTTGCCTTTGTCCCTTGCGGTCCACAGGGCCCGTCCAGGACAGCGCATAGCGTGCATGCGTGGCGTCTCCAGCGGTGTCGACGGGTTCGGCGGTGTAGGGGTGGTCGGTGCCCTCGCCGGCAAGGATCCAGCTCTGAGCAAACGGCTGGTGCGAGTGTACGGCGAAAGCGCCCGCCTCGCCGTTCTTCGCGGCGTTCGCCGGGGATCGTTTGCCGGGCAGCCACACGTGTAGGCGGATCAGTTCGTCAATGTTGCCGTCCTTGACGATGCTGCACAGTGGTACGTTTAGAAATCCCTGTGAACTGCGCATGGCAGCACCCAGCGGCTGAGTCGTGCCAGTCTCGGATGCTGCGGTGTTCGTCGTGTCTAGGGTGCCCGTGAGAGCGTCGCGCACAATGGCCCAGACGTGTCCCAGCGTCTCGGGCGGCATAGGTAGATTGTGCCGTGATGCATTGCGGAGATGGCCGATGGCGACCGTGAGACGGACCAGGTGCCGTGCATATGTGGTCGCGTCCGCATGGCGAGTGTTGTCACCGATGCTGTCACCACCGTCCGCAGGAAATGCTCCGTCGGCTAGGGTAAGCCAATCTAGCCACGCCCGATTAGTGTGCTCACTGCCGACTGATGCGATCCATGTCTCCACAGCCGACACGGCGCCCTGGTCTGCACAATTGATGGCCACGACGACGCCTCCGAGGAGCCGCAGCAGGGTTGTGGACGACATGTCAGTCCCCGCATCCTGCCCCAAATTTGGCCCCTCGCTAGCAGCTGTTAAAGCAGCCCCTCTGTCGCTCATGACGTTTGCTGTTTTGTTGTTCAACGCTAGATGCTGAATGCTGGGTGCTGAATGATGCGGACTAGTCTCGTTGACAATGGCTGAAAATAGCTGGAAGTACGAATGCACCAGAAAGAACACAACTGCGCAAACGTGCCCCGCAGCCAGGCAGAAGCAGCAAAAGCCAATCACGCTGGGGCTTTTGCGCCACCAAGCTGCACGACCGTGTGCCTGGTTGCCTAACCACATCTGCACAGTTGCCTGGGCGCACTTGCGCAGTATGTCTGTGCAGGAATTGCGACAGCTGTACGGCAAACTCTGTACGTTTTGTCGGGTCTTTGTTATTGTATTCCCCAACTCGCGTTCCCTTCCGTCAAGAGCGCTCGTCTCGGCAAACTCGCAGAGCCACGACAGCACACCGCATTACACCCGACTTAATGCTCATAGTTGACGGGACCGTGAAGCGACACGTTTTGCAGCAGTCGCCGGGTCGTCTGGCGTGGGAGATGTCATGGGAGGTGCAGAAGGTGCAGTAGAGGTGCAAGAGGTGCAGCAGCCTCTTGTGGGCCCTTTCTCCCCTGCCGTCAACATTCATCTTCCGAGATGCCATCCACGGTCGTCCACAACCCAATGCAGCCATGCCCTGTGCAAGGCTGAGAAAACAAAGAGGGTCGCACAGATCTGGTTCAACCAAAAAGTAAGAATCTGGTCAAATCTGGGGCGTAGCCGACACAAGCGCACCTCCAAGGCGTAAGCCGATGAAGCTGAAAGTAAGACGGAGGAATTTGTCAGGTACAAAACGTCCCTGAAACGGACGCTTCGGCACTAGTGACCGCCACCGGCCCACTTTTTACCCGCGAAGACAACGACGTCCGTTCGGAAAACAATAAAAAACAAAAGGCCAAGTCAATTCAAAATGATAGTCCGTGGTCTGCGGTCGGTCCGTCGTCGTCGGCATAGCTCACAGGCGTGAGGCGGATGAGCATGGTGGACCGCCGGCTGCCAAGGTGGCTCGTTGGTTGCATTTGTATGCAATGGTTACTGATCCTACTGCTCCTGACAAGCAAGTCCCCACGTCTCACTCTTTTGGGCGTTTGGTTATCGCATATTACTGTAACAGACCTTTGTCTGTTCTCTTTTTCCAAAGAGTACTGGCAACCTTGAGGCGGGCGGGGGTTTCTCCCGCGGCGGTGCTGGACACGGGAATAGCGCGCACGCGACGAATGTGCGGTTGTTGCATTCAATCAACTTTCATCGGTCCTTTCATCTCCGAACTAGTCCCTGTTATCAGCTTCTTGTTTCGATCAAGCGACCGACACACAACGCATCGAAGTCGTCTGACACAATTGCATCCTGCCCAGGCGTGCTCACACCAAATGTAAACGGCACGAATAAACGGTGATCGACACCCTTCGACAAACAGCCCAACGCGAGAAGCGACCAACAGTTCGTGATGTCCAATTCAGCTGCCAATCTGGGCATGGCGCGGCGAGCAACGACTGCGGGAGACTCGATGTTTGGTCGCATTTGTCTCCATCCGTGTGATTGATCCGTGTGATTGATCCGTGTGATTGCTCTGTGTGATTGCGAGACAGGTGAGAACAGGGTATCGGATAGCATATGCATGCGGTGCGGCCAAGTCGACGCCGACTTGCAGCGCGTCAGCAAGCTTCGGGAAGGTGGTTGCGATAACACATTTCTTGATTTCTTGATCGGGCGACGGCGATGCAGCTCCCATACAGCCCAATAAAAGGGTAAACGAAAATGTCGCACGTGCCCATGCCGGTGTCTGTCGTGTTTTATCCAACAGGTGCTCTAATCAGCCTGAGATCACCACGCCTTGCCGCCCCACCCGATGTCCCGCGGACTTTCGCTCGCTCGATGATATGCATCGCACAAAATCACGTTCCGTCTTGTCCCCTCCTGCCAGATGTGGTTGGAGGTATTTTCTCCAGAGATAGCGGGGGGCGACGCATTTGACAGCCGAATCAGGAAAGTCGTCGTCCATCCACCATGTACGACATGTACGAGTACACGTATTTTTGCTCCGACGCCCCATGCTGCGTGGACAGTTTGCACAGTGTTTCGTTTTCAAATCCCACAAAGCGACATCTGCGTGGGTCGCTTGTTGCTTGGCCTTTTGGACTGCGATACGGGTGGCGTCCGGGACCGTCAGCAGCCGAACCAGACAAGCTTTCCAAGCCCTCCAAGCTTTCCAAGATTCTACCATGGCGCTTTTGTCGACTTGGCCAGCGCGATACGCGTGATAACTGAACCAGTTTGGGAATTGGCTTGCACATGTTGTACATGTCGCAAATGGGTACAAGATGGCGCGGTTTGCCTCAATCAGGAAGGTGGATTGTTGCTCGGTGGTGGGACTTGGCCACGCTCCACCAATGAGGCGCACGATAAGGTAGTGTCATTTTCAGTGTGTTGATACCAGAGTACCACAGCGATGTCGAGAGGCGACGACGAAATCCCGTAAACGAACCGTGCAGCTCTTCTGGCCGCGGGTCCTTGTATCAGAGAGAATGATGCGATTGCCATTGGTGTGATTCTGGTGTGATTCTGCTATATTGCAATCTATGCCTATGCACCCAGAAACCGCCAGAAACCGCCGCCGTCCATGCGACGTCCACGTCGAGGGCCATGGCGAGGACCTTGTCGAGATCACGCCTATATAGCGACGGGCTCGTCCCGCCGAGCAGATTATTGCATTCCTCGTTCGTTTTTCCGCAAGCACCGTCTGTGCTGTGTGCTCTCCATGGTTCTCTAAACGTCCCCAGTACCCCTTCCCCGGCATTTTATCCACTCCCTTATCGCTGAACATGGAACCGCTGGAGCCCTTGGCGCCCGTGGGCTCGCCCGCCTCGGGCGAGGTGCCGCCGGTTGACGTCGACACCAAGAAGAAGGACGACGGCGTCGTCGTAACGTCGCGTGCCATTGACGAGAAAGTGCATGATCTCGTCGACAAGCTCGGCGACACCGCCACCGGCCTGGCGCCCGCCGACGACATTGCCTTTGTCATGGACAAGATCGACACGCTGTCGGTCGACGAGGCCCGAGCGATCCTCGAGAAGATGCTGGTCGACCACGAGTACGACTACAACTTTTCGCAGCTGCAGCGCGACAAGATCAGCGCGCTGCTCAAGGGGCCCGCCTCCAGCGACAGCGACGTCGCGAGCAAGGAAGGCGAGGGCGCTGGCACCGGCACCGACACCGACGACTGGGAGCTGCGCCTCAAGACCGAGGCGGCCATCAACAAGTTCTACTCGCCGTACCCCGAGGTGCGCGCCGTGTCGGCGCCGACGGACGACCCGTCCATCCCCTGCGAGACGATCCGCGCCCACCTGCTCGGCTACATCTGGGCGGCCCTCGCGCAGTTCACCAACTCGCTCTTCAACTCGCGCTTCCCGACCATCTCGCTGACGTCGGCCGTCGCGCAGATCCTGCTGTACCCCTGCGGCCTGCTGCTGGCCTGGGTGCTGCCGGACTGGGGCTTCACCTTCCGCGGCCAGCGCGTGTCCCTCAACCCGGGCCCCTGGACGTACAAAGAGCAGATGCTGGCCACCATCATCGTCGACGTCGGCCTCACGTCTGCCTACTGCTTCTGGAACATCCAGACCCAGACCGTCTACTACGGCGACAAGTGGCTGACGCCCGGCTACGGCATCCTGCTGCTGCTGTCGACGCAGCTCATGGGCCTCGGCTTCTCCGGCCTCATGCGTCGCTTCGTCGTCTACCCCGTCGAGGCGCTGTGGCCCAACATCCTGCCCACGTTGGCCCTCAACCGCGCGCTGCTACTGCCCGAGACCCAGGAGGTGGTGCACGGCTGGCGCATCTCGCGCTACCGCTTCTTCTTCATCGTCTTCAGCGCCATGTTTGTCTACTTCTGGGTGCCGGGCTACCTGTTCCCCGCGCTCAGCTACTTTGCCTGGATGACGTGGATCAAGCCCGACAACTTCAACCTCAACATGATCACGGGCTCCTCGTACGGCCTGGGTTTCAACCCCATTCCGACGTTTGACTGGAACGTGCTCGGCACCTACTACCTGCCGCTGGCCTACCCCTTCTTTGTGTATGCCCAGCAGTACGCCGGCAATCTCCTGGGCGGCCTGATCATCATCGCGCTGTACTACTCCAACACCAAGTGGTCCGCCTACCTGCCGCCCAACACGTCGGGCATCTTTGACAATACGGGCAACTCATACAACATCTCGCGCGTCGTGGAGCAGGGCACGGGCGCCTTTAACGAGACGGCCTACCTCGAGTACTCGCCGGCGTTCTACGGCGCCGGAAACCTCACGCTCTACGGCGCCTTCTTTGCCTTTTACCCGCTGACCATGGTGTTCATCCTGCTGGACTCGTGGCGCCCGCTGCTCCGGGCCTACAAGTCCAGCCTCAAGGCGGGCCTCGGCTTTCTGCGCCAGATGGTGGTCGGTACCAAGAACGCCGTCGTGGCGCTGGCCAAAGGTGACGTGCGCGGCGCCGGTCGCCACCTGGCGTCCATATTCAGCTCCGACGTCTCCATCTACGACGAGTTTGACGACCCCTTCACGCAGCTGCTGCGCGCGTACCCGGAGGTGCCCGACTGGTGGTTCACCGTCATCTTCCTAGTGTCCTTTGTCTTTGCCATTGTGATCCTGGCGCACTGGGAGCAGCTCAACACACCCGTCTGGACCATCTTCTTTGTCATCGGCCTCAACCTCGTCTTTCTGATTCCCATGAGCTACCTGTACGCCATCTCGGGCAACACCGAGGGCCTCAACGTCGTCACCGAGCTCATCATCGGCTACGCGCTGCCGGGCCACCCCGAGGCGCTCATGTTCGTCAAGGCCTTTGGCTACAACATCAATGGCCAGGCGGACAACTACATTTCCGACCAAAAGATGGGCTTCTACGCCAAGGTCCCGCCCCGCGCCATGTACCGCGGCCAGATCATCAGCTCCATCATCACCGCCCTCATTGCCTACGGCGTCGTACAGTTTGCCGACAACGACATCCCCGGCATCTGCACCCAC